ATATCTCCAAGTTGTTCCTAGGGCTTCTAAAACACTTCTAAACTTCATACCTATCAATCGAACTCAATAAAAACTCAAAATGGAACCAAAATCAACAACACCCACACTTTAAAATTTACTTTATGCACCCAACCCGAAAATAGATATTCTACTTCTTCCAATTCAATTTTCCCATCTTTCAAATGACTCAACATACTCTTTAAGGAACTAGAAACACACAAACACCAAGTTAAAAATCACAAACTCGAAATTGACTCACCTTATAGAATCTTTCTTCTCTTCCTCTTATTCTTTTTCTCCTTGTTCTTAGTTTTCTTCTTCTTCTTCTCCTCAATCTCTCTCTCTCTCTCTCTCTCCCATTATCTTCCCCTTCCTGTAGCAACTCACCTCTCTCATTATCTTCTCCTTCCTGTAGCAACTCACCTCTCCTAGTTCTGAGCTCATCAAAAAAAAAAAAAAACCTAGTAGACTCACCACTTAGACTAGGTGACTAACCCCCCCTCCCCCCAAATAGATAACAACTCATCCCCCGAATCAGATTTTGTTTTTAAGAGAAAGAGGGAATGGGGGAAGAATGAATAGAAGAACAAAAGCTTGGCTTACATGCTGGCTTTTTTTTTCTTCTTTTTTTTTGCCTACAAGGATATTTTGGTCATGTTTGTCTAACTTCAAATTAAACACACTTAATTTAATGATCTCAATCCAAAATCACTTAATAAAATACCCATAATCATTCTCCATCACAATATTATGTTTCACTAAAATATGAAAATCCACTTTGAATTTTTCGGGGTATTACAGACTTATCCTATTTGGTGAAATTCTCTTTGCCCATTTGCACAAAATCAGGGATTTTTTGGGAGCTCAATGCTCTTCCAGTAGCTGCCTCAGTGAAGAACTCCAATTTTCAGCCATCTTTCTTCCTTTTTTTCTCCCTTCTTTTATGGCTAGATCTGATTTTGGGGGGAGGGGAGGAGGGAAGCAATGAGTATGTACATTGGTTTGAAGGGTGTTTTGCTCAAGTATCCCCTTGGTTTTTCTAATGGCTTGCATTGGGTTTGTCTTTGGCCATGTGCTGGAGATTCCCAGCAGCTTGCAGATGTGAGTGGCTTTTTGCTTTTGTCATGGTTTTGTCTCCAGCCATGTACTGGAGACTTTCAGATATTTTGTTGGTCACTTGAGCCATTCTTTAAGGTAATGAGCTAGTTCACTAAAGGGATGGGCCAACTTCCCAAAGTGATGAGCTATCTTTTCTAAGGTAATAAGGTATTTTCTCTCCTTTATGCTTGCCCACATATTTGAGCTGAAGAAATGGGCTTAAGTTTTGGGGTTCCCAAGCATCCCAAAACTTCAATTTCTCGGCTCATCAATGGGCCTCATGAAAACTCGTAACCATCCATATCACAACCCGCTTAGCAAGCCCCAGGTATTAGCGTGGCTTGGGCCCACTTAAGCTTGTAGCGTGGTGTGTTGCTTATTTGCTTGGCGTGGCACGTGTGGAAGCGCATATGACGAACTCTTGCGTACCCAAGTTGGGTTTCTTCCCAAGTTAGGTGTCGTACTGGGCTATAAATATATTTGGGCTCAGCTTTGAATTTTTTTAGGCTTCAATAGGTGTTGGGTAGTTACAAGACTGATAGGGTTTTGTACGTCAGAATATGGCACTTCTGTTGCTGGTGTCGTCAACTACAGTAGAAGCTCAGAGTCTCCTGACTCTGTTGGTGTAGGTGGTGTTGCTAGTTGATGTGCAGTAATCTATGATCAACGTATGCATCAGCGGTCGCTTCGATGGTAACAATTTCATCGATCATGAAAAAAAATAACCCAAAAGGAAACCTTGTGAATTTCATATGGATTCATTGATATTCAGGCATCATTACTTTTTGGTTATGGTTCTTCTAATTTTTAGGTTATTGTTTGTGGCTCATCATGAATGGGCTTAATAGAAAAAGGAATCTGCAATTAAGTGAGATTGAGAGAAAATCTTGTATGTAATAAGCGCTAACAATAATTGAGATGTTTTAAATAACAATATTTTCTTCAAAATGAACCAAATCTTGGGGGTGTGAAATAGAAAATGAGGAAGTTGAGATTACACTTCAAAACTAATTGGCAATAGGGGGAATAGCCCAACTCCTTATAAGCCCTTGTTAGGTTTCTCAACTTTCTAATGTGGGATATTTTCACCTTGACATTCTCACACACACCCCCATGTGTGACGACATTTCAAACCTAACACGTGGACAATATATTGGGTGACGTGGAACTGTGGCTTTAAGGCTTTCACCCTCTGATACAATAAAGGAAGTTGAGGTTTCACCCCAAAACCATTTGGCCAATAGGGGGATAACCCAACTCCTTATAAACCCTTTGGGAAAAGTACTAAACAAAGAAAAGGATGACCATAAGATGCTAGGTTCAATTTCCCTCTTCTCCAATATCGTTTGTATAAGAGAAAAAAAAAGAAAAAAAGTTTGTCTTTGTTCTGGACCGTCCTGAATTGCATTGAGTGCAAGCAAACAGATCATGACCGTAGATCCTAGATCTTGAAGCCCAGAACCAAAAACCAACATTTAAAACCCACAACCTCATCTGTTAAAATAATCCATTTTCCAAATAATAGAAGTCGAGCCCAACCAGAACGTTGGATCAATCCTCATGGCCACTCTCAAGCATTTGACATCTAGGAAGGCTTCAGGCAACATATAAAAGTCAGGTAAGCCACAATTATTTAGGAAGGCCACACATATTTTCTTTAGAATATTCTTCTGCATAACCTCAGCTAAAGATAAGACAAAAGATAAACAAAGATGCAAGCGTATAAAATGAAAAGATAAAACACTAACACTCGTTTGATAATCATTTCAAATTTAGTTTTTAGTTTTTATTTTTTGTGGTAGAGTATAGATGAAAATGAGAGTGATAATGAGCGTGAGGATGAGATTGAGAGAGAGAATGAGAGGGGAGGATGAGAGGGAAGAGTAACAAAAGTAAAAACAATTTCAAATATATTTCAGTTTTTGGTTTTGGTTTTCACTTTTGTTACTTCTCCGTTCCAGAGCTAGAATTGTAAGATTAGAGGGGCCGAGATAGAAAACACAAGTATATCAGATACATGTAAGTGTTCAAAACACATGTTAGAACTAAATTTTTTAAAATTAATCATGTCTAATTATATATATAATGTAATGTATACAACTTACTAATAGATAAATTGTAATTTAAAATAAAAATTATTTTATTATTTTTGTATACTCTAGCAAGAAAAAAAAAACTAAATTAAAATGATTATCAAATGAATCCCTAACTTTTTCTAGAGTTACGTGCAAATTGTAATCAGTTAATGAAAAAGAGAGACCACCCATTCAAAATAGCTTAATGAAGGGTGAGAGTTTATATATTAAGCAAGAAAAAGTTATCTTTAGGAACCCCAACATTTCCACACACTTTATCGCGCTCATAAACAACGACCAAAAGGAAAAAGAAGTAAATCATTGGTAGAAAATTCTAGCCCACCTAGGCCATTAGGACCCTTATGGAAAATAGAGAATGATTCTTAGCTTAAAATCATGAAAAAGACTCACAACATACCCATCTATATATGCTGAAAATTAGTTCGTACACGTTAAAAACATGTCCATATATGTAGTCCACATTCAAATTACTTGTTTTATATACGAGTCTTTCACCAATGTACTTACTAGTTATTTCCAAGTTTCAAAATTATGCAATTTATTTCTTCCTTTGGTAAAGGCTGTCCCGCAACAACAATAAGGAGTTGAACTTGGCACTTTCATCCGTTGTGCCATGGCAAATGGAAAGGGCAAGTACCAGGGGCGGAGCTAGAATTGTAAAGTTGGGGGGACTGAAATAGAAAATATAAGTATATAAAACACCTAAATATTCAATACTTACATGTTTAGAATATTTCTAATTAAGTCATATCTAATTTGTTTTAGAGGACATTTTAACTTAAATTCTAAGTTGTTTATTACAAATTCGATATATTATATATAATATAATAGAAGAGTGATAAAAATGATGGGGGGGGGGGGGGGGGGGGGCCACTCTAGGTAAGGAGCATCCATAGTGGGGGATGGTAAATGTAGGGGTTTGTTTTGGTAGGGGGGGGGGGTAAACTTTTACATCCCTTTTACACCTCCGGAGGGTGTAAATATGTTTTTTGCTCCAATGGGGGGTGTAAATTCGGAGAGGTGTAGCCGTGGGTCCCAACCTTTTATGTTGACTTTTCTTTATTTTTCTTCTATTTTCTTGGGTGGGTCCCGCCTGTAAAGGATGCAAAAATAGATGTAAATATACATTTTATTTTACATCCCCATGGTGGTGATGTATATTTACATCCATTTACATCTCCACATTGGAGATGTTTCCGGTGACTCGAGGTGTATATTTAACATACACCCCCCCCACTATGGATGCTTTAACTTTTTTTAATGCATTCTCGCTCATTTTCATGGCAACTCAAAGGTAATTACTATTTATATGGGATACAAGGAGAGAAATTTGTATGGATTTTGGTGTGGAAAGTGAAGAACATGATTAGGTATTTATAGAAAAAAAAAATCTGAAAATTTGATATTTTTTCCTTTTAATATTTAATATTTTTAGTATTTAAATTGGTATCATTTGCTAAACAAAATTGTTCAATGTATAGATAGATTTTAAAATGGTAAAATTACACAATAAACTTTTCCAATGGTTGATTATGTAAGTTTCTTGGTGATGAGAATTATATATAGTTTAGTTTCGAATTATATGATTTGTGCACTAATTGACTTTTACTGTTTTGCAAATTAACATTTGGCAACACCGACAGAGTTACACTCTCTCAAGACAGCCTAGTCACGGTTCTTTGTCCATCACAGAACTCTTCGATCTGATCTCTCTCCCAGTCTCTCTCTCTGAAACCCAGAAAGGCTTTCTCTTTCTTTCGCTAAGCCTGACTGTGAATCTCTGGTTGATCTTGTGGGTTGGTGGAAATGGCGGGAGGAGTGAACAGGAAGATATCAGCGGCGTCGGCCAGAGCTCACACCAGAAGAGCCAAGCAAAATAGTTCGTTCCAGCTTCCTCCAGGTGGGTTTTTCTTGCTTCTTCTTTTTCCTGTTTATCTTTATTTGTTTTGGTAATTTGATTTAATGGTTTCAATGATTACGATTATTCATTGTACCTCGTTTTGTTGTAAGTCAGCGCCAAATTCTGTTTGCTCTATGAGAAAAATGCAGGACCAGAATATAAGAACTGTGTTTGTTTGAGGAGTTTTTCATTATATGGGGTATAATTAGATTTAAAAGTTTTACTTAGCAAGCCTTATCTGTGATTAAGTTGGCTGAGTTTTCATTTATTCCAAAATAACGATAAGAATAAGAGACCAGCTTTTTCTTTTCTTCACTTTTGTAATTATATTTACAATACTAATCAGAGGGTTCTGTTTTTTTCAATAAGAAAAAACTAAAATTGACTAATTGTTGCATCATTTATTGATACTGTTAAAAGTTAAATAAATGTCTTCAAGTTGAGCTGTGATATGTTGGGTTTAGGACTAGGATAGATCGTGGTTTGATCCTATTTAATGTATCAAAAGAAGTGATTAAGGGAAAATGAGTAATTTTGACTTGCACAATAAACATTTAACAAATGGTATCTTATATGCTTCAAATTTGTGATTGTATTAGCAGTGTGATCTTTGAGATTTCATCATTGTCAAAACAAAAAATAACAAAAACTAAAATAAAGGTTTGGTTCTCCTTGCGGTAATTCGTCGAGGGAAAATCTTATCCCACAGTGAGGTTGAAATAACAATTAGATATAAGACATTTGTATTTCATCTGGATAGCAGTAAGTATACAACTAACTGCGTTCAAGCATTTAAGCAGAAAGCCAACAAGCCTCTGAAGGCACTAAGCCAAGTTCATGTTTGCTTTTTCGGATTCTGTATCGAATGTTTCACTTCTATACCCTACTATCAAATTTGTTGACCTATATTTTTAATGGACATATCAAAGTACAAACTCATGCTGCTTGATTTTAACATTACGTCAATGATCAGGGACTAGGATTCTTTAGATTATTGCCATAAGGCCTTGTCTATGAATGCAAAATGAATACTTAAGAAATCTTACAACCCTTTTTTGTGTCAGTTTGATCCCTAATTTCTTGTAAACTGTCAATAAGAATTTGTTCTAAATGCATCTGATGCAGAATCTGTATGTGTTTGATATCAGACACTCAAATAAATTAGTCCAATCTTTCTTGTTGCTAAAAAATTTAGTAGAAATTTGTTGGAGCTTTTTCTCCAACCTCTGTATTGTGATTCAGTTAGAACTCAAAAATTTCAGGGATGTTTACGAAAGCACTAGTTGCATTGTTTATTGGATTTTCGGCATGGACATATCAGGCAATCCAACCTCCTCCATCAAAGATAATTGGCTCTCCTGATGGGCCGCCTGTTACAGCACCATTTATCAAACTTAGTGATGGAAGGCGTTTAGCCTACAAAGAGCATGGGGTCCCAAAAGAGAATGCAAAGCATAAAATAGTTTTTGTCCATGGTTTTGATTCTTGCAGGCATGATGCTGTCGTTGCTGAAACCCTGTCTCCGGTATCTATCTCATGGTTTGTTTTGTATCTATCTATTTTCCCTTTAATCACATTTTAATCTATGGTGAATTCCCCCAGGAAACTGTTGAAGATTTGGGGATCTACATTGTGTCTTTTGACAGACCTGGTTATGGAGAAAGTGATCCTAATCCAAAGCGCACAGTGAAGAGTATGGCTTCAGATATAGAGGAGCTGGCTGATCAGTTGGGTTTAGGACACAGATTTTATGTAATTGGTTTCTCCATGGGTGGACAGGTGCTTTGGAGCTGCCTCAAGTACATCCCTCACAGGTATGATTTTTTTCAAGCAATGTAAGTGAACATGTTCTGCATGTATGTGTCTGTGTGTTAGAAACGAGAAAGTAGTACAACACAAGACAACAGATCTTCATACAATGACAAGCAATGTAAGTGAACAGGTTCTGCATGTATGTGTCTGTGTGTTAGAAACGAGAAAGTAGTACAACACAAGACAACAGATCTTCATACAATGACACATAATCATTGTTTGTGGGACCCATATCATTTACTGAATGGACCTGTATCATTTGTTATATTGGTTTGTTGTACCTGAGACTTTCTCGTTAGAGAGAGGGAGAGAGGGAAGAGAGGGAGGACCGGGGGACGGTAGGGTGGGGTGGTGGTGGGTGATTGAGGTATTGTATGTCTTTTATTCTTATGCTAGGTGTGAATGATAACAGGCTTGCAGGAGCAGCAATATTAGCTCCAGTGGTTAACTACTGGTGGGCTGGTTTTCCTGCAAATCTATCTACTGAAGCTTATTCCCAACAGCTTCAGCAAGACCAATGGGCACTTCGTGTGTCTCACTACACCCCCTGGCTTACCTACTTCTGGAACACTCAAAAATGGTTTCCTGCTTCAAGTGTTGTGGCTCACAGTAGAGATATTCTTTCTGACCAAGACAAAGAACTCATGGCTAAGCTTGAGAAAAGAGGAACATATGTGGTATGCACCCCATGTTTTGGAAAATTTCATAAAATTAGATTATTTAAAATTTAAAGTTAAACCATTTCATAATGACATTAGCCAAATTTAATATTCTACATTTACTGAATAAGTTACCAAATTTCAAAATTAATTTGGTTTATTAAGTTATTTTTTTATAGGCCGAGATCCTTGCCAGTGTTTTGAAATTTGTGTGTAAACATTCTAGAAAATTAGGCTGATTTTTCAACAAAAAATTAGTCTAGTTCTGATGCTTGAAATTATACTCGTCATTTTGCCTGTTTGCTATTTGAAGATTAACGTTTCCTTATGTTTCTTTTCCATTTTGATTTTATGCTGAATCAAGTAAGGTCTTTTAAGCTATGGATTATAGTTAATCCCTTCGATCTATTGTGAAGTGAATAATGAGCCATGCCAACTACATCCTTGCCCTGTTTTGTAGCATGTGTCTAATTGATAATTCCCCTCCCATAGATTGAATTTGAGACCCTTCGCATGTGGGCAGAGGTATTACTTGGTTACCCATACTGGTGAAACTAATTGAGTGCTGCTTATAAAAAGAGAAAAGTTTTCATTGTCTCACAAATTAATCTACTTTGAATATCTACTGTGAAGCCTACACTGCATCAAGAGACATCTTTGCAAGCCTTCTGGTTAGTGTTAAGAGGTGGTTGGTCTTAGCATTTCATTGGAACTGTAGGAACATATGACTAGTAGGACACTAATCTGGCACCTAGTGAATTGTGGATTTAAATATTATTTCCCGTCATGGAATGGCAATGTGAGAACTTTGAAGCTTTGCATTTCCGTTTCCTAGACTTCAATCTTTCCATTGGAACTGTGGGAACATATTACATATGCCTAGTAGGGCATTAATCTGGCATCTTGCGAATTCTGGATTTAAATTTTTTTCTTCTTCATGGAAGAGCTATGAGAAACCTTTGAAGCTTTTGCATTTCCCTTCCCAATAATTAGATCCCTATTTTATGAACAGTTTTGTTTTCACTTTATCATAGATGAAGCTTTCATGGGAACTACATTTTAAGATAACCGTGGTTGTGGGCTCTATATCTGTATCTTTGTACTTCTCTGTATCAACCTCTAAAATTTGGAGTTTCTCCTGACTAAGTGTACAATCCTTGATTAAATATGCAAGGTTTGTTATAGATACATTAACTTTATAGACCCACATGGCACCATACCCTTCCCTGATGTAACAACTCTTGTTAATGTCTTTTACAAACCATGTGCTTGCAGTGTATAGTAATTTCATCGGTTGGCTTTGGATGTTAGATACTCAGAAAATGATGCTGATATTTGATGACATGCTTTGTTACGTCTCTGCTCTCTGTCTGCTCTGTCTCTCTCTCTCTGTAGCTTGTGGACTTTGAAACTTGAATGTGCTTAGGGAAGCCTCAATCCGAGGGTGCAATTAACATAAAACAAGTGAACACTATATGCTATTACAGAAATAATTTTATTTTTTCAGAAAGAAAGTGATGTCATTGTTTTTGAATGTGGTTTCCTCAGGAACAGGTAAGACAACAAGGAGAATTCGAGTCCATTCACCGTGACATGATTGTTGGATTTGGGACATGGGAATTCACCCCTCTGGATCTTGAAAACCCATTCCCTAACAATGAAGGTTCCGTCCACTTGTGGCATGGAGCTGATGATTGTTTGGTACCCGTTAAACCGCAACGCTACATTGCTCAACAGCTTCCTTGGATTCACTATCATGAGCTGCCAGGTGCTGGGCACTTGTTCCCACATGCTGATGGGATGTGTGATAACATTGTCAAGGCACTTTTAACTGAGGGGTAGTAACCTTCCACATGCTTAATGAGCTACCTCAGATGAACTTTTTTGTGCATTTCTTCTCCAATATGGAGAGAAAATTTCAGTTGATCATATTGGTATGTATGATAGATCTTGTATTAGCCAGCTGATTATATATTGTTGCATCACAATGAAATTGTTTCTTAGGGATTGAATTTTTAAAAGTTGGGTTTGAGAAATCGAAACCAGGATTGCTTTTTGGTAGTATTTGGATTCGGAGTTATTGGAACTGAGATTAAAGAAAATTCTTGCATTTTTACCATGTTAAAATTTAATTTACCAGCACCTAGCCCAGTTCAGGATGGGGAAGCACATCAATTCATGTTTAAAACCACTTCAGACACAAATAATACATGGGTTTAAATGACCAACACAATTTCTTCTACTGTATCAATACAAGATACATTAAATAAAAATGCTCCTCCGCAATTCTTGGCAAACCAACTTAGAGCCTCACCCTTTTTGGATCAAATCTTCTTCTCATAGTTCCAATCTGCTTTGAACTCAATCCAAAGGCCTTCTCCAAGAGCTCATCATTAATCCCAGACCCAAAAATGGCAGATGGGATCTTTTGCATTCCTGGGTTTTGGCTATTGAAGCTTCCAAAAATTGTCGCAGGCTTTTTACCAACATTCATTTGGAAGTGCACTAGACCCCTAGGGAACACCATGACTTCCCCTTGTTCAATAACCCTTGCAAAAACCCTATTGGTTGAATCAACAAACCCTGAGTAAACACTCCCTTGCACTATATGGGATATTTCTGTGGCTCTTGGGTGAAAATGTGGTGGATTGATTCCACCAACGTTGAGGTCAGCTCTTACAAATGACATCCCTAGTGTGTTGATCCCGGGGAAGATTGTTGGGTTGACTGAGATGGCTGCGAGGCCCGTGTCAGTGAAGTTTCCGGCCACCTTCATCCCGGAGAAGACGAAGTCATCGGTGGTAGCCTCAGATGAGTTCTTGCATGGAAGGAAGGTGTGAAGAGGTGTTTTTATGACACCTAATTTTGGGTTTGGTATGCAGTAGTCTTGAACTGGGTCAGGGTCAGAAGCCAATGTCATGGCACATAGGAGGCAGAAAATAACAAACAAAAGGGTGAGCCTAGGAGACATTTTTCTTGGTACAAACGCACTCTTGAATTGGGTTACAAGCATATATAGGAGTCTATGTGGGGTTTTATAGAACTCAATATATGATTGAACTTATAAGCTCCTCTAAATGATCACATTAGATTTAATTAAAAAGATTTGCAGGATAAAAGGCGGGTTTCATGGAAGTTTATGTAATTTGGACCACCATAAGGATCTCTTTTGCATCCAATACATTCATAATTAATAATAATTTCAACTAGTAATGAAAATTATATTGCTCCATTCAAATAATGAACAAAAACGATGTGGACGACAACCATGGTTATGATGATTATTCCTTCTTCATGAGAGCGGCGCCTGAATTTGTATACTTATTCCTTCTTTTGGTCCGCCAATATTTCTGCATAATTCATTTGCATGGGCCCAAGCAAAATGAATAATTTGATAAAGACATGAATGATAGGTAATTTTCTTTGCTTGGGAGTGAAGGGAAGATAACTATTTGAGGGATGATTAAATCCACGCATTGGAGATGTGATAATTGTTTTGGCAATGGTATGCCAACAGATGAATATTTCATGATCCCACGATGTATGCTCATGCTCCTCTTATAGCACACGTCACTTGATCACGTAATGTGTGCGATAGGAATAAGGAAGTATACATCCCGGGATAGAGAAGTCGCACAACTCCCTCTCTCTTAAAAAAAAAAAAAAAAAAAAAAAAATAAAAGGAGTTTTAAATTTGTAGAGAATTTTTGGTTTTTTGTTTTATTTGTGGTAAAGCAAATAATGTAAAGTGAGACGACATCGAGAAACCTTGACTAAATAAAATACAAAATATAATGAATGATTCTACTACTAATAACACCGATGCTTTTTGTGATAAAATCCCTCATCTACTGGACTTTGTAGATGGTTAAGTTGGAGACAATATCAGTGTTGTTAGTAGTAGGCCCCTGACCCGTCTCTATGAATTTAACACAATCCTTCAGAGTATAGGGGTGACAGAGAGCATGTACTTTTCCAATTCTCAATTGTGCCTTGTAATTTCTACCGTCTTTGGTTTTGACTGGGCCGGCTTCTTCCTAGTTAAAAATAGGGAGTTTCACTAAAACACCCAAAATGGAGGTTGAAATTATAAAAAAACCCAACACCCAAAACACTTTATAAACACACCCAAAACCCATCATTACACACACTCAAAACCCATTTATAAACACACCCAAAAAGTTGACTTTGGGGTTGATTTTGGGTGTGTTTCTATGTTTAAATAGTGCTTGGGTTTTTTTATAAATACATGTGTAGGATTGGGTTTATTTATAAATTTGTATTAAAAATATGAAGTCCATGCAGAAGAAAGTGGGTCTGGCCCAGCCCACATTCTTGAAATAATACTTCAAATTACCCAAAAAGAAACTAAAAATTTGTGCTTGATCAAATAATGAAAACTTGAAGAATGAGAAACAAGTTTAGCTCCTATAAAAGATAATTCTCGATTGTTTTTTTTTTTTTTTTTTTTTTTTTTTTTTTTTCGGTCAAGGGTGAGGTACGTTTCTGCCGTTGGGTAAAAATATTGTTTTGAATTGTTCTCTCATGGTTTGTGGGAAGGGGATTGGGTCGCAAAATCTCATATGATTTGCCTTGCATTCCGTTTTGGAATATGCACAGCCTGTCCACACGTACATTTTGATACTTGGTTGTCTGACCCTGCACATAGTGTTGGGAAAGCTTGGTCTATGGGGCCAGCATTCCGGGTTAAGAAATGTTAACGAGACTTGCTTAAAAGAGAGTCGTTACATGAACTTGCTAGTTACTATCATCTCATGTTTTTGTTCACTTTACACTAGTGGCGGAACCAGAAACTTTGTACAGAGAGGGCATCTCAAGTATTGAAATCTTTTTCTTTACAGTGTGACATTTAAATTAATATTTTACTTGATATTACGTAGGTGACCAATGAACCTTCAAGTTCCGAAATACCAGATGCTTACAGCCGTTTGGACATCACTATGCCAACCATAGATTTGATGCCGTTGGCTATCAACTCTTAAATTTAATTACTATACTCTATTATTTTATATGTCACATTACCTATCTATTCATCATTAATACAAGCAAAAGATATTGATTCAAATTAAATGTATTTTGTTAAATATACATACTAAGAAAATTTGAATTGTAGTTTATTACTCCAACGTTTAGAGTCAAAAGAAATAAAAGAGATTTAGAAGGGGTAGTAATAATGTGAAAAAGAGAGAGAAGAAAAACATAAAAAGAAAAAGGAAACTTTGAAATTTGGATAAGAGATATATAATTAGGCTAAGAAATGCGAGATGGGGCATAGGGCCCCTCGGCCTTAGCTTCCTCTGCCCATGCTTTACACAATAAACATGAGGGGCCAGTAAGTCCATGTAGGAACTCTATTTTGATTTCTCTCATGGGATTTGGTCATTTTTTAGAGCTAATTAATTAGCATTAAACAATTATATAAGCAATACCAAAAGGATAACAATATATCCCGATCGACGTCTTAAGTTCGAATTTTGATATAACGCTTACCAGCTCGAAAACACTCGGACTTCTCTCCACTCCATTTTATTTGAAGGGATATAAATTCGGATCCTCCTTTCTCATATTAAAATTAAAAAAACACTTAGACGGTACCTTATACATGTGATTTACCGATAATTAGCCGAGAACTTTGTGCATAATGAAGACAACATGGGGTAAGTATGACAATGAATTGTTCCCAACATTTTTCTCTATTTTTGCAAGGGCACACAATAACTTTTGAACAAGTACAAGAGCTACTTATATCCGCGGCTACTGAACAAACAAGAACAAGATCAATACCAGCAGATATACCAAACCCCAAATCAGCGGCTACTCAGAAGCAGAATCACCAACATGGGTTTGCTACAAATCCACCTAAATTTGAACAAAATCCCAAGGGCAAATTCGTCAAACGAAACAAAACAAAGAACAGATGCTCACATCACGTGGCCCAGATGCCCTAGTTCTCTCGTAGAAATCACTTCTTGCATGTGATCTCCTCGCGGTCCATAAAGATGCACTACTGAATTGACCAAAGTTAAAGAGTTTGTACTTTGACTAGTTACAAAGTTTGACATATTAGGTTTGAAGGTTTGAGTTTTCATGGATTAAGTACGATATCTGAATTTACTTGATACGCGTGTTTTACAAATAATTGTACATTTTTTCTCGACGTCGGGTACATAATTAAAGAAAGGATAACTTTAAATTATAAATTCGAAACATGTTAGAATAATATAAATCCGACTTAAGTATGTTAAGCTTTACACTACAATATACACATACACCACCAATTGTCATTGATTTTAGAGTGAATGCTCTCTAATTTAACAAATACATAGATTCATAGAGTGATTAATACCTCATATTCATAACCAAATGATTATAAAAAGTCGGATTGTCAAAAACAGAATACAAGCCTATTATTTAAATATTATTATATCATGTACATTTTCTATTAAATTTCTGGCTGGAGAAGAACACGTGTTGCTTCTCCAACAAAGACCTCTCCTTCTGCAGCCACATGGCTAACAGGTGTCAAGGGCTCGAAGCATTGTCTAATTTTGGCACTTTGAGGCTGCAAATTTTTATATGAACAACTGTAGAGACTGATGGGATTGACTTGTAAGCAAAGTGGCCCCCACACTTCACCGGAAAGATAGAGGTATGGTCATGGAATTGCTCGATCCTCCTCCTTAGCACACACCCAAACTCTTCCCCTGTATGAGCTAGCTCTCTCTCTGTGTGTACCTAATAGCCGAAAAAATAAAAATAAAAGAAAAAGAAAAAAGAGAAAAAAAAAGCCTACCCTTTAAACTTGGTACTATTTATATACCAAAGCTTGAAGCAGAAGTTCATTACGAGTACTTGGTTATGTGAGATGTGAGCTTGTTTTGTTGGCCCTTCAGATCTGTCCAAGGCTAAAAGTATAGTGTCATGTCCTGTCCTGGAACATATTGGGTTTCTGGCATTAGTTCTTTCTTAGCCTTCTCTCTCTCTCTCCAGATTCCCAAATCAAATATATACATTCAGTCAGAGTCAGGTACTTTTTCTTTCATGTTCATAGCCAGCAAGTTCTCTTTTTCAACTCTCTGTAAGCTTTCAGAACAACCCATCTGTTTAAACTTGTTTCTGTGATCTGTGTTTGCATGTATCTGATGATTTTTATGTGCTGGTTCTGGGATCTGAGACTTCTTGGTGATGAATAATTATATTCTTTATGCAAATAATTGGTGAAACTTTTTACAGGATTTATATATATTTTTTCTTGGTGGTGTCTAATAATTGTTGAAACACCACTCATTGCAATACTAAAATAGGAAAGATTCTCTTAGCTTTTGCTATCTACCCATGTCCCACATTCTATTCCATTTTCCTATTTTTGGAAATGCATAATTAATTGCAGATATTAGACACCTCTTGTCATTATATACTCGTTTAATATGTACCACCATCTCATGAAAGGCACGTGAGTTTCTCCAATTGTTTATCAATCTCATGCTTAAGATTAAGCAAAGCACTAATTAACCCTTTGTTAATTCCAATTGGTCCCTCCAAGTCCAAGCGCAGCAGTTTTGTCCTTAAAAATTTTGTTGGTAGGGACCACCGTAGAGAGATTTGTTGTCTTGTAGTTTCTGTACAGCAACATTTGGAAAATTCATACTGAGGGCTGCTCTGTTTTGTTGATATAAATTTGGAAAATTCATACTGATAGGGTTTTTGTGCTTCAGTTTGATCAGGTCTGTTAGAATTCAGGAACCCAATATTCAATCAAGTGCAGACCACACGAAAACATGGGCGTTTCGGAGTCCGAAATCATCTCCCATGACGAGGTCGAATCGCCGTTGCAATCCGACCAGCAAGCCACGAACCACTTTTTCTCCTCATTGGGAAGACAGTCCTCCATCTACTCTCTCACCCTTGATGAGTTTCAGCACACCCTCTGCGAGAATGGCAAGAATTTTGGCTCCATGAACATGGATGAGTTTCTCACCAGCATTTGGACCGCGGAAGAAAACCAAGCCATCAATTCAAACCACACCAACATTAACAACAACCATAACCACCACAACAGCAACATCAACAACATTGATGCGCACATGCCTTCGGCAGAGGCCTCTGAGGAGAAGGCCGCCGCCATAGCCAAGCAACCCAGCTTGCCACGCCAAGGCTCGTTGACTCTGCCTGGGCCGCTGTGTCGGAAAACAGTGGATGAAGTTTGGTCTGAGATACACAAAGGGCAGCAAGCAAAGCAGCAGAACAGTCACAGCAGCAATGATGGTGTTCAGAATTCCGAGTTTGCCCCTCGCCAGCCTACGTTTGGGGAGATGACATTGGAGGATTTCTTGGTTAAAGCGGGGGTAGTTCGGGAACCAGATTCTATGTTGGCGGCTGGGGCCGTGCCGCCGCCTCAGCCCCAACAGCAGCAGCAGCAGTATGGGATGTATCAGAACAGCAACCAGGCAGTGGGGCCAAGTTTTGCTAACAGGCCTGTGATGGGAATGGGGGCTGCTGGTACTGCAGGCGCTAGTACTAGTACTGCTGCTGGTATGCCTAATTACCAGGGTATGCCCCAAATGGGGCCACAGTTGTCGCTGAGTCATCGGGGTATGCTGCAAATGGCAAGAGAAATGGTGCGTACCCGGCAGTGCCGCCTCCACAGGCGGTTTGTTTTGGAGGGAGAGTGGTGAATGGGGGTGGTGGGTATGCAGCAGGGCAGCCAATTGGGATGGCAGCTCCTGTGAGCCCGGTATCCTCCGATGGGATGTGTACTAGTCAGGTTGAGAACTCTGGGGGTCAATTTGGTTTCGACATGGGTGGATTAAGAGGAAGGAAGAGGATCTTAGATGGACCGGTGGAAAAGGTGGTGGAGAGGAGGCAGAGAAGGATGATTAAGAACAGAGAATCTGCAGCAAGGTCTAGAGCCAGGAAACAGGTATCTCATTTCTTTTTCTGAGTCCTAATTCAACTGCTCGTATATAATCAGTAATTTAAGTATCTTTTTCTGATGCTTTCAGTAAGATAGACATTGTTTTATTCACAATTGATCATCAAGAATTTAGTGATGGAGTGGCAAAATGGTCTTCCTTTTGTTTTAGTTTGAATCAACATAATTGCATTATCCCCGGTTGTTATAGATGGATTGAGCAGCAGCTTTAATTTATTATTCAATTTTTTCAATGCTGTCGTACATATATAGGCAAAGCTGCTAGCTTCTACAAGCTCTTAACAAAGTAGACCAGATAGGTAGTTGATGAATATGATTTTCTACCAAATTCAGTACGAAACAGTTTGTGAACTGCTAGGTAAGCAGTTGAACCCGCAATCGAAATTTTCAATAATGTACGCTTGAATTGGAAGAAACTGTTTTATTATTCTTTCAGGAAGAATCATGGCAAAAATTTCCTTTTTAGTGATATGTGCTGCTTTTACAGGCATACACAGTTGAATTGGAAGCGGAACTGAACCAGTTAAGAGAGGAGAATGCACACCTTAAACAGGCGCTGGTAATGACATGGGAAACATTTTGATGCGTCAAAGCTTTCTGCCTTCTTTTGTTTCTTGTAATTATTTGCTCTTGCTGATCGGGTTAACATGAACAGGCAGAGCTCGAGAGGAAACGAAAGCAACAGGTAATTCTTGCAGTTAATTTCTCATTGTAGCACTTAGCAATGGAACAAATGCTTTCTACTGACTTTGAGGTCTGTATTTGGAGTAGAATGTTATGTTCCATAGCGATTTTGATTCACAATCTTGCAAAATAATAATACTATTTTCGTATATGTTTGTGCGTGACTGCACATTTAATAATAGGCCTATGTTCTGTAAAAGATGCTATTGATCACATTATGCATCTCTACTTTGCAAACTGCAGATTCACAAACCGCACGATTATGCATCCTTAAATCTTTTATCTAATTGAGATGGTTTTGCAGTACTTTGACGAAATGCAAACGAGAGTTCAGAGCAGGGCCCAGAAAGCTAAGGAGAAGCTGCGAGTGTTGAGGAGGTGTCATAGTTGCCCTTTATGATATGCAAGACAGAGAGTTGGTAAATTCATTCGAGCTTTGTATTTCAAGTTGCCTTTGGACATCTTCTGCCTTTTTCCCAATCAATATGTTATATTTCTCTACTTAACAAGTTCTTCCATGCAGATCATTGAGGAACAGAATTGGCAGCTCCCACCAAGAGGATTGAAACTGTGCAAGCTAACCCCAATGCTGAAATGGCTACAAGGTGGAGCAAATGATTGAGTGATCAACACCAACGTAAATGACCATGAGAATATGGATCGTTGAAAAAAAGTTGAAATCTGTAAAATCTAGTAGAATAATATTAAATTTGAGATGCGGGTTATTGTTCTTGTAAGTTATGTATTAGGCTTAATGGTATGTGTTGTATTCAACTTACATGTCTTCTAGAATAATTGACGTTATTAGCATAAGCTAAAATTCTTTGGAATTAGAGCCTCCTACCCAAAACCAGTCTAGCACAAATGCAAGACTTACATTTTCTAAAGTCGAAATGGTGAGAACCATGCCCCTTGACATGTAGTCTCGTCTCTTGAGCTTAACGCGCGTTCAAGTCTACTCTGATATCATATAGGATTAGAGCAAAGGTTTTACCTAAATAGAAAGTAGTCTACAATGATTTGCAATCTTATTTTAATTAAATAGCAAGTAATCATCATTGATTTGCAATCTTTATACTTGTGTTCGCAAGGTGCAAGATTGGCCTGGTCATGTTCATCAAGTCAGACTGGACCTGGTACTCAGTGTGAGTTGACTGGTCAAGCGTTGACTGAAAAAAGAAAGTTTCCCATTGCATAAAACTAAAAGAACAAGTTACATTTTAGAAGCTTGAGATTTTTACGTGTTCTATTTTGGGGCTTTTCAGGATAAGGTACCTTCACACCTAAATTGTATGGTCGGCCTCAAAACTAGCTACTCTTAAAAATTGCATAAACTAAAACGGGATGCATGTTTCAAAAATACACATATATTACGTGTACTTACTAACTATGCACATTCATATATACCTCTGATATGCACAATCTCTGGTTAACCGGCCTTCTTTTTCTTGGTGGTTAAAAATTCTGAATCTAAATCCAGGTTTGGTTTGAGGGCTGGTGTTCGAGCGCAACGCGCGAAAAGAAAAAGAAAAGCAAAAAAGAAAAAAGAAAATAAAAGAATTGTCTTGGACTTGGTTTAGCATTATATTCATCAAAACATCTCTAGATCTCTATTCAACCATGAGTTCGAAAAAATGTTGCTGTTGCTGCTGCCTCCTTCTCTTATTATTTTTCATCGTGGGCTTGATTGTTCTTTTCGTGCTTAAAGAAAAATTAGGGCCGTCGTTAGAAGCGCGCTACAAGGTGACGGATGCCTCATTGAGCCAGTTTAGCATGGGGTCTGGCAACAACCTAGAATACAATCTAGCCGCCAACATGAGTGTTGAAAATCCTAACAAATATTCTGACTACAGATACGAAAAATTTGTAGCTGTTCCCTCCTACGGTGACGAGGATTTAAATGAAGTTTCTTTGAGCTCATTCGAAGTAGCGAAGAAGAACACATCTGCATTGACACCTCTAGTGTTCAAAGGGCAGAAATCGGTGTCTCTTAAGGGCGATGCAGCATCCAACCTTAAGAGTGGTTCGGTTTTCGAAATCATTTTGAAGATCAAGGTTAAGGTTATGAGCAGAGCCGGTAAGGTTGAAATTTACAACGAGTACAAGGAAGAATGCAAATTGAAGGTTCCTTTGTTGGATTCCAAGGGAAAAGCTTCTGAAAAATTTGAGAGTACAGATTGCAAAAAGGTTCGGTTTAGCTTACAGAAAGCATATGAATGGATGGCCGTGATATGAAAGCATATAGAATGCAATATTGACACCTAATTACTTTATTTGAATGGTATTTGTTTGCAAGCATTTTCAACAAAAGTTGTCTTGTCTTGTGAAGATATCCTGAGTCTAGAAACCTTGATTGAAACCCTGCACTGGCTAGAAAAAGAAATTTCCTTTAGGGTTAGCTTGAAATTAGACCTTTGAAGTAATTAATCAAATATATGTTTTTTGTGTGGAATTCAAACCTTTATTTAACTTTAAGTATAATCTCATCTCTGCGCAGGTTGGAAGCACTAGTTCGGGGATAAAGGTGTGATTTGTACATTTGAGTCACCTCAAGACCTCGTGGAAGGTAACCCAAATCAATGTTCTAAAGCAAACAAGAACATTTTATATAGTTTTTTCAGTTTATAGTAGGTTATATGAATATGATTTTGCAATGTATCTCTATCTTGAACGGTTTATATTAGCTTGTTGGATTTCATTTAAACCGTCGTTAAGTACATTTAAACCGTCATTAAGTATATTTAAACCGTCGTTAAGTAATAACTAACTTTTCGTCCTAGTGCTTGTATATATTCTAGTAGAAAACAATTGTGTACATGATGGAAAATAATAACAGAAATCAATGCCTGTTTTGATGCAGATTATTGGGCAGGGGATTTTTAGAACACGGTCTACAGGAGGTTTTGTGATCTTTCTGGGGTTCCAATAAAATAAGTTGAGGGCTAAAAGGAAGCAAAGTGATAGTGGCTAGGTCTTCCACTGAGGTGGAATAGGTGCTGAGTCTTATTATTACCAACCACAACAGCAAAAATGAGTGCAATCTGCACGTGTTTCTTCCTCAACAAGTTTTCATGGCTCTGGTTAAGCATATATAGAGATTAGATTATCATTTATTACGTGAAAAAAGTTATTCTCAAGGAGGCTCATCTTGTGTTGGTTGCCACTCAGTTTGTATGGCGTAGGGACTTATGGTGGTCTCTTCCTCCATCAGACTTATGTACTTAAGAATCGTTCTCTTCTGATAATGAGTGTAGGAACATTACTTTTCTCTATAAAGTTTTTAATTATATAAGCGATAGTCTAAATTAATCTAATCTACGGGGAAGGGGATTCGAATTCGGAGGCAAGAAAATGGACATTCCCCTAACCAAGGGCGGAACAAGAAGTGGCTAGCTAAAGCTATTAGCTTAAAATATAAGGATTTTTTGTTTTTTGTTTTATTTTGGTACTTACAATTTTTATAATTTTTCTAGAAATAAAATTATACATTAAATCATATATAAACCAAGCTAATTAGAAACACATAAAAAAAAAAAAGATTTAGAGCCGTATCATTCGCAAAATGGTGAATTTCATTTAGAAAAATGCTTCTTGTTTGATGACCGGAGACAAATAAATGAAAAAGGTTAAAATGGGAGAGTTGGGGCTAAAGACTTTACCCTTACTAAATTGGTGTTGAGACAATCTTTGACACCAAATACAAACGTGGAACGATCTTTGACATCAACTACAAACGTAGAAGACCTCTAAACCAAAAATTACTCCTAACTATGTGTATTAGTGTTGGCAAGAAATGAAATTGTGTATTTTTATTTACAGGTTCACATACTGGGCTATATAGGTTTGATTTATTTTTTCCCCCAAAAATCTCCTCGAGCTACAGCCCACCGGAGTCCACAATGTGGTTCCGCCTGAGCCCCTAACCAATTGACCTAAACCCAATTTTATAATGTTTCTAAACATTTAAGCACGTCATCAAATATAACATCCAAGTTGAAGCATCTGAAGAAATGTTTGATCGGGCCTAAACTCTTGCTCAATGCCCTATTGTAACAACCCGATTCTTAATTTATTTTGAGAAAAGACAATTTTGTCCTTATAATAAATTATTATAGAAAATGTCACTTTCTCTAATAATTTATTATAGGGGCAAAATTGTCTTTTCTCAGAATAAATTAATAATTAATAATTAATTAATAATTGGGTTGTTACACCTATCCTACAAATGAGTCAGATAGACAAAGAGTGGTCGCGTTTCCAAAACTTTCAGTAAGTTCGCTAGTTTTTCTATGCCCAAGAAAATGTTTTGGACGTTCCCATTGGCAGATCTCACGAAATTACTCCTAAAATGCGTTGATGTGGTGTAGTAATATGACTAAAAAGGAAAAGTTTGAAATGGGCAACATATTCATTTTATATATTTATCAATGAGTGAGAGAAATTCAAATAATCGGAATCTAACATTGAAAATACTACTAGACCAACATAGACGTACTAGCATTTAAATTAATGTGCAATTTCATTTTTTTTAGTCAACCAACAGCCATTTAAATTGACAATTTCATAAACGTCACAATTGTAAAAGATTTTCTTCATCAAATCTTATCTGGAGCTTGCCCCTCATTGTCAACGATACCCAAGTCAATGACATTGGAAGTTAACAGGAAGCATGTACGTACCTTCATTGTCAATGCGGCCGACCATTGGAAGTTCACAAGTAACTTCGATCTTTTATGATTTAAATCATTCACAAGTATATAACAAGACCCAATCATTCTTCTCAGCGTATTAATCTATTCTCTTTATTCTCAGCTAGCAGCAGCCATGCGTATTGGAAGGCAAAGCCGCTGGTGCAACTTCTCTTGCTTCTTCTGGATCTTGTACTACTCCATCCTCGCCTTCATTCTTTTCATTGTCGCCGTCATCATCTTCTGGTTGATCTTTCAACCCCAGGAGCTCAAATTCACTGTCACCGATGCCTCGCTGACCCAATCAATGTCACCAACACCAACACCAACAACAACAACAACAACACTCTATACTACAACCTCGCTCTCAACGTATCCATAAGAAACCCTAACAAAAAGGCCGGTGTATAATACAATCGGATCCAAGCCATTGGCAACTATGGGAAAAAGAGGTTTGCATTGGTCAACACCACTTCCACTCCATTTTACCAAGGCCACAAGAACACAACCATGGTGCGTTTTGTTCTTAAAGGGCAGCAAGTGGTGGTGCTTGGGGGAAAGGAGCTTTCTCGGTTTAACTCGGAAACAAGTGCTAGGGTTTACAATATTGATGTGAAGCTCGCTCCACGGATAAAGGCTAGGTATGGTAAGATCAAGACTGCCTACTTCAAGCCCCCAAAGGTGGATTGTCAACTCAAACTTCCTTTGAGTACTATTTATAACAATGGAACTTCTGTAGGTCCTAAGTTTGTTTCCAAGGAGTGTGGGAGTGTCAAAATCTTTACAATCTCCGTGGGGATTGAGATTGGTCCTTTTAGTTTTGAAACAGGCTGATCAGGAGTATAAGGGATGCCCTTCAATGATATATCTTGAATATTTTTACTGTGAAATAATCCTCTCAGTTTGAGTTTAGTAATGGAAATTATGTAGCTAAAAGAAGAGTAATGGTTTATTACAAGCTTCAATTAATTAATACCATTGTCTATTTGTTGAAATTAAAATTGATGATGACATTGTGGATGCAAAAATGTGTGTTCCCACACATAACCTCTTTCTATTTTACTTTATACATTAGAATTTGTTGATTATGCCATACAACTGCTTGTTTACTACCGGCAACACTATCCCTCTTTACATGGGAGAGCAATTAAGTGAATGCGTGTTATAGCTAAATGTTGAAATCCACTATGAACTCGATTTGCCCCTTAATTTTTCGGCAATAATTTTCGCTTTGAACTAATAACAACATCTAATTTCACCCTTACATTCAAATGTCATTACATTTCATCTAATTTGCTCTTTAAAACGGGATATGTATAAAAAAAATAACACGCAGCTATTACATGTGTATTTTCCATAAAACGGGATATGCATCTAGACACATTGAATCATTTCACAATTTTAGATTTACATATCAGATTCTTGTATTGATTTCTTGAAGAAATTGATCTTTTCCTTTTCAAAATCTACATTCCATCATATCATTCTTGACGTGTGCTGTGCTGTTAGTGCCATGAGGTAAAAGAGCTCAAGAAGGATGCTGCCACTTTCATGAGAGACTAGCTGCAAACATTTTGACTTGGAGAATAAGACTGCTTAGGAAGTTATAGCTTGTACCTGTTTTCCTTTGTAACTTTCTTTCTCTATTAGTGGATTGCCTTGTCAAATGATGACCCCTAGTTTTTTCAAGTGGTGGGTTTCTCAGTGAACATGTGTGTTAGTCTGTTTGGTTGCCTAGTCATGCTATATATGTGTCACATCCCAATTTTTATTTTATTTTATAGAAGTGTGAGGTACAAGAAAAACTAGAACTAAAATTTAAGTAACAAGAAACATGAAAACTGAATAGAAACTTTTATTTAAACCAAAGTAATTTACATAATAATTTTACAACTAAAATAACAGGAAAGAAAATCTCTCTTAACTTATTTTTCTACAACAAGAAGTCCAAAACTATCTACAACTCGTCCTTCTTGTTTCAAGTCACAAACTAAACCTTAGATCCAAAACCTGCAATAGATTTAATAAGGGGCGAGCACTACAAGCTCAGTAGGGGTCCTATGTCTTACGTGATTAGTGAGAATTTCAATATGTAAATTATGCAATGCATGAATGAACTTCAATTCTACCCAACCCGCTAATCTATATTATAGGGCAAGCAAATCTGCATGTTCCATATCATGTATTTTACCACTGTGATTCCGAATGGCCTATTTGTTGGTAAAATATAAAGATAATTGCTATATTTATAGAATTTAAAAAATAAAACTTCACTATAAATTCTAAATAAATACAAGAAAATAACGACAAGATAAATGTTATGAATACTTTACAGATGATCGAGTCTAGAACTTGGTTCTATCTCCTGGTTCTATCTCCTTAAGATGAAATTGCCTTCTCACATGTGCTTTTAGGATTTGCTTGGCAAACGTCTCCCAGGATACAACGATCGATTTCTTGTTGAAGTAGCACTACAATTCCCAAGAAAAGCAAACTCAAACTTGTGTATGAATTCTCTCTTACTAACTCACTATATTTCTAAAAATATATGAATGCTCTAAAAACTACTATTGTTGGATGACAATTGGATGAATGAAATGTTGTAGGATCTTTTCTATTTATAGGCAACAAGGCCTTTGTATAGAAAATATGTGACTGAAAAATATCAACAAATGTGTCTTTCCATGTTGCAACCATAAGCGAAGAAGTGAAATGTTTCATTTATAATGAAACAATGCAATTTAAGTCAAGAAGTGTAATGTTTCAATTTCTATGAAACAATGCAACTTATGACCCAAAAAAAAAAAGGCAACTTAAGCCAACAAGTGCAATGTTTCAATTTCTATGAAACAATGCAACTTATCACATAAAGTATTATTATTTTACAAATAAAATAAATAATATTTTATTTTTCCTTGGTTAAGAACATGACTATTCCCAATGAATACATACCAAAAAGTCATGTACTTAAAGTCACGAGTCCCATAATTTAATTTCCATTCAATTATTAAAAAATTAAATATAAATATTATAATTTTCTAACACTATTACATAAACTAACACCCGTAACATTCCCAATTTCATATTCCAATTTTGATATTCATCTTGTATAAACCATCAATCTCCAAGCCCAAATCAAGATAGCCACCAAATAGCTGACAATGAGTTGATCCTGTTGAAACCAAAGAAGATAGTCAAAATTTGGGAGCAGGAACAGTAGAGTCAGAGACAATGAGAGTCTTAGCAGGGGCACAGGTGGAGCCATCCACATATTTGAGTAGCCCATGACCAATGAGAAAGGGGCGAAGTTGAGCAGTCCAGAGAAGATATATAATTGGATTCAGTAAGCTTGATGAAATTAGCCAAGGTTGGGCCAGGGGGGGAGGAAGTCGATGTCGTGGAGGAGGAGGAAGCAGAAGCATTGATGACCATGGCGAGAGAGGAAGGAACATGTCCAGAGAAGGAAAAGATTTTGTTAGAAAAGGAGAATGGCTAATACCATGTAAACTTTGTATTTTAGATTGATTTGATAAGTGTAATACATGAGAGATTTATACATAGTTGATAACCCTAGTAGAGATATATACAAGGAAACTGAATCAGCAATACAAGGAAGGTAAATCAATATTAACACGTATACAAATATGGAATGAGAATTCTTATAAGGGAGGAAAGTAACGACTATGAGTTAATTGCGTGATAATATAGTGGGATTCAAAGCCATATTGTCCTAGGAATATCAAGAATCCTTATAAAAAAATTAGACAAATTGGGAACCATTTCGACATCCAATTGTGTCTTACAAAATCAATGAACACTGTGCTTCATGAAAGTACTAAAATTTCAATAACTCAATTGAGTGGTTAAATAATATCGGATTCAAGTGATTTTTTTTGTAGAGATGATCTTTGAATGAGTATCTACAAAATAGACAGTTTGGATTAGTGAAATACAATCCGGAGTGGGGCCTACAAGGGGTGTCCCTCAAATAAGTTATTTGAGGGATCCCTCAATGGAAGCTCTCTCTCTCTCTCTCTCTCTCTCTCTCTCTCTCTCTCTCTCTCTCTCTCTCTCTCTCTCTCTCTCTCTCTCTCTCTCTCTCTCTCTCTCTCTCTCTCCTTTCTTGTTTCTATATCTTATGTAGCTATGCATTAATTCAGGCCCCAAGTCAACATGATATGACTTTGGAATTTACTTTGTTTCCAATGATCAGGACTCTTATCATTCGGCAGGAAAAAGAAAAAGAAAAAGAGATCACTCATATCACGTTGGGATGTTCGCAAGGGATAATTACTTCGGAGTTTCTGAGTGTTGGTCGCCTAGTATTGTTTTAAACATCAAACCTTTTAGGTGTATTATGTCAAACACACACATCTGATTTTGCTATTTAACTCTCACCATGCTCGGAAGTAGGCACAGCCGTGACTGGTGTTTCAAGTGCTACTTCTGCCTCGTGGCCTACGCCACCCTCATCTTCTTCATCTTCACCATCTCCGTTTTCATCTTCTGGCTGATCTTTCTTCCCCAAGAGCTCAAATTCACTGTCACCGACGCCTCACTCAGAAAATTCGATCTCACTAACACCACCCCAAACACTACTCTCTATTACAACCTTGCGCTCAACATCTCTATAGGAAACCACAACAAAAAGGTTGGTGTATACCTCAGTCACATCCAGGCCATGGCCAACTACGGAGATAAGAGTTTTGCCGTGGTGAACAACATTTCGACTTCTTTCTACCAAGGCCACAAGAGCATAAGTAATGTACGTGCTATGTTTGAAGGACATCAAGTTGTGGTGCTTGAGGAATTGGAGCTTTCCAGGTTCAACTCGGAAAGATGTGCTGGGGTTTACAATATTGATGTAAAGTTGGGTCTTTGGGTAAAGGCTAGGTATGGGAAGATCGAGACTGGCTGTATAAGTCCCCCCAGTGTCGATTGCCAGCTGAAAATCCCTTTGAGTAGTTCTCCTAATGCAAGATATGTGGGTGCTAATTTTAGCGCCACCGATTGTGGGGGTGTCGCCCTCCCACTCCTTGTACCTTATAGGGCTTGTAATCAAAATAAATAAAAATTACATTGATCGCATTTTCACTTAAGACCATGTACTTTTGGAGTTTACACGAACCCCCTTGAGGGTTTTAAAGTGGTTGCAAATTAAAGTCTCCATGAAGATTTCGTCATAAATTTACTGACAAATCCAAAAGTTTGACAAGCAAGTGCGGACCATACTCAGCTTGAGGGCTTGACAGAAAAATGTAACGATTTTTCCATTGATGATGACCAAGTCTCTACACAATATGAGTTTATTGAAACAATAGGAAAAAAACTATTCTTAACAAAGAAGTATATATGATATGATGCTTACATAAAGAATTAATTCTTAGCTTATTTGCTGTTTTCCCTTCCATCTAGCATCTCTTACACGTTATTACATATTAGTATTTGTTGATCGGAAATGCTTTTGCTCACCACTTTAATACAAGGTGTACCTTCATCACCCTTCTCAACACTTGACATGTGTTCATTAGCATATCCATAATTAACTATTTACTTTGTATTTATGGAACCATGGTTATGTTAATGGACATGTGTCAAGTGTTGAGAATGATAGTGAATGTACACTTTGGTTAAAGTGGTGAATGCTCCCTTGTTGATCAAGGCTCTATATGAAATTAGTATATTTGCAGCTCACCGTGTACATGTAGACCTCCTTTGATAAACATAAATACTTCCCCGTTCGCTAAAAAAATATGGAACATTTCAACATCGCATCTTCTTATGCTTAAGCAATAACCACGATATGATACTAAAGTCAACTAGTTGGAAGCTTCCGAGAAGTACTTCCTTCATTAACGTCCTTAATCTGGCGTTTGACTTTGAACTGTTCCCGATCCTTTATAATCCTCTGCCAATAGAGAGAAGCCTATACATATAAACTTCCCATGCCCATAGGCAAACTTGATCTTTCACCATTAAATCCAGCTGAATTTTTTTCTTCTCAACCATGTTTGGAAGGAGTGGCCTCTGTTGCTTCTGCTTTTGCTTGTGTTACATCACCTACTTCTTATTCTTCCTAGCCTTCTTCATATTCTGGTCCATCTTCCTTCCCCAAGAGCCCAAATTCACCATCACCAATGCCTCTCTCACCCAATTCAATCTCACCAACACCAGCATCAACAACAACACTCTCCACTACAACCTCACCCTTGAGATCACCATCAGAAACCCTAACAAAAAAGTCGGCTTATACTACCGCCGAATCCTATTCGTTGCTAACTACAGAAAGAAGAGGTTTGCTTTGGTGAGGTTGAATTCGACGCCGTTTTACCAAGGCCACAAGAACACCACCATTGTGAATGCAAATCTTGAAGGGCAGCAGTTGATGAGATTTAAGGAACGTGACATTTCCAACTTTAACTCGGAGACTGCAAATGGGGTTTATAGCATTGATGTGAAGATTGCTCTTCGTATAGGAATCAGATTCGGCAAGGTGAAGACGGGTTACTTCAAGATTCCAAGGAAGAGCGACTGCAAGCTGAAGGTTCCTTTGAGCACTTCATTTAATGGAACATTTTGGAGTGGTTTCCAGACCACCGAGTGTAAGAGTTTTCATATCTTTGGTGACCCTGATGCTGCCTAGCAGATTTTATTATGTTTTTTTACTCCCATGCACTGGCAGATCCACAGAGGAGCAAAAAGGTGCAGCTGCACCTCTCCTCGCCGGAAACTTCCTGTGGATGTCAGAATTTGCCCCTTCGCTATTGCCCACCAATTGTTCGACTAAATGCCTCAAAGACGTTGTTTTGTTTGCTGCTGTGTGAGACTCTAAATATTTACCTTAGATTGTTGGGCTCGATCTCACAAGCATGTAGGAGAAAACGGTTCATCAATCGGAGCTCCACAACCAAAGTTATGAATTTTCGAAGTTTTTCTAGAATTAAAGTTAGAGTTGCAGAGGCTCTTCGAGGAAGAAGAAAGACTCTGCTTCTCACTTTTGATTTTTTTTTAAATGGTCCAATAGCAAGCTGACACATGTCCATTTCTAATTGGCCTAACTTAAAAAATTCATTAAAAACTCATATGTGTGCCAAAAAATTCACAAAAAATTACCCAGAACTTTTAATCACGTGTACTTTTATCTCTGACCTCCAAATCACATGTGCTTTTGGTTAGATTAATTGGTATTAATTTTGGTTAGATTAATTGGTATTGACTTTTGTTAGATTAATTATGTAATTGACATGGATTTTGTTCATATTTGATATGAATTTTGGTAAACTAATTGTGTCACTGACATGGATTTTGTTCATATTAATTGATATTCCATACAGACTGTAATCAATTAGTAATACACGTAAAATTATTATTTGTTTTAATTACGAATAACATTAGTATTGTTAAAATTCTAAGGGCATTTGGTTGTCTAAATTAATTTTTGAATTTTTAGCCTTTTTTTTAACACACTACATGGATATTAGACTTGAACCTTGGACCTTGCTTGAGTCCTTTGCGATTTTTAGTCTTTTAAATCTTGCACCTCCCCTGAAAAATTCATGGATCCGTCACTGCTCCCATGTTTAAATAGTTTGACATAGCCACTCCCCTTGTTATTGTTATATGTAACATTCAGGACTTGACATATGTTTCATATTCCAAAGTCGAAACTAAGATAAGGTGCCAGCCTGAAAACTTACTATTTTTAACACATAAACTAAAACGGGAATACTTACAAGATAAATACACATTTTATACGTGTCTTTACTAACAATGCAGAGTCTCTACGCCTTATATATACTTGTAACTTGTTACCCTACCATATTTCCCTATACCTCAACAATCTCACACTCTTGTTAATTAGAAATATTATGAATCATATTCATTTGAAAATCTGTTTGTCCCCCACCCCTTCTCTGTCTTTCTCTCTCAACCAAGGATTGAAATATCGGCCGATACACCGATATATCTGTCGATATATCGGTATTTTCAACTGTCGACATCGATACTGGGGGGTAAGGCCATATCTTCCCATGTATCGACGATATATCCCCGATAAGTGCGATATCCCCGATATTTTGCCGATATCTCGGATATTTCCCGATACCCATAATAGAACCCAAAAAAAATTCAAAAGTTTTGAAGGCAATTGAAGCAAAGTGAAACCCAAAAATAGCTAATCCTTGCCCATAACCTTATAATTTATTAATATGAAGAATCTATGCACAGTCCACTGCCTACATACCTCCAATCCATCTGAAGAGGACATGGCGACCAGTTTTGGATCTATGAGCATAGGAACTAAACCTAGTACTAACTCAAATGAATCTTATGATGGCTATAGTTGTCATGTCTGATTATAGTGGAACTAGTTATGGAGCTCAAGATGATAAAACAGATTATGGACCTACTAGTTGGTTAATCCTAACTATCTCATATATGGGAGGACAATAGGGAGCTCAGGAGAGACCTATGCGCACCATGTTCAAACATGGCTTACAAACTGCTCGGGTTACATGACTTGGTATGACTATTGTATGAATCTAGATGGTTGTTCCTCATTATTTGAACCTCATAGGAGCTCTTCATTTATGTAGATTGACACTTATCTAAATTGTAATCCAATGTTTAAACAAACTACGGATTTATGCATGGTTTATTCATTCTAATGAACATTTTATTTTCAAACTTTTCATTAACGAGCATTACATACCACTTATATTTCATCATATGTATATCTTATTATTAGTAAATTTTGAGTTTTATTTGTTCAATACATTCATTGATAATGTACATAACATCTATGAAAGTTTTACACCAAAATTATGTGTTTCAATGCCTATATCTGTCATTTTTGTTGATTTTTTCCCGATACCTAAAACGATAACGATATATCCCCCGAAATATCCGTAAATTGGAGGCCCGATATTATCTGCACGGCCGATATTTTAATCCTTGCTCTCAACCATGCTAAAAAAAATTTGCTGCTGTTGCTGCATCCTTGTTGTAATACTTGGTGCCCTCAGCGGCACTGGTTGGTTCGTTATCCGGCAATTCAGCCCCTTGAAATCGGTCATCTACAATGTCACCGATGCCTCACTGACCCGATTCAACCTGACTGCGGCCAACAACACCATCCAATACAATCTATCCCTCAACATGACTGTTGAAAACCGTAACAAATGGAATGACTTCCACTACGAAAATTTTGAAGCCGTTGCTAGTTATAAGAACCAGGATTTGAGTAATAGTAGCTTGGCCCCCTTTCTCGTAGGGCACAAGAATTCGTTTGTATTGACTCCATCGTTCGAGGGGCGGCGACTGGTGGCTCTTTCGAATGATGAGGTTTCGAATTTTAGGAATTCTACAGTTTTCGATATCGTTTTGAAGCTCAATTTTAAGTATTGGACCAAGATTGGTGCGGTCAAGATTGACAAGGAGCTCCAAATGGCTTGCTATTTCAAGGTTCCATTGAGTTCTGGCGGAAAATCAGCTGAAAATTTTGATAGCACCAAGTGTGATAAGGCTTAAATTTGTTTCATGTACGTAGTTTAGAGTTAGATTATATTTTTGTATAATTTTTCTCTCTTTCAAATTTTGTTTCAATGTTCATTTGATGACCTTGTTTTCTGGTTTACTTTCAAATTAATAATCCCAATCTAGATCTAGGGAACCTTTACTTCAAAATAGCGGCTATTTTATATGTGATGATATTATCATGGCAGAATAACGTAGAATTATTAATTCATTCAAATTAAAGTACACATACAATTATTAAACCCAGCATAATATTTCAATAATTATGCACATATTATAATTTAGGTGGATTTGTAATAATAAGTCGGCGTGTCACGTATTGTTTTCACATAGTAATTCTTTTCAGTTCTGGACATGTTTATTCAGTTTAAATCCTTCCTAACAATTTTAGCCTGAATGAATTTGTAGTTTTTTTATGGCTATAAAAGTACATGTAACCCTACACGCAGAATCAACCAAAGAAAAATGAATATTTCCATACATAAACATGCAAATTTAAAAGAATTTGGTTACGTGTTTGTGGCCATTGGTTGGAGATGGATCAATCAAGGTAACCCGAGTGCAACTATCCGGATAAAAGTGATCCATTTTAAAGACCCAGCTCGCAATCTCAAGGCGGCACCGACTTCAATAAGATTTTGGCATTCCGCTAGCCTCCCTTGTCTTTTTAAAATCCAATAAACTCACACCTTTGTGAATTTTGATAGGTGCGAAGGAGTTCAATTCTATTGGTTAGTAATATAATTTACAAATCCTATCTTTATGTTATTTAATTTTTTTTTAAAATAAAAAACAGAAGAAAAAAAGGCAAGATTGGGAGATGGGAGAATTGAACCTAGAACTTTAGGTACATGAGTACATGCTCTTAACGACTTTAGCTATAAACCCTTTTTTGTGTTATTATCTTTAATACACAATTATTGTAAGGTAATATCACATTTTGAGAAAATGTCAAAGAGTTTTATGTGACCGTAGACTTTTATTGAAGAAAATAGTTTAGATACCGTTAACTACATCTAAAAGCCTTTTTCTTGTCTGAAGGTTTCTCATGTCCGTATAATTCGGCAAAAGTAATTCTTAAGATTTTTCGGTTAATTAACATGTAAAATGCCGCTATAATTACATGAATGTGAAATATTAAATGAAATTAGGAAAACAAATTACAACTAGTAATTCTAAAATGATGTAGAATAGATGGTGGAAGCAATTGAAGAGGAGTTGGAGAGACGCACGCGCAAGGGCAAACTTGGAAAGCTGCAAGTTTGGGCCCTGAGATTAGTTTTGGTCCCATGACCCGAGATCGTTTAACAGCCCAAAATCCATTTTTTATGCTTTATCAGTTTTTGGAAACTTTGTTATTTTCCTATTTTAATCCTTGTTTATTCCTAGGGTTTCTAGGGTATTTAAACAACTTTAAACCTGTGGTTAGGGTTATGTTATGTTATTCCATATTATCAATGAACTTGATGTTCCCTTATTTCTTTCTCGTGGATTCCAGAATTGTGTGTTTTAGGCTAAAGCTTAGCCATCCAATTCATCATGATGTGTCATAAAATCTCATGGCATGAGATTTTTCACATTCGACTTTTCTTCTTGCATTAATTACAAATCACAATCAAAACTAAGTTGTGCGGCGCTCCTCAAAACATGATGTTCTTAAATTTACGTACACTAGATTAACACGGGATAATATTTTAAAATACACGTATAATACATGTATTTACTAAGTATGCACATTCTATATCCCTTATAAATCATTCAAAGGCGCCATATCCGGCGTTTGTACCCTATATGTACCCTTCATTTTTATACCTTAGCAATCTCGCATTCAAGTTGCCATCCCTCTTTTGTCTTGGTGGTAGAGAAAATCCACATCAAGATCAAAAGTTTTAAGGGTTGGTGCTCGTGTGGCAAAACTAGAAAGAAAATAATCTTGCACTCTTCATTACAAAATCTCATTGCCCGCCCCCTCCTCCCAAATCTCTATCAACCATGGCTTGGAACTGGAAAAAATGTTGCTGCTGTTGCTGCGTTCTCATAATCGTATTTTTCATTGCCATCCTCACTGCCACGCTCGTCATTCGCGAATACAGCCCTCAGCATTCGATCAACTACCAGGTGACCGATGCATCGCTGACCCAGTTCAACTTGACGACCAATAAAATCCTCCAGTTCAATCTAGCCACCACCATAAATGTTGAAAACCCTAACAAGAGGTCTGATTTCCACTATGAGAAGTTTGAAGCCGTCGCTTCTTACAAAAGCCAGGATTTGAAAAATACTAACTTCGACCCGTTCGAGGTAGAACACAAAGGTAAGCATCCTTTGAAAGCAGTGTTCAAGGGGGAGCAATCGGTGTCTCTTCTGGATGATGAGGCTTCAAAGTTTAAGGCCACCACAGTTTTTGATATCGTTATCAAGTTGAATGTTAAGCAGTGGGCCAAGTATACTACATTCAAGATTACTGAGGAGATGAAGATGAAATGCAACTTGAAGGTTCCTTTAAATTCCAACGGAAAATCAACTGAAAAATTTGAGGTTGCTAAGTGTGATAAGGAATAAATTTTTCATGGGTAATGTACATGGTTGGTTGTGTAAGATGGGGATTGTGTTTTTTGTTTCTCAAATTAATTCATAAATGAAATTTTTTTTGTTTTCTTTTAGATTCATATGCTAGCTAGGGTTCGATGCATTACATTGATATGATTATGCGCATGCGTTTGTCAAGAGTCTTTTTTTTTCTACATCCGTTGACAAAAGAAAAAATGTGTTTGAAAAACAATACGATGCTAAAATAATTAGTCACCATTAACGTACGAGGATATTCATACATGTATACTTTCATTTTAGTATAGGCTCTGTCGAATTCCTATATTTAGTAGTTGCAGCCTCCTCTCCTCGATACAATCATATAAAAATCGTCCTATATTTCAGTTCATTGGCATCTTCAGTTGGATGTTTCCTCGAGTTTGTAGTTTTTGCTATGGACTAAGAGGAAAAAACTAAAATAATAAACATTAATATTTTTTATTAGAAATAATAATTTAATAAAATAATTATATTTTATAAAAAATTTATAAAGAAAAAACCAAAGCTTCCACTACCTCCCCCAATGCAGCCCCTTTCCGACCCTATTTTGCAAGAGCTCGGCTACCCATTAAATTTGATTGCATCTCCATCCAATTTGATCTCTGTAGCTAGTTTGGTTATGGGTTTTGTTATTCTCGATTTTCTAGCAGAACGTGAAAGATGATTGTTCTTGAAAACAACTATGGCGAGGAGGCCACGCGTGATTGGAATTCCGGAGGGGGCGGTGGCGGATGATACTGATACCAATAGTAGGTCTCTATATGTATGTACCTATGAGTGCAAGACTGGTCATGTTCGTTACGATATTCGCGCCATTAAATTGGGCGATTTATTATACACATTCAAATCCAAATCCAAGATAGAGTTACTGCGAAAATTGGCTTCTGTGGAGGGCAAGGGTGTTCCCTACTTGATGGGTTGCAGTTTGTTGGGCTCCCAAATTCTTCTTGCCGGCGGCCTGGAACCGGGGGACCCGAAGCAGTAGGGGGGGTTTCGATACGGACCATATGGGAGCAAACAAATTTATCTGTTTGAGACAGATGATGATGGGAAAAGAAAGGAGACAGTAGTTTACAATCACGGTCACAGTCACACTACTAGTGATGAAGGAGAATTTGGGGGGATCATCAAGGGGGACTGCATTTTTATGACATAGGCGTAGAGGTTTGTTTAATTATTGATTTGAAAGTTTACCATTCGTTTTGAATTCAAGGGTTTCTCTAGTTGGTAAAGGTGATATGTAATGGATTAACGCATATGTAGAAAAGGAAACAAAAATAAAACAGGAAACAAAGGGTACAATTGTACAAGATTTTAGTCTACTGCACAAATTAGGAAATAAATCTCATCTAATTAACACACGCCAATTTCATTAATTTTTTTTAATTATATAAAGCGTGTATATCCTTTGGTGCAGCACAACAGAAGAAATCAGAAAACCTAGAGCTAATATCAGAGAGCTCCAAAAAGAAAAACAACTATGGCGAGGAGGCTACACGTGATGGGAATTCCAGAGGGGGCGGTGGCGGATGATACTGATGCCAACAATATGTCTCTATATATATGTACCCACGAGTGCACCACCCATCATGCTCGTTACGATATCCGTGCCATCAGATTGAGCGATTTATCATCCATACTCAAATCCAAATCCCAATCCCAATCCAAGTTTACTAAATCAGAGTTGCTGCGAAAATTGGCGTTTATAGAGGGTGATGATGTTCCTTACTTGATGGGTTGCGGTTTGTTCGGCTCCCAAATTCTTCTTGCCGGTGGCCAGAAACCGCCGGGCCCCGAGATGTCGATAGGGTGTCGATACGGACCATATGGGAGCACACAAATTTATCTGTTTGAGACAGATGATGATGATGAGAAAAGAAAGGAGAAAGTTTACAATCACGGTAACCGCTTTGGATCTTCACCGCCCTTCACCCCTCCTTCTCACGATCACATTCACAGTGGGGGTATCATCAAGGGGAACTGCTGCTATGGTAAACTTCATCAAGTGAAAGCTGAACCATTGGTGGTTGAGGTTGGTGGGAAGCTCTTTGTTCTCTCTGGGGGTCTGCTAGCTTCATCTGAAAGTCCAATTTTTGAGGAGTTCAACCCGTGTGAAGGTAGTTGGACCACTCTGCCGGACCCTCCAGATATGTGGCGTTATACTAGTGAATTTCATTACTTCTCCTGTGCAATTGTGGGCACCAAGATCATGGTGTCCACCCCAATATCTCCGGTGTTCTGCTTTGACGTGGCTGGCCCGAATCCCCGCCAATGGTCAGTGTGCTCTGCTGTGCCTTTTCCCTTCAAAGGCATGGCTTTAGTGTTGGACTCGGGGCTGGATGATAATTGTAGTAAGATAGTGTTTGGCTATGAAGACGTCCCCGGACATGGTGATGACATAGTAGCCTACATGATGTTCAACGATAATGAAAATGGTTATTGTTCTTGGTTTCCCATCGCCCCTCTAAATCTGCTCACAGAGTTCAGTAAATTAGTATTAGTTGGTGGACCAGATGACACGTTTAGTTTTGTCCATCTAGGAGGTGGAAAAGTCTGCTTTGCTGGTTCCTGTTTCACCCCAAGCTTGGATCCTCCTGTTAGTTTGGAGGAGGACATGAATCTTATTGTCGTGACATTCGAATTTTCCATTTCCGATAAGGATAGTAATTCAGCAAGAATCTTGGCAGTCAAAGCCTTGGGTTTTTGCATCTTTCCTTTGGATTTTGCTTCAGAAGAGGGTAAGCGATGCCAGGCCAAACTGCTCGGTTGCTTTGTGCGCTAATTAAGTAAGCTGCTCCTGCTCCTGCTCCTGCTGCAATGGAATGCAATCAAATGTAATACAGTTTGGGTTCATCCTATGGTTCTAATTAAGTGCAGTGACTCGCAAGTACTGGTGATCACTTGTGGAATATTATTTAATTTCCTTTTAGTCCTTGTTGGAATATAAATATTTACTATTACTTGGTATTACAATGGGAACGTTGTTTTCTATCACAAGCTCACCCTTCATTTTCTATGTGAGTTTTTCATTTTCAATTTTTTGTCTTCTGTTTGCATCATTGAAACCTACATCAAACTCAAATTAAATGAACCCAACCCCTATTTAAAAAAAATAAAAATAAAAATCTACCGTTAAATCAACTCCGACAAAAATAAAAAAAACAAAAAAGAGTTCCACTGTACAGTGACAAAACATTGATTCCAATCGAAACCCGCAAACACACAAGTAAAAGGGATCAAAAGAAAAAGAAAATATATAAAGAAGATATGACAACCCTATTAATCAATGAGAAATGGAATTTTTGGATTGAAGAGAAAAGAAGAATTTGGGGGGAGAAAGGAGACGCTTGGAGAGAAAGGAAGAATAAGTTTGGCGTTTCTTTAGGAAATAATTTTGTTTTTTAATTGAAGTTTTTTCTGGAAAGATATGTAAATGAGATGATTTGGGGTTTTGATTTAAAGAAAATGTGTCAACTTTGAATCCTTTGGATTAAAATATTTAAGTATTGTGGTGTATGAAGAAGGAAAGTCAAGCAAATCATAACAAAAAGAAATCTAAGCAGAGGATCCGGATCCGAACGGGTAATCCACTATTTGATTCATATATATTATTTTTATTATTTTCAACTGTTTTACCCCTAAACCAACGATAATCGAACTTAACCCCTAGAGCTAAAAAAAAAAATAGCTAATTTAGCACTCGAATTTATGAAAACATCCAATTTAGCCCTTATCATCAATTTTTTTTAAATTTCATCCACTTTTCCGTCCAAAAAATCACATGTCCTTCATGTGACTTACTATTTGAATTATTATTATTATTAAAAACTAAAGTATTTAGAAAAAAAAACTAAAAAATGGGTAAAGCACGTAGGCACAAGTAAAAGCATCTATCAACTACATATGGGGTGGCACTAGAGTGGAAAAATAAGCCAAATTCTCCTCTCCCCTTCCCCTGAAAGTACACCTGATTTCGATTCACGTATGAGACAATTTTGAGAAAACCCAATATAATACTTCCTCCTTCCCCTCCCCATCCAACTTAAAAATAATAAAAAATCTATCAACTCCAATCACCACCGGAAATGGATAGAGCACATAGCCACAAGTAAAAGAGGAAATCCAGCAAGAATGCAAAACACAAAATAGCTTCTGGTTGGTGGATTAATGCGAATGACTAATCTATTACACTATGCAAATTAGGAAAGATGATGAAATTAAAAGAAGAATAATAATTTATCGAAATTTACATTTACATTTTTTTTTTGGCTGGATTTTTTTAAAAATAACTTAACAATTAGAGGAGTGCAAAAAAGGTAAGAATAGTAAATAATTAAAAGGAAAGGAAAATAGAGTGCAAAAAAGGTTAGAATCGAAACTAGTTGCCCAAAATAAATTTATTAAAGCGAAGCGTGTATCCTTGGTGGAGCACATACGCAAACAGAAGAAATAGGAAAACCAAGAGCTAATAGAATAGATCAGTGAGCTCCAAAAAGAAAATAAAAAATGGAGAGGAGGCTCCGAGAGATGGGAATTCCGGAGGGGGCGGCGGTGGCGGATGATACTGGTACCAACAGTAGGTCTCTATATATATGTACCTACAAGTGCAATAGCAGGAGTTTTCATGCTCGTTACGATATCTCCGCCATCGGATTGAGCGATTTATCATCCATACTCAAATCCAAATCCCAATTAAAGATTGACAAATTAGAGTTGCTGCGAAAACTGGCTTCTGTGGAGGGCAAGGATGTTCCCTAGGATATGGGTTGCTGTTTGTTCCGCTCCCAAATTCTTCTTGCCGGCGGCCGGAAACCGGATGACCCGGAGCAGGACGATACGTCTCTATACGAACTAGATGCGGGCACACAAATTTATCTGTTTGAGGCAGATGACAATGAGAAAACAAAGGCCAAAGTTTACAATCACGGCAACCGTTTTGGATCTTTTCCTCCTCCTCACAGTCACAGTCATAGTCACGGTGGGGGGATCATCAAGGGGGACTGCTGCTACGGTGAACTTCATCAAGGGAAACCTCAACCATTGGTGGTTGAGGTTGCTGGGAAGCTGTTTGTTCTCTCTAGTGGTCCGGTAGATTTCCCTAGTCCAGCTTTTGAGGAGTTTAACTCGAATAAGGGGATTTGGACCACTCTGCCGGACCCTCCGCCGTATACTGGTGACTGTCGTGACTTCTCTTATGCAATCGTGGGCACCAAGATCATGGTCTCCACCCCAATATCTTCGGTGTTCTGCTTTGACGCCGATGCCCCGAATCCTGGCCAATGGTCTGTGTGCTGTGCTGAGCCTTTTCCCTTCGAAGGCAAGGCTTTAGTGTTGGACTTGGAGGAGGATGATAATCGTAATAAGATAGTGTTTGGCTATGAACACATCCCTGGACATGGCTATGATGTAGTAGCCTACACCATGTTCAACGATGATGAAAATGGTTATTGTTATTGTCATCGCATCACCCCTCTACATCTGCTGACAGAGTTCAGTGAATTAGTTTTTGGAACAGATAACACGTTTAGTTTTGTCCATCTAGGAGGTGGAAAAGTCTGCTTTGTTATTGCCTATTCCATGGCAAGCTTTGAAGGTGATGATGATTATCCTATTCTTGGGGAGGAGGAAGTGGATCTTATTGTCGTGACATTCGAATTTTCCATTTCCAAGAAGGATGGTAATTCTACAAGATTCTTCTCAACCAAAACTTTGGGTTCGTGTATCTTTCCTTTCGATTTTGCTTCAGAATCTGGTAGCGTCTTCGAGGCCAAACTGCTCGGTTGCTTTGTGCGCTAATATGCAATGCAACTTCTTTCTTTCCTTCAATAATCTTTCTGGCTGACTCATTTCTATTTATTTATATTAATTTTGAGGCTAAGCATTTTCTTGCTAGGATCTCGGGTTTAAGGGTGAATGCTCTTAACCACTAGAGTTTAACGCATGTTGGTGCTTATGGTTAGCGTTCAATTTAAACTTTGGCACTAAAGAAGTGCTGAGTAGTCAGCACACCAAAAACTTTTCACATCCAAACCTCAATTTGCAAACTAATACTTTCATTACTCAACACATCCTAACATATTCATGAGACACCTCTGATTATTTTTTTTAAAATAAATTTCTTTAAACTTAAAATTAAAAAAAAATCAAATCAAATCAAATGAAGATCAAATATCATCGAGGCCAATCATCGCTAGTGTTAACATGAGGCGACTTTTAATCTTTTGTATTTGATAGCCTTTCGAAAAACCCAAAAATTTTGATTTGATTTTGGTTAGATGAAAAACTTAGTTGAACAACCAAACTGCACTGCTAATATTCTTCAGCATTCTATCAACGAACTACTTCCAATTCAATAACTTTGGAAGTTCCTCCATATAACAAACAAATAATAAAGAGAGTACATGATTGCGACACACCTTGGAAGTTCCTCTTGGGATTTTTCACAAAACTGTCCCTATTTGGCTTTTACATTGAACTCTTTGGCAGGGAAATTCTCTGTCTATTGCTAATCGCCTAAGCTTCATGCATGTACATAAGTTCTATCAACATCCTATGCATATTCCTCAGCATTGTATTAACTAATAGTTAAACTTTTGACATATAGATAAGCCAAAACTCACCCAACCTTCCCATTCCACAGAATCCATTTCTTGATTTTCATCTTGCCATGTCTCGAAGGCATCGCTGCTGCGCCTGCTCCTTCTGCGTGTTCTACAACATCGTCCTCTGCTTCCTCCTGTCCCTCGTCATATTCTGGTTGATCTTCCTTCCCAAAGAGCCCAAATTCATAGTCACAAATGCCTCCCTCACGCAATTTGATTTCTCCACCACTAACAACACTCTCTTCTACAACCTTGCCCTCAACATCACCATCCGAAACCCCAACAGAAGGGTTGGCATATACTACAACCGCATCGAAGCCATTGCTAACTACAGAAAGAACAAGTTTGCTTTGGTCACGTTGACTTCGACTCCATTTTACCAAGGCCACAAGAACACCACCACTTTACAACAAGTCCTTGTTGAAGGGCAGCAGGTTGTGGTGTTTGGAGAACATGACATTTCCAAGTTTAACTCGGAGACAGCTGCTGGTGTTTACAGCATTGATGTGCAGCTTGCTGTTAAGGTTCGAGTCAGGTTTGGAAAATTTAAGACAGGCTATTACACGCCATCACGGAACATCAACTGCAAGCTGAAGGTTCCTTTGAGTCTTAAACAAACCTCTGCTGGTGGTTTCGAGACTACAAAATGTGGGAATGTTAATATCTTCTCGGATCCTGATACTGCAGGCTAACTCTGTTTTCAGTTTTGTTATCCCCGATTGTAAAAGTGCTTGATTGTGGCCATATTTTTACTATTGTGCTTAGCTAATATAAAACATTTAATTACCCAAAGTGTTGTTTGAATTCACGCTAAAAAATAACTAGGATTTTTTATGACAGGAGAGATGGGTTCGTTACTAAAACCTCTTAGTGGCAGAAAGTACTTTATTTTAAGTATGGCTGAAGGCATGCCCAAAGAGAAGATGGATATGCATTTTACACATCATTAATTGGTAATAAGAAAACACAAATTCGTATTTTTTTGGTAATTAATCTTATTAGTTAAATAAGAAAATATTAATAGTTTGTTGTGATTGCAATCTTGTATTATTTACAATGGCTCACACGTAGAAATCTTATGTTGCCAATGTGGTACTGTCACATCAAATAATTTCTCACATCGATGGTATGCCTTTTGGAAAATGTTATGCAACCCCAAGGGGCCAAAATCATTTTATCGATTCTTTATTCCATTATTAGTGGTCACCACCAAGGATTAAAATATCGGCCGTGCAGATAATATCGGGCCTCCAATTTAAGGATATTTCGGGGGATATATCGTTATCGTTTTAGGTATTGGGAAAAAATCAACAAAAATGACAGATATAGGCATTGAAACACATAATTTTGGTGTAAAACTTTCATAGATGTTATGTACATTATCAATGAATGTATTGAACAAATAAAACTCAAAATTTACTAATAATAAGATATACATATGATGAAATATAAGTGGTTTGTAATGCTCGTTAATGAAAAGTTTGAAAATAAAATGTTCATTAGAATGAATAAACCATGCATAAATCCGTAGTTTGTTTAAACATTGGATTACAATTTAGATAAGTGTCAATCTACATAAATGAAGAGCTCCTATGAGGTTCAAATAATGAGGAACAACCATCTAGATTCATACAATAGTCATACCAAGTCATGTAACCTGAGCAGTTTGTAAGCCATGTTTGAACATGGTGCGCATAGGTCTCTCCTGAGCTCCCTATTGTCCTCTCATATATGAGACAGTTAGGATTAACCAACTAGTAGGTCCATAATCTGTTTTATCATCTTGAGCTCCATAACTAGTTCCACTATAATCAGACATGACAACCATAGCCATCATAAGATTCATTTGAGTTAGTACTAGGTTTAGTTCCTATGCTCATAGATCCAAAACTGGTCGCCATGTCTTCTTCAGATGGATTGGAGGTATGTAGGCAGTGGACTGTGCATAGATTCTTCATATTAATAAATTATAAGGTTATGGGCAAGGATTAGCTATTTTTGGGTTTCACTTTGCTTCAATTGCCTTCAAAACTTTTGAATTTTTTTTGGGTTCTATTATGGGTATCGGGAAATATCCGAGATATCGGCAAAATATTGGGGATATCGCACTTATCGGGGATATATCGTCGATACATGGGAAGATATGGCCTTACCCCCCAGTATCGATGTCGACAGTTGAAAATACCGATATATCGACAGATATATCGGTGTATCGGCCGATATTTCAATCCTTGGTCACCACTAACTCTCAAATCTCAGTCTCTCATACCTTCCCTCTCATCTCATCCCCCCCTTCATCCATCATTTTTGACGGCTACTAAAAGCTTCCCCCAAAAGTAATGAGTTAAAAACAAACAAGGAAGATGAGTTGGAAACTACCAGTAACTACTTGTATTGAACAACTTTGGAAGCGCCTCCTCTTGGCCGAAAGGATGCTTTGGAAGTTCGTCTTGATATTTCCAACAAAGCCAATTGCTAAATATGCATATATATTCTGTCAAAATTTGTCAGCATTCTATTAACTAGCTAGTAATTAAGCTTGTATATAAACAAGTTAAAACCTCAGAGGGAAATCCAGTCTCTCGTATCGTTTTTCTTTCCATTGCTCAGCCAATGACTCCAAGGTTTGGTGCCCGCTGCCTCTTCTGCTTCTGCAATACCACCCTCTGCCTCCTCCTAGCCCTTTTCATATTCTGGTTGATCTTCCTTCCCAAGGAGCCCAAATTCACCGTCTCCAATGCCTCACTGACCCAATTCAATTTCAACAATAACACTCTCTACTACAACCTTGCGCTCAACATCACCATCCAAAACCCCAACAAAAGGGTTGGCATATACTACCGTCACATCCAAGTCATTGCTAACTACAGAAAGGAGAGGTTTTCAATGGTTAATTTGACTTCGCCGCCATTTTACCAAGGCCACAAGAACACAACCTTTTTGCATGATGTACTTGTTGAAGGGCAGCAGTCGGTGGAGTTTGGGGAACATGAACTTTCTCAGTTTAACTCGGAGACTGCTGCTGGCGTTTACAACATTGATGTGAAGCTAGCTCTGTGGGTAAGAGCCAGGTATGGAAAGCTCAAGACAGCTGATTATGGGTCTAGCAAGATCGACTGCAAGCTGAAGGTTCCTTTGAGTTTTAGTGAAATACCTGCAACTGGTTTCAATCCCACAAAGTGCGGCAATGTTTATGTCCTCACAAGTCCTTGAGACTAGCCAGGGATTTGAGTTTTATGGTCCAAAAGAATATGACCATTTTTAACACACTGATAAAAATAAATAATAAAAAGGCAATGTAATTGAAGAAATTAAAATTCAGAGAGGAAGCCATGAAGCCTCAAGCTCTCTAAGTTCTGAGAGGAATACTAATTGCTGATGGGGCAGTTGATGAATCGTCGGGAGTTCATGGGATTGGGGATTTTGTTCGAAATTAATATGGTAAGCTGATAGGTGCCCTTGCTAAGCAGGTCTTAGGTAATTGATATCTTTTGGCTACTATTGAGCTACTAGTAGTCCAAGAGCAGGTTTCAATTTCCTTTTCAACCTTTTTTTAAAAAGAAATAGTATAGCCGCCTGGGCATACTCTGATTTTTAATTTATTTAAAGAAATAGTATCGCCATGCGGCTATACTCTGCTTTTCTTAATTTTTAAAAGAAATAGTATAGCCGCGCGGCTATACTCGATTTTTTCCTAATTTTTGAATAAGCAAACGTACAATACTTGTCTTGAACATGTACATATGTATTTTTCATATATAATACACGTATAATTTCATACCATTTTCAATAATACACACAAAATTCACGTATTATACACATAAATCTCACATATTATTGGAATTAAATATCATATAGCGGCCTAATTTTTAAGTTGTTATTTGACAAAATTTTGGAGAATAAAACAATTACGTATTCTATTCATACAGCTGCGCGGCAATAAGAAATCAATATCTATAAAGTATAAACTAATGCAACTAGGAGGGTCCTTCTTTCTTAATTTTTTTTAATTAAATCGTATAGCCGTGCGGCTATACCAGGCGTTTTAACCTTTTTTTAAAGAAATAGTATAGCCGGGCGGCTATACTCTACTTTTTAATTTTTTAAAAAGAAATAGTGTAGCCTCTCGGCTATTAGTTTAACACTTTGACTCCAGTTAACATCTTGCCTTTATTGTTTCTAGATAAATTCTTGTATGGTTCTCAAGTTGTGAGAGTTTTCTCAAGTTGCAATGTGTCCAAGGGACTAGCTGCTCCTTCTGAACCAAGTGACCACTCACTCGCTATGAACAAGTGATGTTTGCCATACATCCGCTCTCTCAATCTCAGTCTCTCATACCTTCTCTTTCATCTCATCCCTTCATCCATCATTCTAATTAGCTTCCACCATAAGTTAATGGGTACAAAGAAAAACTCAAATAAATAAATAAAAGGTCGAGCCATTGGAAACTGCCAGGAACGACGTTCATTGAATTATTTTGGAAGTTCCTCTTGGAATTTCCAACAAAACACTCCTTAACTTGGCCTTGACATTGAAGTTTTTGTCTGTACATTTGTCAGCATTCTATAAACTAGAAATTGAAGCTTTTTCATATATACATATAAGTGTCGAAGGAAACGTTCTCTTGTCATATTGTCCAAAGATCATCAAGTTAAATCTGACCTAAATGTGGTACATATTCATAATCTGATTGCATGGTATATATCTTGTTGTTCGTAGAATCCGTACCTCATAGGCAACTCCATCTCTCGTACAAATATTCTTGCTTCTTTTTTTTTCTCACCCATGTCTGGAAGGGATGGGAACCGTGGCCATCATGTTGTACATCTATGAACCCAAACAACCCAAAATCATTGTGACCAATGCCTCTCTCACACATTTCAATTTCACCAACACCAGCAACGCACTCTGCTACAACCTCACACTCAACGTCGCCATCCCTAACAAATGGGTTGGCATACACTACTGTGCCATCCAAGTCATTGCCAACTATAGAAAGAAGACATTTGCTTTGGTAAATTTGGCTTCGCCACCATTTTACCAAGGCCACAAGAACACCACCATTTTGCAGCATGTACTTGTTGAAGGGCAGCAGTTGGTGGAATTTGGGGAACATTAACTTTCTCAGTTTAACTCGGAGACTGCTGCAGGGGTTTACAGTATTGATGTGAAGCTTGCTCTTAGAGTGAGAGCAAGGTACGCCACATACACATTGGGCGATTATGAGTCTGACAAGATCAATTGCAAGCTGAAGGTTCCTTTGAGTTTTAATGAAGCATCTGCGAGTGGTTTCAATGCCCAAAGTGTGGGAATGTTTATGTCTTTCTTTGAGATTTATGGTCCAAAAAAATATGACCCTTTTTTAACATACGCATAGAAACAAATTCTAAAAAAAATATAAGCAAAAGAAAAACAAAGACAAAAGTAATTGAAGATCATATAGCTCATGTGTCAACTTATGCCAACAAGTCAGGTGAGATTTTCGATTGTGCAGCAAGACTTTTCTGGTTGTATTGCATAACAGTGCGAAACTTTTCTTAAATGTAACGCAGATATGGAAAGATGGGGAGTTTAAAGCAGAAGTGATTGGGGGACATAAAGGCTGGCTTGTACTTGATGAAGTGAGAGAAGTGATCCAAAAAGTTGTGTGATGCTTTTGGTTTCCCTATTTCTTGTTTTTTTTTCCTTCTTCTGCTAGGCCTCTATTCTTGTAATCTCTAGTAACCACAGCATATGATGAAGAACACAATCTGTACAGTCAAATATCTTTCTATCTTTGTTTTCTTAGATGTCTTTGTTAAGAAGATGCACTCCAGTTTTGTGCTCAATTTTCTAATCTTTGCAGCCCTAAGAATGGTTAAACAAAACTTGTACGGGGCAGACCTATTGCACCTGCCCCTCCCTAAGACCTACAGGAATTTATAGGTTTTTGCCATGAGGTCGTTTCATAAGAATGGCCTCATTTTCATTGATGACAGAGCTTGGAAACAATTATTTTGCAGAACTAGCAATTAGCATGACAAGCACAATAAATGGAAGAATAAAATGGGATCAAAGCCCGGAATTTGCATTATAATATTGTGAAAGAAAATATGTCAAGTGTCAACATGCTTCAAGCAACAGACTTCAGATACAAAGGCCAACTATATGTCAAACTGGTAAGGCTTTAGTTTTGAGTTGATCACTTGATAAAGAAAAAAAGTTGTATGGCTTTCACTACCTTCAAATTCGCAAAATGAAGCGATTCCGACAATCAAAATGATCCATCAGCTTCATGATTTTCGAAGTAACAGATAGTACGGACTTTCGAAAGATCCATGAGTGCAAGCTTGAAAGCTAAAGGGGCCTGTCATGATACAAATATGAAACGTGGGTCAGTCAAAGGCATGAGAATCCATAAATATCAAGAAGCAGCCAATTCAAGCCAAGAACATAGGTGCTGTTATCACCCCCCCAGCTGACAATAAGTGTACGTAAGGGAAAAAACCAAGTCAGAAACAAAAGAAATTTCATGAAAATAGGTTTCAGATTTCATGTCCCTAATCCCAACTCTAATTCCAGCCTGTCTGAACATATCACTACAAGGATGGTAAATTCTTCAACTCTTGTATCCAACCTGACATCATCATCTAGGATACGCTTTCTTGTTACTTAGCACTTCAAATCACTAATGAATCTTACTGTTAGCAGGATATTGAAATCACAGGGCTAAAATCCTACAACAAAGCCCTCAGGTGGGCAGTTCCAGAAGCACACAGCATTATAGACAGCGTTCTGCTTTACAGCGATGATAACCCAAGGCAGCAGATAGCATATCATTCAAATTTCAAACCCGCCCCGCAACCGCAACCCACCGTTTTATAAAACTAGTGCCATAACAAGGCCTTCAAGTTTTCAACCGTATGTTCTAAAACTGATCTAGGCAGGAGTTTAGAAATTATCCCTCTAGTACTCTTGCCTAATTACTAATTGTGATTGAAAAGCTAGGAAGTTAAAACATGATAACTATCAAGTATATGTTGATTTGCTCACAATGAAACCTAAATTGCTACCATTATGATATAAGAATTTCTCAAACAACCAAGATTGTAGCTTCTAAACGGGCACACACGCATTATGATGTAAGGGTCATATCAACAGAGTCATTTTATCAAACAGCTAGTAGGCAAGGTTTTTACATGCATTAAATTGGAAGACAAAAGATTCCATACTAAAAACTCGGCCTCTGAACCATAAAATACAACATAAATATGCTTTTAATTTAGAAAACTACATTGAATTCAAACTTTTACTCACCCCGGAAGATCAAAGACAGGGCCACCGAACCATCAGAGCCTTCAAATGCAAAATGTTTATAGCGCCCAAAGCCCTCTGTAACTGCAGTGAACTACGCCTTTGGCCCTTGCCTTGGGATTGTGAGTAAACACCATGGAGAGCGCAAAAAAAAGAAGAATTGCAGAAAAGAGCAAAAAAATTTGGACCATTTCTCGATTTATGCGTGTCATCCTTGCGCAGGGGCCATGCTAATCTTCTCTGTATCGTTCCAATTTTATCGGATGTCCCCGAAGGGACGAACTGAAGTATTAAGCGCCAGTATATAAAGAGCTCTAACAACAAGCAATTCTCCGATGTGGGACAAAGCTTCCTTGGTTTAATAGTCAAATGTTCAGTCGTTGGGCCTTTCTTTGCGATTCAATAATAAGCCCAATGGAGTTTCAATCTCAATCCCAAACGAGTTAGTTAACTAAGAACTCGTTTGAAGCAAACACTGTTTATGTAAATGGCTTTTATAATGGTCTCATTTTGAAGGCTCCTTTGAGGCACTCTAATTGGAATTTTGTGGTGCTTTGTTTTTGGATATTCAAGTGTGGAAAAAACACACTTTTTAACAATTTTTTTTATTTAAAAAAAAACCCTTAAATGAACTTTTTCACTTCTTCAAAACTTTTGCATTAAAATTTAGGTATATTGAAGTTTGCCTACAAAATTACTTATTAGAAAACCCTAAGCCATAATCATTTTATTCTCCTCTTCATAAACTCCTTCCTTTATTAGGCCTTACAGTTGTAGCCACTCCCTCTCAAATCTCAAACTCTCATATCTTCGCTCTCATCTCATCCCCTTCATCCACCATTTCAGATGCTACCAAGCTTCTACCAAAAGTTAATGGGTAAACAGAAAACAAAAATATTAAAAATAAAAGATAAGTAAAAAGTTTAGGCGTAGTTAGCATTTTTCCAAAATACTTCAATTTTCCTTACACGTCTAAAAAACTCGATAAAATACATATTTTTAAAAGGGAGTTTCACTAAAACACCCAAAATGGGGGCTGAAATTATAAAAAAACCCAACACCCAAAACACTTTATAAACACACCCAAAACCCATCATTACACACACTCAAAATCCATTTATAAACACACCCAAAAAATATACAATTGTTAATTTTGGGGTTGATTTTGGGTATGTTTCTATGTTTAAATAGTGTTTGGGTTTTTTTATAAATACATGTCTAGGATTGGGTTTATTTATAAATTTGTATTTTTAAAATCAAACCTACAATACATGTATTATACACGTACGTACCTATTCTTCATGTTTAGTACAAAATTCACATATTAGGCATGTATTTTTCATATATTATTAAAGAAAAATAATATATATTACAAATTGTAAATAAATTATATTAAAATATTATATAGTGGTCGTACTTCCGTATTTTACTAACTATTAGGGGCTGGAAACTACCCAGATAAAAACTGCTTCCAATCAATAACTTTGGAAGTTCCCCCTAACCAAAAAACAAGAATCAATCTTTGGAAGTTCCCCTTGGGATTTTCAACAAGACACTCTTCAATCCGGCCTTGACATTGTAACTTTTGTCAAAGCCACATTCTCTTCCAACTGCTAATCACCTAAATCTTAATGTACATACATACATTGTATCAATACATTGATTAAAAATCTTCATATAGGCAAAAGCCAAAACCACCTTGTTTTACATATAGCTTTCCATCTCTCGCACCATTTCTTGTTTCGTCTCAGCCATGTCTGGAGGGTGTGCCTGCTGCTTCTGCCTGCTCTGCAACACTTTCCTCTGCTTCACCCTAGCCTTCTTCATGTTCTGCTACATCTTGACTTCTGATGAGCCCAAATTCAGGGTCACCGATGCCTCTCTGACCCAATTCAATTTTACCAACACCGACAACAGCACTCTCAACTACAACCTTGCACTCAAAATCACCATCAGAAACTCGAACAAGAAGATTGGCATATACTATCGTCGCATTCAAGTAATTGCTAACTATAGAAAGAAGACGTTTGCTATGATGAATTTGACTTCCGCACCATTTTACCAAGGCCATAAGAACACGACCACTTTGCATGCAGTTCTTGAAGGGCAGCAGTTGGTGGTGTTTGGGGAAAGTGACATTTCCCAATTTAACTCGGACACTACTGCCAGCATTTACAGTATTGATCTGCAGCTTGCTCTTCAGGTAAGAGCCAGGTACTTTAGTTTCAAGACAGCCGAATACCCGTCTAGCAAGATCGACTGCAAACTGCAGGTCCCTTTGAGTGATAATGAAACATCCCCAAGTGGTTTCAATGTAACAAGGTGCTGGAATGTTCATATCTTGACAGATCATGGGGACTAACCATAGATTTGACATTTATAGTACTGTAATAGGAGCCTTTTTAACATACTCTTCCACATATATATAAGTTTTTACTCATTTCACTCCTATGGAAGAGGCCTCCCTCAAACAGAAGTCCAGAATTCAGTGACTGAAGCTGGGGGATAGTAACACAGGGTTTTTCTTTGCTCAAGCTAATGTATGTAATGTGGTGTTCAGGCCATTTGCTGCCCTCACCCTAGCACGCTTTGTGTTGCGAGAGTGGCGTTTATTTTTGCATTTTTCATATTTGTTGGATTAGCAGGTCTCCTTTCTTCTGTAATCTGAAATCTAATTTGATGGTGATTCTCACCTAACAAACAGGACGAAAAGATCTCAAAGTAGCCAAAATCACAAATTGGCCATACACCATCATCTTCCACATTGATTAAAAATCGACCCTGCATCTAGTGTTAAGGTAGATGATAGAAAGTTTTAAAGTTGATGATCATCCCTAGAATTTTAGTATATCGTTTAATGTGTTCATCCCATTTTACTTCCATGATTTTTGGTTTAGTTTTACCTTCTTTTAACTTTTTTTTTATTCAATGTACTAAGTTCGTCATCTTACAATCAGTTAAAAATCATGCCATTATAATTTTCAAGAAACAGGCTCCATTCTATCCGTTCAATTTTTGAAGTAAAGGAGTTCACCTGCTCAAGCAATCGGGAGACATAGCATACCAAACCCGCGACCCATATTCAGGAAGGTAGCCATATTGAGTACCATAAACAGCTTGAATCCAAATTATCCAAATAGTAACCACACTACAAAACAAAGACATGGTAAAATACAAAAAGTAAAGGAGTTCACCTGCTCAAGCAATCGGGAGACATAGCATACCAAACCCGCGACCCATATTCAGGAAGGTAGCCATATTGAGTACCATAAACAGCTTGAATCCAAATTATCCAAATAGTAACCACACTACAAAACAAAGACATGGTAAAATACAACAGAATTATCAAGGATATAGACTACTAAATTCAAAATAGAGCACAAAGCAATCTGTAATATTGAAATTTCCCTTTGAGTATTCTGAAAAAAAATACAAGCCTGACATAAACTGACAAAATTAATTTTCAAAACAATCTGTAAATTTACATTTGCTCAGCACTCGTTAATCTTTATCCAGAAAATAAAGGGCATCCTTTTCGGACTTGTATGAGGACGATATGAATCCTCGTGAACTGCCATGTACCTTGTTGGACAATCACGCGGAGCCAAATTTGAACAGTCACCACAGCAGTCAGCAGGACTTCTATTCATACTCAAACTGAACCTCTACACGCATATATTTTCTCATCAGTCGGACAATGGATGAAGTGAAGCTTGCTAAAACTTGGCATTCTTCAGGGGATTTAACTTCTGAAACAACGCCACAAATAACCAACTTCTTCAAATTAGGGCATCTTTCTAGAAGTCCGGCTACCCAGTCAGAGAAAAGGTCACTGATTATAGTCCACCCAAGTTCTAACACAACCACGTTCTCCAAAGGAGATGTCCCCTGCAAGCCACAGACATCTCTTAAATCATAACTTAGTGATAGGTGACTTAACCGAGGGAAGCAAACAGAAACAGTCTCCAAATCCACGACCTCATCCTCATCATCAAATACAACACCCCAGAGCCGAAGCCTCTTTAAATTTGATGATTTTGAGATCATGTTATAGAACTTTGGCCACATAATCGTAAAGCTGCTAACATCCACAATCTGAAGATTCTCTGTGTTCTCACCAATATCTAGATGGAGGACACTAACATCGTCAATCTTCAGAACCCTCAATGAACCCTTACCAATAAGCTCGAAAGCCTCAAGGGTACAATCTTTCAGGTGCAGATTCTCAATGCCATCAGCCTCCAATATGAACTTGTCTAAACTGACAGCTTCCACATAGATATCTTTCAATGAAGAGCTGTTAAGTTCCATAATTGCCTGTGCGTCCGACATGGCAATATCAGGATTAATAAGGGTCAAATTCTGAAGTTTTGGACATGCGGTGAGCAAAAGGCTCAAATCCAATGCTGATATACTGACATAACTTAGGGAAAGTGACTTCAAACATGGAAATTTCTGATAACTGGGTTCAACACCTGTTACAGAGTTATGAGCCAACGACAATACTTCAAGCTTCTGCCGACTGCATTTCTCAATGATATTGACATTCGGGGTTGTCCTCACATTATAATGTAGTTGCCGCAAGGTATCCCGGGTATACATGAGCCAAGCTATCACTGGGGCAGCTGAAAATTCATCTACATCGTCCATAAAAATTGATAAACACTGCAATGCTGTGGTTTGGAATATTGTTTGAGTTATAAGAATTTCCAACCTACTTGGTGCCAGATCATGATAAACAGTCCAATCGTTGGAATTGAAAGAAAGAGTATGGAGGTGATTCCGCCAAGCCTCTCTCCATTTCTTGCAAGTTGCGGATGCAATTACCACGTCTCGGGCAGCTTTAAGCCGGGATAATATGTTACCTATGACTTCAACTGGAAGGTGCTCCATACCCAATAAGAAGAAGCCTTAAATGTAGACCTAGGGAAGCTCTTGTTTTCAAAATGCAATAAAGCCCATGAAAATTAAGAACCCAGCTCTAAAGAAATCCACACCGTACAGTTAAGCATCCAGAACTGTTAAGCCTATCTGCGTTTCTCACAAAAGATCAGAAAATCAAGATCCATCATTGCCAAATACCAATCTGCTATCTTTTCCAGATAATTCACAATGCCATCTAAAAATTTAAAAAGAAAAAAACCCCAGATCAATATTTCGGACTTTCAATATTCAATCAGTGATTCTCAGTACAATCAGCATGGCAGGCAGAGACAGCTAGTAGAATTTTGAAAAAGTCCAGTATTTTGGGCATTGAAAACAAGTCAACAATTTCAAAAGTTGGCAGATTTTGGACCGGATCAACATTCAATCCAGAGAAACCATGCAAACAAACTCAATAAGATAGCCCAATTCAAATCTTCAAACGAATTTCAACTGCTTAGCATAAATCTACTTCCCCAAGAAATAAAAATCAATAAAAATCAAATAAAAGAGAAACAATCGTAATAGAAAGATAATCAAAGGATGAGACGAGAGAAAATCAGGGATGTCTTACCTGGAAGGCCAGGACAACCATGCTCTCGAAGCAAACCAAAATCCAAAAGTTCCAACTATCAATCCTTATCCCCATAATCAGAGAAAGAGAATGAATTGGAATGTGGAATTTATTAATTCTGGAAAAGAATGAATATGAAGAACCCAGCTGCTTGGTCTAAAAGACGAGACCGTGAAGAAGAAAAGTGTGCGATGAGAATAGGGGAAGAAAGTCTTCTTCTAACATTGTGTGGAAAGTGTATAGTCTTGTGCACGTGAGAAATACCCCCCTACGTCTGCACTAGCAGTTGGCAAATAGGCAAAACCTCCCCCCAACTACTTTTTAGGCCATTTCTCACTATACATTACAACCCATTTCCTTTCCTAAACGTTTCTTCAAATCTTCTTTAGATAAGGTGGATCCTACATAAAACATGTATCCTACCTCACCTTCAAGAATGGGGAAAGAGTTTGCTTTGCAAGCATTTTCCATAAGAAGATGGTTGGTTTCGAACGCGGACAACTGACAATCGTTAATCATTCAGCAATTAAAAAAATTATTGGATTCGAAATAATATTATATAAGGAAATCTAAACTTGTATTATTGTAACAAATGTGGACGACTCACAACTGTTAATTGGTACTAATTATGTGTCAATTTGATTTTTCACGACTTTTAAAAATTTAGATAATGTGAGTCCTTAAGATACTTAACACAAAAACGCCCCATTTTGATCACAACTAAATTGTTTTGATTCTCGATAAGAAAATATCTACAATTTTTGACTTTTGAAACCATTTTATGGATGAAAGTGGCCCAAAGAGGGGAACAATGCATATTGGTTTGAAGTGGCCCAAAGAGCCAAAATTGTAAACCCCGAAAAACCGAAGTACATCTTCGCAACACCGAAAGAATGGCACAAAAATGTTGAAGGAAAGAAGTGCGTTACATAGCTTTACTCCCCAACAAAGTAACAGAGTCCGAATTCACGAACTGATACGTTAAACCTATTGTTCGATTTTGCAGCACAAATCATTTTGATCCTTTCCCTTTACGCTGAGGAAATCCTAATCTGAACCATACATAGCTTCTGGAAGAGTGCATATAAAACTAAGCCTGCAAGGAAAAGAGATGGGGACAGGAGGGGCGGAATGATCACAAAGCTGATCATAGCCATGAAGATCCCCATAGGAATCTCACTGCTGCAATTTCCACAAGTCGGGCGGTGTTTACATGTTCAGGTTCACATCGCGAAAGTTAATACAAATTCAACAAGCACATAAATTATAGATATACATTGTGTTGTTCCAAACAAAATTGGAATCAGCTTTACAGAAGAATATGAACTTTTTAAGACCTAAGTTAGCACTGACTGCTATAACTTAGGAGAGTGCCATAAAAAATAATAAGTTAGTAAAGTCTTGTTTCATCGTGAGTTGGCCATAGTTCTTTAAACCTTCTTAGTAGCTCCACTACCACCTGTTGTCATGAAGGATTCTCCACAACCACACTGTCCTTTAGAGTTGGGATTTATAAATACAAACTCAGACCTGCCAACGAAAATAAAAATAAGTGTGAGGAAAACCAGGAAGGCAGTAGTAATTAGAGGCATAAGCAAGTTGTATAGACAAGGGCATCAATGCTAACCCTGAAATGAATAAGGGGCATCCGCGTGCAAGGTGGTTAAATTTAAAAAGTTTTCATCAGATCAACAAGGTATCAGTTTATCATGCCACTACGTTTTTTCTTTAACACAAACCTGTCAAAGGTTCACAATCTCTAGTACTCATTCATTCAGTAATAAAACAAGAAAAATAACTATTAGCAGCCCATCTTGCTTCAATGTTTGGATTTTGTTCATGCAAAAATGGAAGCACATGTAACAATGTTTCTCCTAACATGGCCAGTTGAAGAATTCAGTAAAAGCCTTTTTAACACACACGTTGAATTTGCCATCACATGTGCACAGGCTCACATCCAACACCTACACTCTTTCACAATCTTTTTAATTTCTGAACACTACAATAAACAGAGGATGAAGTACTAATGGCAGCAGCGGTGGAGGTTATCATGGTCCCATGGTGGTCATAAATATGGTTCCATGGTGGTCTGTGGTGGTCTTAATGAAATGGTAGTGAGGCTAGTTAGTATGATGGCAGGAACAGAAGGCTGACAATCAACGCAAGTGACAAAAGGAGGGGAACATTAAGATCAATAGTTGAGGGCGTAAAGCTTAAGCTGATGCTGGTGCTGTTCATTATAGCAGTGCAAAACAGTATCAATATGGGTCTGGTATGGGGTGGCATTATGTGGTAGTTAGGTAGCAGAAAACCCACCAGGAAACTGAAACATACTGCCCAATAAAAATGGAATGGCAGCACATAGGCATGTCGATTGTGGTAAGATCCTAGCTCATTTCAAAGTGTTATATTCACACTCTCCAAAGTTAAACACAAAATTTGAAACCAAATTTTCCTTGGAAATGTTATGGGTTATGGCCAAAATGACAATTGAAAGAGATATAAATTACACAGCAATACTCTCCACCAAATTAAAACCAAAGGACCACAACAAAATCAAAATCAAGCAAACAATTTCTTACAAGCCAAACATGCTGATATATTCACACCCTTCCACCAAAACAAATCATAAGAAATGAAAAGAAAAAAGGACGAGAAGATTAACCTGAGTTTGTCATCTACAAAATCCATTTTGGTTCCTATAACGTGCATGAGCGCCTTTGGATCGATCAATACCTTCACACCCTTGTCCTCAACCAACTCGTCGAACTTCCCTTTATCATCTGCACATCAAAATTGGAGGCACGTATTTATCAAAATCATTTTCACTTCAAACAAATTCAAGCATATAAAAATGAAGAACAACAACGATCAAGATCAAACGACGCCGGACCTGCGTAATTGAGAGTGTAAGACAAGCCGTTGCAGCCACGAGCCTTGACGCCGAGCTTGAGATAGGGCCGCCGGCGCTGCTCCAGAAGCTGCCGTATACGACTCGCCGCCGCGTCCGTTAAGCTGACGGCTTGACGCCTCGCTGCCGGTCCGATCCTCTCGGCTGCCGCCGCCAGAAACTGCGAAGCCATCGGTGAGATTTTTAATATCCTCCTCTCAAAATTGCCTTCAGGATCTGAAACTGCTTGTGTTGAACTCGCGCCAGGGTACTTCCGTCATTTGAACGTTGCGACCCAAACCAGTTTCTGGAAGTTTCGTGGACACAGGAGCGATAAAATTTATGCTTACGTGTCGCAACAGGATTCGCTTATGTGATAATTACCTCTTTGTCCCATGTAGCGAGATTATTTTTACCGCGCTCCGTGACGTGCCTAACATTAGCCGTTAATGTCCGAATTAATCTAAGACCGTCCTCTGATGAGCCTGATGAGAAATTGAACGGTGATTTCTTGAAAGGGAATATGAGGTGCATCCTTTTAAGGTGAGATTTTAAAATACTCTAATGTACAAGGAGAAAGGTCGAACTCAAATGTAATTTGATCTAATTCACATATGCTTAAGTTGGCTCTTTTTAATATTTAAAATAAAGGAATAATAGGCCTCATTTTGTGACTTGGTCTGAACTGGATTATTTCAATAATTTTTCAAAGCTGACCTAATGACTAGAGGCTTCACAAAAATTATCTAGGCATTGCTTCATCAAGATAGCTTGTCGTTGGGAAGCTTCAGCTGAGAGGATAAAATTATACTAGTGTCATATTTGTTTTTAGGTAAACTTATAAATGACGAGGCTAAACTTATTAAATTGAACAACATGAAAAATTGTGTGTTTAGAAAGAAAAAAAAACACAAGTTTGAAATCAATTCAAGCTTAGCAAATGACAATTCAGTGCATCAAACCTCCAATTTACGGCATATTTATGTTGAAGAATATAAAATTTCACGTTAAAAATTTGACAAATATAAATACAATATATAATAAGTTGTGCACTACTAATAAAATTAGACAAAAAGCGATTCGGCTTGCATTAGGTGCATTAATCAAATTTCTGGTTGCATTGCAATGCATGGGAATATCTGTAGCTGTCGGTTCAATTATTTGGGCCCAAACAATTAACACATGAAAATTGAGGTAGCCCATCAATTAAACCCTTCACTGAACGATAAGGGTTTTGTGACTGTGTAGACCTGGTTCATTTCATGAGAGCCCACACAAAGATGCTCGTCACCTGAAAGAAGCCAAATCAATCACCAACCTCAATCGCTATTTGCTCGCTTTTCACCAATTTTTTCTCAATTTTCTTGCTTGCCTTTATACTTCCACTTCATTATCAACAAGGACCTCGACAGTCTAAATCTGAGTGAGCCACTTTGAAGACTCTAGAAACCGAAGGTGCTAAAAACGCTCCATTTCCGACTCTTTGGGCTCAACGCCCAAATGCTGCCAGGAGTTTTGTTGTTTCTGTTTCCTAGGTTTCTTCAGATTTCTCAGGTCTGTTCATCTAAACCCAGGTGCCCATTTTCTGTTTCTTGCTCGTTTCTCTTAAAATTGGGTATCCATTATTTCAGCATTTCTGGTTTGTTTCTTTGTCATTGTAGTAAACTGCTAACTTCATAGTTACTTTGAATTCCGTATAATTTGTTGTTAGCTTTGCTTTGCTTTTGCCGTTATAATTATAGTCCGGGGATTGTAATGCCTGCTTTGCAGCTTGTGGGATTTTCTGTTTGATTTGGTTTGACTGTTGGCATTTTACCCTTTGTTCGTCTTGACTGTTTGGGACCAATTGTGTGGTTTCTAAGAATCATTCGGTTTTTGGTAAACAGGTAGTGGACGAAAGATTGGTGGTAGGATTGAAGTTTTAAGTAATCTGGGTTTCTAAATTTATTGGCATTCATCAACTTACCAGTCTCGCCATTACAAGATGGCGACTTATGCGTCAACGTATTTTACTATTTCTGATACTCGAAACCCAGTGGGACTACTAACAGGACGTGGAGGGAGGCTATTAACGAAGAACCAATTAGGAAACTTTTGCTGCGTGAAAATGGCAGAAGACAAGTATGGTTTTATGGGTGCAATCCATAAGTCGACTTTGACACAAGTCAAGTGCTCAAGCAACTCTCAGAGTGTCAATTCATATCAGAATAAAGACCCTTTTCTGAATCTACACCCTGAAGTTTCATTGCTTAGAGGGGAGGGAAGCAATACGGTGAACAATCCAAGAAAAGATATCTCAAGTGGAAGTGTCACTGAGAGCTTAAGTGATAAATCTTCTCCTAGTAATTACAGTGAAGCAAAAATCAAAGTTATTGGTGTTGGTGGTGGAGGGTCAAATGCAGTTAATCGCATGATAGAGAGTGCAATGAAGGGTGTGGAGTTCTGGATTGTTAACACCGATGTTCAAGCTATGAGAATGTCTCCTGTCTTTCCTGAGAACCGCTTACAAATTGGTCAAGAGCTTACCAGGGGTCTTGGTGCTGGTGGAAACCCAGATGTTGGTATGAATGCTGCCAAAGAGAGCAAAGAATCGATAGAAGAGGCACTGTATGGATCAGACATGGTCTTTGTTACGGTAGGTTCACATTCTGTTCCTCTGTCATGACTTCCCAAAAGATGCCAGTGTATTGTGTTATTTTATCTCAAGCATGTCTTCATTTGACTTTAAATTTCTCTATATGCAGGCTGGTATGGGTGGAGGAACTGGAACTGGTGGAGCTCCTGTTGTTGCAGGAGTTGCAAAGTCAATGGGTATATTGACTGTTGGTGTTGTGACAACGCCATTCTCTTTTGAGGGACGAAAGAGGGCAGTTCAAGCCCAGGAAGGAATTGCTGCTTTGAGAGAAAATGTTGACACGCTGATAGTCATTCCAAATGACAAGTTATTGACTGCAGTTTCCCAGTCTACCCCAGTAACAGAGGCATTTAATCTGGCTGATGATATTCTACGACAAGGAGTTCGTGGTATCTCTGATATAATCACGGTATGTGATTTTTAAAGATACTGTGTGTAATATGAATTCTTTTCTTAATGGTCCTTACCAGAGTGTTAAAGAAATAAATGAGCTAAGGAAAGCAAAGAAAGAAAGAAGAAAAAAAATTGAAAGGAAAATGAGAATGAATACAACAGGAACCTTGATTTACTTATTTTTTTTCTGCCACATGTAGACCATAATCTCAACAGCCGATTCCCTACAGTCATAAAGAATGCTTGATAGACTCCAAGAAAGTCATGTTAGTAGTACTTCCTCTAAATGCATTTTAAATATACATAAACAGTAAGGGTATCAGTACTTCTCTGTGAGTACTTGTTCAATATTATCATGGGTTGAAAGTTGTTATTCAAAAACTGGCACCCAGTAGTGGAATCTAGTGATGATATATTTGCGAGTTTATTAATACTGATAAACTGGTACTAATATTTTTGAACCTTGAACTTCTGGCTTTAAAACTGTAAGTTCAAAATTAATATATAAAAAAATCAAACTGACGGTATTTGCTTCAAACTTGAACTTCTGGCTGTTAAGACCTTATGAGCATTAGGTTGTTATCTGCTTAAAGTGTCTTCATTTGGTCAAAGGAGTTTGATTATTTATTTGTATATCATTGCATCTTTTTATGGCAATATTTTTTTTTTTGCTCTAATTACTTGGTCATCACCTTGATTGCAGATACCAGGACTGGTAAATGTGGATTTTGCTGATGTACGGGCTATAATGGCTAATGCAGGTTCTTCATTGATGGGGATAGGAACAGCAACTGGTAATGTTTTAGCTACTTACTACTGGCCACTAGGATGTTTAGAGTGCTTATTTCATGTCAGAGGCTTCACTTATGAAATAAGACTTCATTATTGTGGTTCCAAATTTTCCATATTGCCTTCCATGATGACACCATTGTGGATAACCTTCTTGTCAAGTTAATATATTATGAATGGCACCAAGAGATTCTCAGTTTTTCTGGTTAGAGCATGAGGAGGAACCGAAAGGAGACATAATCCCAAATTTGTTGGAATCTAAAATAGGTCTTTTGGGCTTAGATAGAAAATTATGCAATTAAAATGTTTACTAAAAGACGTGATGTTGATATTGCATATTTTCTCTAAATTAATTAATTTTAGTCGCTGCATATATGCAACTAGTTAAAGATCACCAAAATACCAGGTGGTCCGTTGTAATAAGTTAACTGTTGTTATTGGATAAAGAGATATTAAAATCCTTCTTACCTAGATCTTTGTAAGCTTATGTGGAGTGAAGAAATCTCTACTTCTAGATGTTTCTTTTTGTGGTTGTCTTCACAACTGTGTAACTTTCAAGGGTTATCAGAATGGCAACTCTGACTTTACGTGTAGTTTATCTTAAAAACACAATATGTTTCTGTTTTCCATAATGTATAAAATATTCCTTAATTAGAACTGAAAGGGAGATTTGTGTACAGTACACCTATATCACGAATTCTGATATAACGAATTCTGATATCATATGCTTAGATTGTCATGCATTGGCATTTTTTTTCCCTAACATGCATCTTCATCAAGCCTTTTGTTCCAGTATCGGTGACCCTTTTCAATTGTTCATAATATAATGCTATAACTATTTTCTGAGGTTTTTTTTTCCTTGGAGTAGGGAAGACAAGGGCAAGAGATGCTGCATTAAATGCCATCCAATCACCTTTACTTGATATTGGTATAGAGAGAGCTACTGGAATTGTTTGGAATATAACTGGGGGAACTGATTTGACCCTTTATGAGGTACTTTTCTCTTTCACTCACTCTCCTTTTTGGTCATACTTGTGGACTCATGGAGTTCACTTATTCTTTTGTCTTCTGTATGAGAGTCTTTCCACTACTTTTTGTCTGTAGAAGGAAATTGTTCTTCCTTGAATTCTGGTCTACCATGTATCTGCGAGATAAAGCTGTCTTTAGGAATTACTTTTACAGTTTCACCATTGCATTCCACATCTGCACAGTTATTTAGTTGATCAGTTCTTTGAACAGTCGTAGCCTGATTTACATGTAAAGAAACAAGATGCCATTATGCTTCTCCTGTTCATTCTCTTGCCCTTTTCTTTTTCAAGTTTGACTTAAGTAATCAGAAATACGATGAAGCAAGAATGACGTTACTCTGCAATCTTCTTAAGATCTTTTATTCTAGGCCTAGAGATATAGACTAAAACTTTCATCAATTATTAGTTTTCTCATAGAGAAATCAGTTGGTTGACCCAGAAATGTCCTAAGTTCCAATGCGGTAACTCCAGTATCTACCGAGTCCTAAATGGTAGTCTTCACTCACAGTTGACACATGTATTTCTCGTCTCTTACTCGAATTTTCAAATGGGTATTCTCATAGGTAAATGCTGCAGCCGAGGTTATATATGATCTTGTTGATCCAACAGCAAACTTAATATTTGGAGCAGTGACAGATCCATCACTCAGTGGTCAAGTAAGTATTTTGCTTTCTCTAAAGTATACATAGCAAAGTTTTCGAATCTGCAGTCCTAGCCTGCACATTATGTCATGAGCCTGCAATATTTTGGCCCATACCATCTCGCCGGACCAGTAATTCAAACAAAGGAGAAAAATAAAACAAAATTCAACCAATTGATATATGTTTTTGTTTGGTTAGTTCTTTCTGTAATTCTACTTGCCAGAAAAGCATTTTATACCTTTTTTTTAGTACAAGGTATAAGTAATTAGAATATATATATATATTCTTGCATCTGGTGGTGTTTTAGTTGGAGTACATCTTAAAATGCCATGCTACTTGTTTTGGTTTTTCATTCAGGTCAGTATAACTCTTATTGCTACTGGATTCAAACGCCAAGAAGAGAATGAAGGGAGGCCACTCCAGGTATTCCTAAACTCTCTGTTTCTCTCACTCCGGGCCATTCCAGAAACAATTTTGTAACATCTACCAAATTTCAGGCACAAGGAGACGTCACCCTTGGAATCAATCGACGGCCTTCCTCTTTCATGGAAGGTAGTCCAGTCGAGATTCCTGATTTCTTGAAGAAGAAGGGACGCTCCCGCTATCCAAGAGTCTGACGTGCCTTTTTGTCCAAACGCGGGCTGTGTCTCAGGCCTCTCAGCTTTTTTATTCCTACTAGCTCAGCATCCATCCGAGGGATTTAAATGTGCCTCTGTAGATACTAGATGATAGATCCGCAATATGCCATCTGTTAGTGGTTTCTAGCTTTGATATATTATTAGTGCATACTCATCTGCGTGTATGTCCCTTTCACGTCATTTAGATTCTTAGATCTTGTTTTCCCAGAAGCTTTGAATAAACGCCATTGGCATTGGCATGTACAGTGTTTTCCCCCTAGAGGGTGAGCTAGAACTTATGGAGAATCATGAATGGCTTGGTTCAGAGAAAATAATTCTATATTTTTACTTAGTTTTTGTGGGGATCTTCAGAAGTCCGATATCTGATTCTTAATTTAAGCTTTCTTTAACTATCTCAAACAAGAAGCAGCAGCCATTTATATTTCTCAATGAGGTATTACATCTCAGAAGTAACTGTTGGGTGAAAGACACGAGACTCCCCCATTTTGTTGGGTGAAACACAAACTGTAAGTTCATTAATCAATTATGAAATCTGGGTCACTTAGTTGAACAATAAAGATTCAATCATCATAATGATTTGCGTCTCCACCAGCAGTGATTGAATTCCCCACACTCCACTCGATTCTTTGAAGATTCAATAATCATAATGATCTGGGCCATCTAAATGAAGTTTCTCTTTGATCGCCTACCAATGGCTGCCAAATTATTGATGGCAAAGGGTTAGTTGCCTTCCATGATCAAGATGAAGGCCAAGGCAAAGGCTTGTCTCCTTGCATGCTTCTGAATCAAAGCCTAAAATCCCATTATTCCTTCTTGATGACCAAGTCATCTTACATTTCTTCCCCTACTAGTTGGATCAAAAGATTGTCAGACAAGCTCTTGTTGGTGCGCACGCTCAGAAACCAGGCAGACAAGTCTTGTGTGCCTTGAAAACTCATGTGAGTAAATAAGATGGTTCTGGGCAATAATCCCTTTAGAAATGAATCGGCCTTCGAAACACTACCAGTAATCTCCACATGAACATAACCCATCTGCAAAATGGTGAAATCGATTATTATCCCGAACAATAATCTTTCTTCCTACCACCTTGGAGATGTACTTGATTGCAGAATGGCAATCCAAGCACACCCTTAAATTTTTCTTCACAATTATTTGCTTCCCAGCTGGCATACTTATTAGTGCAAATGCAATTGCTATCCTCTCACTGTGATGGTGAAGAAGCTTTTCCTTCGAGCTTTCGTCCATTTCATGTGGAATAGAATCTGTTTGTGGAACATATCCAGCTTCCTTTATCTGATCAAGAAGAGCATCAAGTTTTTCATAAATTTGTTTCATCAGAGGATGAGACCAATCTTCGGCTCCGAAAGTATGGGTTTTGTTTCCAACATCAACCCAACTATAGCCAGGCAATTTCTTCATGCGGCCATCTCTCATCTTCTTCCTCACACTCCTCACATCTTCCCACTGTTGTTCCTTTGCATATATATTTGAAAGCAAAACACGTGCTCCAATATTCTCAGGTTCAAGCTGCATCAGTTTTGCCGCTGCAAGTTTTCCCCTCTCCTGATCACCATGAATCCTGCAAGCCCCAAGAAAAGAGCACCACCCAAAAGCATTTGGTTGAATTGGCATGTTATTTATGAACTCTTCAGCCTCTTTAAGCCTTCCAGCCCGACCAAGTAAATCAATAACACAAGAGTAATGTTCTTCTCTAGGCACCATGCCATATCTCTTCTCCATAGAATGAAAGTAATTTAAACCTTCCTTTACCAATCCAGCATGGCTACACCCTGTTAAAAGACTGACAAATGTTATTGCATTTGGTTTCACTCCTCTGTTTACCATTTTAGTAAATGTTTCCAAGGCTTCTTTTCCTAAGCCATGAAGAGCAAACACACTTAACAATGAATTCCATGCAACTTCAGTTGGGTTTTCTATCTCGTCAAACACTTGGATTGAATGATCATGCAACCCACATTTTCCATACATATCAACAAGAACACTATAAACAAAAGGGTCTCTATCGAAATTAACCTTAACCACCTGAGCATGAAGCTGGATTCCTTGATCAGGTGCAGCTTGGTTGGCACAAGCCTTGATCAAGCTAGAGAAAGTGAACTCATTAGGCTCAACTCCCTGCCTCTGTAAGTCAACAAACAAACTAAAAGCCTTGTCAATTTCATCCATCTCAACAAAACCATTAATCAGAGAGGTACAAGAAACAATATTTCTACCATCAGAGTCAATCCAAAACACATTTGAAGCACTCTCCATATCTCCTGCTTTCGAGTACATATCAGTCAGAGCATTGCCCACAGAAACCTCTACTTGAAGTCCTAACTTCAGAACAGTTGAATGAAGACACTTTCCAAACTTACAAGCCTTCAATGCAGAACAAGCATTTAACGCACTACAAAGAACATGTTGATCTATAACAATCCCATCATTAACCATCCTCTTATAAGTTAGTAAAGCTTCCTCTGAATCACCATTCTTTGCATATCCATCAATCATTGAAGTCCATGATACTGCGTCCTTACACGGCATCTCCTCAAAAACCTTGCAAGCATCAGCCATCAACCTGAACTTCCAATACATATCCGCCAAATTACTACCCACAAATAATTCAAAAGCCAAGCCCAATTTCAAAGCAAGAGAATGCATTTGCCTCCCAATCTCAATCGACCCAAGAAACACGCAAGCTCTGATGACACTTGCAAATGCAAACTGGGTTGGGTTCTCTCCAGCACCTCTCATCTGGGAAAAAGTTTTCAAAGTCTCAGAGAACCTCCTGTTTTGAGAAAACCCAGTTATCATTGCTGTCCAAGAAACCAAGTTTCTCTGAGGCATTTTGTCGAAGACTTTGAGAGCATAGTCGACCTCCCCACATTTTGAGTACATGTTAAGAAGGTGGTTGGCGAGAAAAATGCATGGCGGGTACTCGGTGCGTAGAAGCTGAGCATGGAGCTCCTTGCCTCTGTTTAGCTGCTTGGTTCGTGCGTAGGTTTGGATAGTTTGCGCCAAGGTGGTGGCGTCCTGGAGCATGTGCCCGCCAAAACGGCACACCGCTTGAAAATTCATAGGGGGGTGAAATGGAAATTTTGTGGAAAAGCTTTACGCATTACTTAAGAAAATGGAATTATGCCCCATATGTCCCTTCCTCAGAAAATAGAATAACTTTATTTTCTTGCTAAATATTTGGGTATTAAATGTTCATAACTCCCACAATAAATAAAATAAAACAACTAAAATAATAAATAAATAAAACAGTTAAAATTTTAAAACCTTTTTAAAATTCCAACAAATATTTGGGTATTTTATATTGTTAGACCAATTTAACTAACATGATCAACAATTTTTTATTTTTTATTCGTTTATCATCAATAATTTAGACTCTTAATTTGGTCTCTAATAGCATATCATGTCAAATATTTTGCCAGATAACATCACTCATTTTAGAAAACTCGTCTTCCTTTATCTAATCAATAGAGAGGAGGATTCAAACTTTAACATCTTCCAACATTAGGAAGATAAATAATGCTAAATCAATAAGCCAATTTGACGTCCTTTCTTTACATGTCGAATTTACAAAGACAGGTTTCGTTTAACATCATCAATAATTTAGATACATAATTTGGTTGTCTAATAGCATAGCATGTCATATCAAATGCATTGCATGAGATCACTCATCTTATAAAATCCGTCTTTCTTTTCTTATCAAAAGAAGTAGGGTTTCGAATTTCTGTTCTATACATATTAAATTTGGAAAGATAAGTGTGGTGCACATAAACACCACACCGTCAACCTACTCAAAGATACTCGAGACATAATTGAGCTGAGAGCATTACAAGAAGAAAAAAACATTTCAAAATTTCCACAATAAACAAAATAAAAATCTGTTCCAAACTATCATCAAGTGTCACAAGTGGTCCAGATTCTCCAATGCCCCACAATAAGAAAGACGATGAACATAATAAAACTGACATTGCCCCTATAACAATGCACTTTATAGTCTATAGTTTATCACTTTTATACTATCTGACATGAGGCTAAAATGGAAAAATTCTCAACTCTTGTTTTATTATCTGATTTGTTCACCAATTTTTGAGTGGTTTATGTCATTTATCTTTTTTCATGAATGATTTTATTTTATTATAAGTGGTTGGTGGCGGCTACATCTCGTCAATCTTGTTCCATGTTTTGAGTGTTTTGCCGTGGGGCTCTCTTTGGGTTTGGCAAATTATATGTGGCTGTGGAAATAGCTGTTGGTGCACCATTTCAAAAGAGACTATTATTGATTTCCAGTCATAGGCATCCACATATGTTTGGGTTGGGTTTTTGTGATGTTTACAACACAGAGCTTCACCCTTACGGAGGACTCACAGCAATATTTATTGGAGGCAATTCAGGATTTCAATTTTAACTGACGGAAAAACGAAGATTCAAACTTAAAACATCTTTTAACATTAGAAAAAGAAGTATCAATAAATTAAGAATTAGTTGGTACTAATATCTATTTTTAATTCCTTGAAATATAATATAATTCACGAATATTCTATTATATCTAATAAATTACAACGGGGTCATGCAGAGTATTATAACTTTATAGAAAATTGAATGGAATTGGATGGAGGAGTGACATTTGTACAAAATTCAAAGTTAGAGTGTGACATTGACGGCTGGACATACCCCTAATAATTCATGCGGTATTTGTAAAAATTACACTAAAGATCTAGTAAGTCTGAGATTCAATGTTGTAACATCTTTCTTGTAAAACAACAATAGATATACGAGGAAAGTCATTTGCCCTCTTCTTGTGCACAATGAACTACTCTGAATTGAGCTCTTCCATAACAAGAGACAAAACAAGAAAGACATGACAACATGGGGCCTTGAAGAGAAAGATGCCCATGTGCATAATGCACTCTTACCATTCTGATAGTGCGAAGATTATATTGTTCTTCTCCTTTTATGTAACATCTCACATCGATTAATGGAGAGGAGGTGATGTGCTTTATATGTACATACCTACCTCCATCTAGCCCAACCTAGGCCTTTTGGGAGCTCACTGGCTTCGGAGTAATGGGAACTCCAAAGTTAAGCAAGTTTGGGCTAGAACAATCCTAGGATAGGTGATTCACTGGGAAGTTGCTCATGAGTTCCCAAAAACAAAACCCTGAAGGCATGGGCCCAAAGCAGATAATATCATGCTACAGATGAGCCAATCCGGAACATGACATTTTATGTCCAAAATAATTAATTGTGAAATGATTTTTCGTGTTTTGAATTATGTCACTTGTTTGTGTGATGTGTTTTGAGTGCTTAAATTTCAAAGGAGAACTTCGACCAAATTTTTTTTTCAAAGGAGAACAAAACCAAAGGCTGCTAGCAAGTGATGGTGTACAATAGAAGAAAATATCTTATTGGAAACACCAAGAAGGTCCCCATCTTGTATTGAATAAAATTGAATAGTGTGCAAATTATCATTAAATTTATAATTCTTTTTTCGCTAAATAAAATTTCACAACCAACTCCCAAACCCAAATGCATGTCAATGAGTTTAGACCATTAAAAAAATAACTTCGTTTTGTTGATCGAATAGTCTCAAGTTGAAATTTCATGATACCTTAACGGCACGTGTGTGAGAAAAACTCATTCCCTTCTTAATTTTGATGAAGGAAAAAAAAACCCAAATGTCTTATTATTATTATATGAGGCCCCAAATCAACATCAACCTCACAATCCGCCAAAAACCCATCCAAGGAATCCCACTAGTCCCAACGGATTTATTATTATGAGAGTCCCTTTTTCCCTTTCTTTTTTGCATTTTCAAACAAGAACTAAGCCACACAAATTGGACTTCAAAGCAAATCTCAACCAAGCCACGTACTATTGTCACTAACCATACAAAAGAAAAGAAGGAAGAAGAAAAAAACTTTAAGCATTGACGTGTACACTAACCCCCCACCCATTCTAGTTGCATTATTAACAGAAGCAAATTAAATCCCCCCCCAGGCTTGCTATATCCCTGTGCACACTACCATTCAACAAGAGAACATCAATTGAAAAAAGTTTGAACACGAAGGAGAAGGAGAAGGAGAAGGAGAAGGAGAGCATAAGAAGAAGCACCACCTAGCTAGCTTTGCACACATTTTTCATTTCCATTTTCCCTACTGAATGAGAAGACAACCATCTCAAATGGCTCACCAAGTCCCTTTGGAAAAACCCATCAACCAAAAAACTCCATCTCTTCCAACCCTACAAGAACCCGAGGAAATCTCCAAGTCTAACATCAATTGCATGGAGCAAGGCAGCACATCACCAAAGAGGCATGAAAATGATGGGTCAAGCAGTGAAGAAATTGCAGTTTTGGAAGGCCAGGCTTCTGCTGCTGGGGATGTTGTTGTTGTAGATCACGAACCAAGTAATGTGGCTGATGAAGACAGTGGACGTGAGAGGTTGAAAAGGCATAGGGTTGAGGTGGCTGGCCAGGCTTGGATACCTGATATATGGGGGCAGGAGGAGTTGCTTCAAGATTGGATTGATTGTTCTGCTTTTGATGCTTCTTTGTTCCCAAGTGGGATTATGTCTGCTCGTTCTGCTTTGATTGAGGAGGGGAGGAGACAAAACTCAGCCAGAATAAGAATAGAAAACAGGTGTTGAATTATAACAATCATAATTAATCTTCTCATTTTTCTGAGATCTTTATATTTGTTTTAATTATAGTTATGATCATATACAAGCTCTTTTTTATATTTTAATATTTATGATTATTGATACATGGAACATTATAAATTTATATATATACTATGGGAATGGCTACTGTTAGTGAAAATGATTCTATTTGCCCCAAAAGAGTGCATTTTCTGACAAGTGCATGTAACCGGCTTTAGAAATTGGGCTTTTCATGAATAGGTCCATTTATCATTTTCTTTAGCTATATATCATTCGCGGATTGTGCATAATTTCTGAAATATAAAGCTCTTTCTAATTTTATTGCATGGATTGTTTGATGTTTTTATCTTATAGATTGTTTGCTGTCAGCAAACAAACACCACCAAAATAAAGGGAGAAATCAATCATCTCTGAACGATTGTTTGTCAGATGCACCAGTGAGGATGTTTTATTAAGTCCTCTTGGGGGCATACACCCACCTGTGAATGAAGAACAAATTGGGCATGTGGACACCGTTCGAGAAATCGCCACAGCCATTGGTTCTGTGTCGGCCAGTCAGCTTAGTTAGTCTAGTTAGTTTGACAACCACTAGGTCATAAAAGCTTAAGCAACTAGAGAATGGGCCGACAGTTCTATATACAGCTAACAGAGGATACTGCCTGACAATGTAGTTTGTAAACGTGATCAGAACACATGTAAGCCAGACATCGTATTTTCGAACACAATGTAAGAATTCATTGTTAACTGAGAGGATAATAAGGAATCCGCCATCAGAGAGGGCGAGGAGAGAAAGAAGTTGAAAGAGAAATGTCTGAAAGCAAATCTTGTTAGCCATCCTATAAACAAAACTGTAAGCTTCAACCTTCGCCATCTTCATTCTCATAAAGATTCATTACATCTAATTCACATTAAAAATTGCCACATTTCACTAACTATACTAAACTTCATGTTTTTCCAAAAATCGAGACCAGTATAAAAGAGAAAATACATTTGCAATTACACAATTGTTCTAACAGCAAAGAAAAAGGTTCCTTCATCAGCCTGCAGATGTCAGCGCCCATATTTTAATCGTCCCGTCATCAGCTGCAGAAGCAAGAATCCGATCCTCCTGAAAAATTCAACAGCAATGTACAAGGGAAATGTTAGCGCATGCATGAAAGTTAGACTTCGTATACAAAAATTAAATTCCTCCAGACATGGTAACCTCTTAATTCAGCAATCTCTCTCACTCACATGACTACTTAAAAAGAATTAATGTATAAAGAGCATAGACAAACTTAAGTCATCCAAAAAGAAGGGAAAACGGTAACAGAGCTCCTGTGAGCAATTTGATGCAACCATAATTGTATTATGTGCAAATTATTTAGTAGGTAATAACTACGCAGAACATCACTAGTACTCAGCAACCATAGCAGTCCTCAACTTGGTGCTGGTGCTGGTGCATTAAGCGCGATAATGGTGATGCTTGAAATGATAGCCGTGGGGTCCTTGATGATTGGCTGTAGGGGTAGTATTGACTATGATAGAGGTGTGGTGGTAATAGTAGCAGTCACAGCAGAAAGTATGGTGACAGAACCAGGACAAGCGATGAGATTTGAGTATGGGTGCCATTAATGGTAGCAGAAAACTAGATAAGACTCATAGAACCTAGTTCTTGTGGACCTTGAATGACAAATTACCAAAAAATTTAGACACAAGAATACTGGACTCTAGTAGATCCTCAGAAATCTAGAGTTCAAGCTGGAAAGCCTCAATTCGCAGTCCAAGCTGGCAAAAGCTCCATTCACAGAGAAAACAACAGGACCTCACAGAACTTCAATGATCTGCAGAACGAGAAATCTTACCCCAGGGCTCCATTGCACCGAATTTATATCCATGTCATGGGCCTTCTCCTTTTTCAGAAGCAATTTATACGAAGGTCCATCAACCTGAACGAAAACACACAATTGGGTTATTTAATACTCCCCAAACCAAATAAGCAAATAACAGAGCCACTCCAATCATCAAAGCGCTCAATGAGCTTAATTTAATTGGTCCACACCAAGCTCTAGAGAATATTTATTAGCAATTCGCTGTCACAACTAATTGAGATATTAGGCCATTTCACTGGTGATACAAATTCTAATACAATTAATGGGGGTGAAAGATTATGACATACCAAACCATCTTTATCATCATTCTCCACAAAAAATCTTATCGTGTCATCAGCAGCTCCACTGGCAATGATATTGTCCCTGTCATTTTTCAATTAAATATAAATCAATATTTGGGATTAATCAAAATCTTATTTGGTGAATCAAACAATAAACTGATTAAACTAGTAAACTCAATCGAACCAATGCAGCCATGTTTACCTTACATTTTGCGCAGATTGCTACACTATCTTATATTGAATAAAGATCTTAAGTAATTCCCGTAAACTTCCCTATTAAATAGTTCATATTTATTCTTTCTTATATTTTATAATCTTTACCAAAGACCCTCAACAATTGGAACTATTTCTTTGGTTCCATTACCTTGACCAATGAACTGAAAATATTGTCCGATCATGATAACCTGAAAGAGTGCAAAGATGTCTCCTGACAAAACCAAAAGAGAGAATCATATTATCAGTGCGACAAGAAAACACAAATGAATTACAACCAAAATGTTAGCACTCTACCAAACAAATCATTTATTCAATTAATTCCTTGGACTCATACTAAATGAATCTAAAACAATTTTCCATGGAACTGATAATGAAACAGTGTTATCAACACATAGAGTAGAACCACATTATTTAATTCCATTCAAAAGCAGCTGACTTCTATGTTGCAACTACAATAACACTAAAACAACACAGCACTTGTAACTGTAAAGCCCCAGAAACATCTCAAACAAACACACTTCAAAATGAAAAAAAAATGAGAACCCTCCAAAATTTTCCAGGTAAACTTAGCATATCCTGACTACCAGGCACAATTAGGAATCTTGACCAAGAGTTTTTTAACCCAACTAAATGTGGGGATGGCACGGCCCCTGGTTTCAAATTTTTCAACCCATTGAAAGCACATTCTTCTGAAAATAATAAATTCATTCATGTAAGAGGCAATAATAGCTAGGTCAGATCATGTAGATGATTTTCTTATCTTCAATCATGCACATATGTCCCTTACTTCAAGCTCAACATGGACTTATTCGCAAAACGAAAAAATTATATTTTTTTGGGACAACTAAACGACAAATTACTTGGGCAACCCAGGATGACACATAACCTTCTCTTTCTATACAATGCACTGTCTGTCTAGGAAACATACAAAGTTTCAAATGCGTGAACGATCACATATAATTGAATATGAAAGCATCGTATTCAACAGAAATAATGGTGGAGAGTGCAAGTGTCAGGACGCTTGAGTGTTCAAAATTAGAGAAAGACTATGAAGAGGAACTCAAAACTCATAAGCAAATAAAGGAAACAAAAAGAAGTATAAATCCAAACGAATATATGAGGGAAGGGAGGGAGAGAGAGAGAAAAAGAGGCAATTCAAATTCATCTATTTCTGTAAATGCAAATGTAGCCTACATCACTGCCCAGTGCTAATGCTGAGTCTAATGGATTTTTTTGTTTTTTTTTGTCAAAGCTGAGTCTAATGGATATGTCATGGTACAACCTATTAAATATCCCCGCTCTAAAACAAAACCTATAACATCTGGTTAATAAAATATTTAAAACAAGATCAAATAATTCACATAACTGAAAGACCAAATTCAGGGATTCTAAAATGAAAAGAAATCATTCTAATGGAGCATGTTCCTCACCATGGTACAAAGTCATCCGTAGATTGCATCTTTTCATTGTCTGTTCCCCATATCTTTAAAGTAAGATCGTCACTGCAAAATCAGCACATTGTTATTTTATTTCTCCTTTTGAGTACTGTTCAAAACTTCAAATTTCTGTTTTGCATAGATGCTCTTATAAATGGTGTTTTGGAATCAAAACCAATGAAACATAAAAAATGAGAAAACACTTCTGCTTACCTGCAGGTAACCATTTTGTCTCCACCATCATTAAACGATAAAGCCCAGACAGTAGAAGAGTGACCACTAACAAGAAAACCGGTTAAGCTGAATTAGACTAAAAGATATATTTTGACAAAAATTGCTAGCAGTTCTACAAACTCAACTGGTTCAGAATAATCAAAAGAGGCCATGTATCTATTAAAAAGGAAAATATCCTGTAGTCCTTAGATGAGATCATATTTCTTTTAAATTATGAACAGTTCAGATGCATTGCACCCACTGCACTTCTTAGTCGTCCATATCAAATCAATTAGTGAGAAACATGACCTCATTAACCATAAGGCGCTTCGGAGAGAAGAACTACACACACGTTATGGAAACTATTACATAAAAGAAGGGAATAATTCTGAAGAAGGAATGATGAAGCAGAAAATTTAGAGATACAGAGAGGCTAAGACGTAGTACTTGTTAGTTTCACCTAATGTTTGAACACACGCCCAATCATCATCATCACCTTCATCTGCCCATATCTGCAAGAAATATTGTACGGCATCAGAAAAAAAGTATCCAATCTTCTTGATACATAATTAACGAAAAAATAATCATTTTTGTGGGACAGTAGTAGGGAAGGTAGGAAAAGCACTTAAAACTCTAAACTTTACCTTGACAGTGTTATCATAGCTACAAGAAAATATAAGATTCCTGCTTGGATGCCACTGAACCATCTTCACATCTTGTGTATGGCCTTGCAACACTGCAACACAATCAAACTCATTTCCGGGTTGCACTTCCCATATCCATACAGTTTTATCTCGGCCACAAGTCGCAAGCAGAGACCCAGATGGATTCCAACTCACACTTTTCACTTCGTTTTCATGACCCTGTACACAAAAACACCTTTACTAACGAAAACCAAAAGAACCCAACTTGTAAAGTTGATCGATTGAGGTAAAGCGAGAATCTTTCAATGCCATTAACAAAGATACCTCATACCTCTAAAGTGGACACACATTCATAATCACCCCCAACATTTTCCCAAATTGCAGTGGTGGCGTCGAAGCTGGCAGTGGCCAAAAATTTCCCAGATGGGGACCAAGCGCACGATCGGACGGTTCTAGTGTGAGTTTCATCCAGAACTGCCTGCAACCCAAAATTGAAAATTCCATAACAAATTGTCCCATTTAACAAAATAAGGAAATAAAAAATAAAAACAAAAAGATGGGTAACCTTGCAATCCCACGAAGAAGTGGAGCTAGAGGGGTTGTGTTCCCAAATACGGACGGTCTTGTCACCACTACATGAAGCGAAGGAAAGGGGGATTCCGGCAACACCAGTTACTGGGTTCCATGCGAGGCTCCAGACCCTATCTGTGTGACCCTCCAGCTTCTGAATCTCTCTCAGTCCTTTTGCTAACTCCATGGCCAGGTGGGGTTGTGAGCTTTGTGAAAATAAGGGATTGGCAGGAGAGTTAAAGAGTAAAGTGGTGAAGAAAAGTGAAAAGCTGGGGTATTGGGTTACGCCACTACGGTGTTGACGAGTCGGCGAGACGAGGATTTGACAGCCGGTGGGAGGTGAATGAATACTCTCTGTGCTCGCGTTGACGAGTTTAGTTGGTGTTTGTACTCTTGCGTTGTGTGTTCTGTGTGGACCACGAGTCAGGAGCAAACAGCACTTGATTTTCCTTTTGGCAAAAATTACAATGTTGATGCATGTAGTCACTTGTTTTATTTTTCATATTTTCTTCAGAGAAAAAAAGTCTCCCTAATACTACTTTTTTTCGATGTATTCATGACTAACTACCTAAACGAGTTTGAGTGTTAATTGTGGAATGCTAAACTAAGGTGTGGCTATCCTTCAAACCGTAATCATATTAAGTTATTGGCTATGATTTTGTCAATGATCTCGCACAATCAACACAATTGGCTGAATATCTTGAAACCATTTCATATATATATAAAGCACATCGACTATGATTTTTGAATAATCTACACCACTTCAGCTTATATTATGTCAAAGGGTTTCTTTTTTATTTAGAAAAGGTTTGTATCAATAATTATGATTTTATGTATGAACAACTCCTTCTAATAGATATTTAGACCGGAGTTGATGAACAATTAGTATTAGGGTTGGTTTTTGAACGAACCAGATCGAATACTACACTTAATTAAGCCATCATTAACGATAAATAAAGAAAAAGAAAAAGTAAGGCCATTCCATTTCGACCTTTCACACTCCATATCTCTAGCTCTAAGATGAGGATTGGCTTATTAACCCTCCAAGGTGTCGTGAACGGAGTCCCTACTACTTACCCTAAACTAGTCACTCTTGACAGCTTATGTGGAGCCCTCCCTTTGAAATTAATCGATCACTACCGTAGACAAGCCCTTGTCATGGAATTCCAATCCAAAAAAATTCGAAATAAAATTCTTTTCCAATTCCATTTCAAAAAATTTGGAAACTTCAACATCCATTCTAATTAATAATTTTTGGAAATTTTTGAAACTTACATATTTCGGAAATTTCAAAAAATAGTTAAAATTTTAAAACATATCCAATGATTTGAAAGATTAAAATTGACTCAAAAATGAAAAATCATACGAAAAGTTCGAAAACTATTATATGTTACTACTTATATATAGTTTATTATTTATGAAATTACTCGTCTATGTCTATTTGGCCATTTAAGTCATATTTAGTTCAACATAAAATTAGTCATTATGTATAGTCTAAGCTTGAAACCCTAATATATTTCAGAATTCGGAAGTTTCAAAATATTGAAATACATTCCAATTCCAATCCATTGTTTTTTGGAATTTTCGAATTTCGGATTTCAAATGTCAGAATTGATTTCGACTCGCCAAAATCGGAAAATTTTGAATTGGAGTCGATCGGAATCAGAATTTCCAATTCAACTTGCACCCTTAACTGGTACCAATATTAGTGTTGACTATAAATGGGCTTGGTCAAGTGCTAAGGCAACGGATTTTGGTCCCATTATCCAAAGGTTTGAATCCTTCCGCTCTAGAAATGTTTGACACATGATCATTTGATTAATTTATTTAGAACAACTGGGTAAGCACAACCTGAAATCTGAGCGGGTAACCAAATACCCTATTGGGGGGTGTATTCAATTAGGATTCTAGTGTGTTTAAAAAGATTTTGTTTAAGTGCCAACTTTCATAGAACTTGATGGAACTTTAGAATTCGTATAGAACTTGATAGACTTTCAGAAGACTTCTATATAATTTTTTAATAAACTTTCTTAAGATTTGTATGGCTTTTATTTCAGACTTCAAATTCAGAAAATGATAGAAGAAAAACAAATGGGAAAAGATCAGCTGATTGCTAGAGGAAAAAAACTCAAATGTTTCATGTGTGAGACTTTTTTTTGCCATCTTTGCCAAAGAAGTGCTCAAGTAGGCCTCCGTCTTCTACAGAAACTTTGAGCATGTGGCCATCCTTATTTTGTTTGATTTGAGATCTCATCAAAGCCATGACTTTATTAAACTCCTCCCTATCAATGTCTCTGTTAATAATACATGTAACAAATCATAAATAAATAAAAAAAGATGGAAAGTATACAAAGTAAAATTATTTTATATAGTAGCATTGCTATCAATGTATCTAATGGTGATCCAATTTTAAGAGATGTTCTGATACTTGATTTGTACCAACGTGAATAAATTTTTAAACAACATGAAATAAAAAGCCAAATTCATAACATCTTTTCTTTCAACAACATGAAATAAAATTATGTTTAACGAAAACCCTAATAACAAGCATAAACTCTAACCCCACTATACCCTAATAACAAGGAAAATAGGATGAAGAAAAATCATGGAAAAAGAAAACCCAACGAGGTATTGATCGAAGAAACAATAGGGGGCATACCTTCACAGATGGAGAAAGGAAGCTATTCGTCTTCTGTTACAGAGAGAAAAGCTAGGGCGAGAGAAAAACGTCTTATGAAATACTTGGGGGGAGGTTGGATTTATTATGGCATTTGTTATTTATAGCTCTCTCCTTAAAACCTACGAAAATTTATTACTTAATGAAATCCTTCCAAATATATGACCTTTTGAATACACCTAGATTTGATAACTTTTTTATAATCCTAATTGAATACACTCATATTTGAATGGATTTTTTAAAAGTTCATACAAGTTGAAATTGAATATACCCAAACTTGTAAAACCTCTTTTAAAGTTTGTTTAAATCCGAATTAAATACACCCAAATTTTTAAAATCTTTTTAAACGGTTTATAATCCTAATTAAATACACCCCCTTATATTATGAAATTTAACACTCTTTTTTATTGGGCGAAAAAGCACCACAGTACGTACCATACATCTTGTTTCTTTTTTCTTTTTCCATTTTTTTTATTGAGGAAAAAAAAATGAAGCATCAATTTAATGATTGTTAAGCCCACTATTGGTGAACATGGTCGAATACCTGAAAGCCCACAAAACCCCGGTCCAAACGAACCGCGTCACACCGTTGCAACACTCTAGCGGACCGGTCCAAACCACCCGTTTCCCAAATCCAAAAGCATATTACTCATCCAAATCTCGTTCCCATTTCGACGACGCCAGAGCTCTGACCAAAATCCTACCTCGCAGCTCAAATCAGAAGCAAGTGAAGGAGACTCGCACAGATCGCCATGAATTCAGCAGCTCGAAGAAGCGGTGGAGGCCTCTTCGAAGGCATTTACAGGGTCATCATGCGCCGCAACTCCGTCTACGTCACCTTTGTCATCGCCGGCGCTTTCCTTGGCGAGCGGGTGAGCCTTTTGCAGCTTTAGATTATGATTTTCCTCACTGAACATCTCCTTTTAGTTTTTGTTCTCTCTCTTATGATCTGTTTGGTTGCTAGGAAATCTGAGGAAATGAAAGGTGATTGATTTGCGATTAGGTCAACTTAGTCTAGTATGAAGCTCAGAGATTTCAGTTTAGTTTGTGGTATTTATTTGATTGGCCTTGGAATTAAACGGGAGCGGTTATTTTTATTATTGTGTTAGTGATGAAATTTGATATTGTTTATTGCGATTTAATAGATTTTTAGCAATTCTTTTTCTACCTCGAACTCTATAAATTGGTTTCATATCTGTTCATATATGCAATGTTAACGTAGAGTTGCTAAATTCATCAAGTCGAGGCTCATATATAGTGACTGGATTTGCATTTCTTGGAACTTTGTATTTCAGTTGTAGATTAAGTATTTTTCAGAATTTTGGGATATATGCATATTCCTGTTTGAGTTCTTTCTCTGCTTGCTGAATTTTTTTGCTTTTGTTTTGGTGTATAAGCTGAGTGTCATTTGATTTGTGTTGTTTTGTAAATGAAGAACAAATATCATAGTGTTCTTACGTACCTGATTTACCGGTTTCAGGCTGTAGATTATGGAGTTCATAAGCTGTGGGAGTACAACAATGTTGGGGTATGGCAGCTATTTTATAGTTTATTTACTTTTGGTAGTTTGCATGCACTTGATCCATGTATATTAGTATGTTGTGCATTTCCAGTTTGGAAATAATATGTAGGCTTGAAGAATTATATGTATGAATGTATCTATGTGTTGCTTTATGGGTTACATACAGATTTGGGTGAAAATTTAAAATTGTAAATACCATATGTATTGCTTTTACCCATTCTCCCTTCTGTTAATGCATGCTGGTTTTTTGGTTTTTCACTAAAGACACTTTTTAGCCCATGGTTGGAGGTTCTGAACATGTTTATATGGTTGTGCGCATATGCTTGTTTGGATGTTAATTGGGTCCCGGATGTACGTGTTTGGGAGAGAGTTTAGTCGGTGCCGTTTATAGAGGAACATGTCTTTCCCAATTTGTTGGATACAAGTTTTTGGGGGAATGTTTATTTGGCATTTCTTGCTCTTCATTGCAGACCTCACCCGCATCAAACCAATTGGAATTTTTTTAAATTAGTCTGGCCACAATTGAGATCAGTTCTGTTGCTTTCCACATCCATAGGAATTTATATTGTTCTGCATTTGCATTCTTTGCAGTTGAGATACTTTAGCAGCAAGTGGTTTACAGCATTCTCAATATTTAATGTACTTGTGAGAATTTCTCGATTTTGATCGCCGTAACTGGAGATCCTTACGAGTTTTACATCTGAACTTGATGTTTTCTTTCTTTGTGCAGAAACGATATGAAGACATTTCAGTTTTGGGGCAAAGGCCGTCGGAAGAATGAGATCATCAACGCTTCTCTTCGGTGACTTAAAGTTTTCATACTTTTGGAAAGTTGGAGCATGCAATCATGCTTTAGGTAGCAATTTTCATTTTTGTAATAAGTTTGGGCGGATGCAGCTTATTTATCAACCATGTTATATTCAACTAAAGTGTTTTTAAGTGTTGAATCAGTTGTGCGCGCGCGGCCACATTGACTGATTGACTCTGACAATGTTATTGTTTTTTTTATTATGAGATTTTGATTCTTTGGCCCTCTGCTTCTCTAGTGGTTTGTTTGTGTAGCTTTATTATTGACTATGACTTGCACTCCCATATGCCATGTATCATTCCAAATAACGAAACCAATAGGGACCAGGTTATTTCGTTTAACACAATAATGAGAATTCAATTTAGCAATCTCAATTGAAGAACCAACAATGTAGTCGAACTCAAAGTCTCAACAACAAACTCCTTTCTATAAGCACCAATGTCCTGGATGATTATATTTCTAGGAATTTTTTTCCATGATGGTATAAGGCATATTGTAAACTTGGACGTCCAATTTCTACCGATTAGCAATTAGTTTAGCGGTATTTCTTGAAAGAATTGCCAAAAGATCCCTAGTTCAATTCTCTTTTTCCCATTGATAAAAAGAAAACGTTTATTTTTTGGGCAAAGTTTGGAATGGAAGGAGGTTTTTTTGCACTCAAATTGCAAATTAAAATCATTTTTCAATAGGCTAGACCGTAAATTTTACAACACATCCTTCTATTTGAATAAGGGTAAACGGTCGAAAACCCCCCTGGACTATATCGACTATCGAAAACTCTCCGGAGAAAGACAGACTGCGATTGAGAGATTCGATTTTGGGAGATATTTTGTGACTTGAAGATTCCAAACGAAGGTGCGACGGTAAAGGCAGAATGAAAATCAGATATGGTGGGGAAGCTCCCATATACAGTAAGTAGCGTACTTTAGTTTAATTTGTTTGATACAATTGTTTGGGTTTTACTGTCGGATTTCATTGCTGGACTTGATGAAAAAGCATAATAAAAGGAAGAAAGTGGTCCCTATGGTTGTTGTTTGTTGACTGAGACTTAAGTTGGGTTGTGAATGTGGTCCCTACGCATGTTGTTTGTTTATTGTTTCTCTGGTTCTTTGTCTGAGTTTGTATTGTATTGTATTGTATTTTATAGAGTAAATAGTAATGTGCTGTATATCGTATTGTATAGAGTAGATAGTAAATGTATATTGTACTATATAGGGTAGATAGTAAATTAATAAGAAAATTTATTGTTATGCAGCTAATCCTGACATGTTCACACTTGAAGTACACCATGGGGGCTACTTTGTTGATGGTTTATATTTGGGAGGTATTGTACAATGGGTTGATAGGCAAGATGCAGATGAGATTTCAATGCTTGAGTTATTTGAACTGGTTAAACACATTGGTTATGATGAGCAGAACATTCAATACTATTACAAGCACAAGACAAATGATTGGGTTGAAATTAGGACATATAAGGATTATTTTGGAGCATTGAAGTTGGTGAAACCGAGGCAGCTGTTTGTGTTATACATAATTGACAATCCAGCACCTAGGCCTCTAAATGTTCAATCCCCAGTATTCTCTGCATAAGGTGAAAATGATGAACATTATGAAGACGAACACACTGCTCCTGGATATGATGGTGATGAAGAAAATGGGCAACATGAGTTCGTGGATGCTGAGATAAATGAAGAATTTGGTGAGGCAGAGGAAAAAGTTGAGGTAGAAAGTGATAAAGCTGAGCAAGGTGGGGAGGATGAGGAAGAAGATGATGATTTCATAGATAGTGAGTTTGAGCAAAGTGATGAAGAGGACAACATGAATTTTCATAGGTATGTTGTAACTGAAGAGCAAGATGATGGACATAAAGAACTAAGTGAGAGTGACACTGATGGTTATAATACATTAGACTTAGAGAGTTTGCATGAAGATAGTGGAGATGAAGATGGGAAGAAGAGAGGTTTGAGGCAGCCAAGGTTCAAGCAGTACAATAAACAGCATGACCTTTTAGATCCAAAATTCCACTTGGGTTTGGAGTTTCCTAATATGCAGGAATGTAGAGAGGCCATAAAGTACTATGCATGCAGGTGTGCTAGAAGAATAAGGTTTGTGAAGAATGACCCTAATAGGGTGAGGCTGGTATGTGATGGTAATAAGGAGGGTAATAAGGCAAAGAGGCCTACTAAGGGTGAAAAAGCAAAGAGGCATGCTAAGGGTGATAAGGCAAAGCGTCATAGTAAAAGTGATAATAGTCAGAGGCATGGTAAAGGTGAAGAAGGTCAAGAGGGTGAAATTGAATATGAAGATAAACTTGAAGACTGTCCTTGGTTATTATATGTTGCATATGTTGGGAAATGACCCACTGTTAGAGTGAAGACATACCATCCAATTCATACATGTGGCAGATCTCAAAGAACCAGGTTTGCCACTTCACAATGGTTGGCTAACAGGTTTGATGAGGATCTCAGAACCAATCCTAACATGTCAGTTGCTGAGTTCATGACATTGGTGAGGAAACATTACAGTATAGATGTTACTAGGGACCAATGCTACAAGGCAAAGAATTTGGCAAAAGAGAGGATTCAAGGAAGCATTGAAGAACAATATTCAAAGTTATGAGATTATTGTGAGGAGCTTAAAAGGCAAAACCCAGGAAGCACAGTTTTAGTGAAGACATCATTGAGGGGAGATGATCCAGTTTTTTAGAAGCTTTATATGTGTTTTGATCAATTGAGGAAGGGGTTTATTGAAGGATGCAGAACCATGGTTGGTTTTGATGAGGCTTTCATCAAAGGATAGCATCCAGGACAACTTTTAAGTGCTGTTGGGACTGATGCCAACAATGGCATGTTCCCAATAGCTTTTGCTGTTGTGGAGATAGAAAGCAGAGACACTTGAACATGGTTTTTTAAAGATTTTCTTCAATAATGTTAGGGTAAAAGGCACTGGAAATGGGTGAGTTTTTATCACTGACAAACAAAAAGGATTGGGGCAAGCAATTGAGGCTTTAAAGCTAGATGCTGAATATAGGCATTGTGTAAGGCATCTGCATAATAATTTCAAACTTGCTGGGCATGGTAGTTTGACACTTAAACAGAGGCTATAAACTGCTGCTAGAAGCACAACACTACCTTGGTGGGAAGCTGAGATAGACAATATTATGGAAATATCTGCCCTAGCTCTTGCATGGCTTCATGATAGGCCTGCAATTCATTGGAGCATGTCATATTTTACTACTGGGCCCAAGTGTGATATACTACTGAACAATTTATGTGAATGCTTCAATTCAGCAATTTTGGAGGCAATAGATAAATCAATAATCACGATAGTGGAAAGGATCATAACCTATTTAATGTTGAGAGTTGTAAGACAAAAGGAGGTGAAATGAGCTCAAAGAGTTGGGCCAAGGATATTTTAGATTATTGAGAAGAATTTGAAAGAGAGTGGCTTATGCATTGCACAGAATGCAAGTGGAAACATGTTTCAAGTCACTCATATGCTTGGTGGGCAATATGCAGTTGATCTAAATACTCACTCATGCTCTTGTAGAAAATGGGATCTCTGTGGCATCCCATGTTGCCATGGCATGACTGCTATATCAAGGCAATAGAGGAGCCCAATGACTTATGTGAATGAGGTGTATAAGAGAGAAGCTTATGATAGGGCTTATAACAATTACATATCACCAATGCCAAGCCAACAATTATGGAGGAAATCAGGGCATATGCCAATTAAACCCCTACTGTATCACAAACAGAGTGGTAGGCCAAAGAAGGCAAGGACTAGACTTGTTGATGAGATCCTAAAGAGTGCCACTAAGCTTAGGAGATATGGAATTGTAATCTATTGCTCAGTCTGTGGAGGAGAAGGCCATAATGCTACTAATTGTGGAAAGGCAGATAACAATATGGGAAGAGGCAGAAGGAGAGTAAGAGGGAGAGGAAGAAGAAGAGGAACCAGCTCAATCCATCAATCTGAAGAGGAACAAGTAAATGATGTGAAATTGTGATTCATTTCAATTGTTTTAATTGTGATTAATTTCATTTGTAGGCAATTAGAGGAGGGTTGACAAGGACTGCAGCCATTGCAGGCCAAATAGCTCTAACCAATGTTGGTACCTAATCAAGTGGAACCAATGCTGCTTCACAACCAGCTCCTTGCAATTTAGCTTCACAAGCAGGTCCAAACAATGTCACTCAAAACACTTCTAGGTCACAAGGGAAAATGTTCAAATCCTCTGCAAAAAGGGCAAGGCCATGGAGGTAAAATACATTGATGGATTAGGATGGATTTTGGAATGTATATTTTTAATACATGGGCTGGTAGATGTGTACATTTTGAACAGATGGCTCTTTTTGGATGGATTTTGGATGATTAAGCAAGGTTGGAATGTATATTTTGTAGTAGAAGTTCCCCCACTGTATTTTGAACTGATGTCTATTTTGGATGTATTTAGGTTGGGTTGAAATGTATATTTTGAACTAATGGCTCTTTTGAATGAATTCTGTTTGTATTGTAATTTTGGATTAGTGTCTTTCCCTTACTTTTGTTGTCCTATGTTTGCAATTTATGAGTATTTTGCCTTGGCTTGTGCCAAAGGGTAAGTATCCAATTTAAACAAGCTTAAAAGACAATTCTATGAAGTTGTGCTAAACTCAGATTTGGTCCAAACTTCAAACTTCATCAAGAAATTGTGCAATCTACATTTAACCTCAAAATGTACATTGAACCAAATCCAAATGCCACTGCATTCGTTAAGCCAAAACAAGGCACAAAAAGGCCACTACATTCAACCAAATCAACTAACCTATATTGAACTAAATCAAAACCTAACCTACTTTAACCAAATGAAAAGCTAAGTAATAAAACAAAAAACAACAGAATCACAACCAAACAACTCAGCAGCAACCTTCGAAATTTTTTCTCTCTGTCTCTTAGCTCTTGCACAATCTTCTTGTCTTTAGCTTTTTTCTCTTCTAATGAGTTGATTCGTCTCAACAATCGACATATGACATGTTTGGCCTGATCAAATATTTTTGGGTCCTTCCAAGCCTTCCAACCACAGCCACCACCATACTTCTCTCTACAACACACATATAACCTCCTCCCTGCATTTTCATTAGACTAGCAAACAATTGTTTTCTCCTCAAATCCACCCCGGCAGATACGCACCATATCATCCTCCGTAATAAAAGTGGTTGAACTTGATTCGGTAGAAGCTACACGTCTGTTCCTATGCATCCTATCTTTAACTGCAATTTCTTCTCTTCTTCTTAGAATTGATGAACATTAGTGACGTGAGAAGGTTGGAAAGCTTGAAAATAGGGTTGGGTTCTGTCATCAAGGGTGGGTTCTGTGAAGAAGGGATGGTTTCTGTCGAATCTCCACGAAGGCTTCGTTCGAATAAAAGGGGGCTAAGGGCTGAGGGTATAGAATGACGATATTACCCTCATCAGACGCCTCACGTGCCTTTCACGTGGTGTTTTTTACGGGCATTTGGATGGAATTGGGGAAAAACTAACAGCAGTGGTGAAATTGGCGATTTCTTTTAATTCGAAGGCTAAATTGGCTGAAAAAATAATCCATGGGGGACATTTCGATAGTCAATATAGTCCAGGGGGTTTTGGCAGTTTACCCTTTGAATAATAAGGCCTCATTACAGAAAAAGCTAAGCCGGAAAAAAGAAAGAGTGAAAATAACAAGAACCTATGTATAAATGACGCGTGTAGATTAGAATTACAGGGACTCTGAGGTAAATTCCATAAATATTAAGTAATGCACGTGCGACGACTCCATGCGACCGCCCTTAAGAGCATCTCTACCCCAAAGGGCTAAGGCTAAGGCTAAGGCAAGGACTGCTACTATTCACGTGAATAGTGGCATCCTTGCCATTTGTGGTTCCACCCCAAAAGGCTAAGGCTAAGGCAATTACTATTCATTATACTTTATTTCCTATTTTTTTATACTTTAAACCATTAATTTTGATAATCTTTTGTAATTAAATTTTCGGATAAGATTTTTGGTTGCCACATGTCCATCATTTTTCAGAAAAGATTTTTGGATGAGAATCTCGGTTGCCACGTGTCTTATTCCAGATAAAATTTTCGAATATTCATTAAAAAAAATTATAATATCAGATTTCAGATGAGATTTTCACCCTATAAAATTGTGGCACGTGTCCCATGTCAGATAAAATTTTCAGATATTTAAAAAAAATTTATAATATCATATTTCAAATAAGATTTTCACCCTCTAAAATTGTGCCACGTGTCCCATGTCAGATAAGATTTTCAGATATTTAAAAAAAATTATAATATCAGATTTCAAATAAGATTTTTACCCTATAAAATTGTGTCACGTGTCATCTCTATCTTCTGAATCCCTTTATAAAACTACACCATCAACTCATACCTCTCTCACCATCTCTTATCTATTCCTTCATTTCTCAGATTTTACAAAACACATTCTAGTCTCAATGTCAAACTTGAGGAGGGTGTTGGAGAGGCAACATAAAGAAGAGGAAGAAATCCGGTGCAGACGTGCTGATGAAGATCGGGAGGCCGATGAAGAAATGGAAGAAATGCTTGCAGCAACGGTGTGTATGTTTAATCAATCAAGGCAACACTGCCGTCATCGTGCCCCGAATGTGGACATACGTAGGGAGTCTCAGGGTAAGAATCTCTTGGAAGAATACTTTATCCCAAATTCGTTATTTCATGTTTCTAAGTTTCGAGAGAGATATAGAATGCAGCCACATTTGTTCCAAAAAATCATGCATGATATTTGTAATTACGACACATACTTCATTCAAAAGTACGATGTTGTTGGAGTTTTGGGTATTCTCCCGGAGCAAAAACTTACAGCTGCTTTGCGGATGCTTGGTTATGGGGCATCTGCAAAGTAGGTGGATGAGATTGCAAGGATGGGAAATCAACTATCCTAGAGTGCTTGGTGAGATTCTATGATGTAGTGAAAAATTTGTACATGAGGGAGTACCTTCGCAAACCCACACCGAGGGACCTGCAAAGGCTTCTACAAAAAGCTGAGGCTCGAGATTTCTCAGGAATGATTGGAAGCATTGATTGCATGCACTGGCAGTGGAAGAATTGTCCTACTGCTTGACAATGAGAGTATGGGAATTGGAAGGGCCAAAAAAGTATAATTTTGGAGGCCGTAGCTTTATTCGACTGTTGGGTTTGGCATGCCTTCTTCGGGGTTGCCGGATCTCAGAATGACCTCAATGTCCTTGGTCAATCCCTGGTGTTCGACGAGGTATTGTGAGGTCATCCCCCCAGATCACGTACCAAATCAACAATATCGTATACTTTGGTGCGTACTACCTTGCTGACGGAATTTATCCTAGGTGGACGACATTCGTAAAAACAATTTTGAATCCCCAATCCGAGAAGGAAACAAGCTTTGCTGCCTTTTAAGAAGGTTACATGAAAGACGTGGAAAGGTGTTTCGGTATCTTGCAAGCTCGTTGGGCAATTATTAGGGGTGCTGCTCGGATGCTAGATGAGGAGGTGTTGCGGAGTATTATGATGACTTGCATCATCCTCCACAGCATGATTATGGAGGATGAGTATGATTATGATGCTCCAGAGGTGTTTGAACCCGATCCCATGAACACGGCGTTGACAATAATATATGAAAGGCCGATGGGACCAAATGGACAACCAATATAGCTCGAACTGTTACTTCGGGATGGTCGATACAACAACCCCATGAGTAATTGTTATCAAGAAATGCAATCTTCACATGTTCACGAGAAATGTCAGCTTGACTTGATCGAGCACTTGTGGGAGATGAAAGGCAATCACAGTGGATGCAGTCAAGATTAGTGCTTTGTTTGGAATTTGTTTTTAATTATACTTTATTTGGTGTGTGGTGTTTTTTGGAATTATGCTTTTTATTATTATTATGCTTTTAAGTATGGTTTATTTTATGTGTTGTTTGCAATAAATTAAGGTTTGTTTTTAATTAATCTTTGTTTTGATGCGCAAATGTTTTTAATAATAGTCATGTTATTTAATGCTTTCTTTATTGAATAAAAAGGAAACAATACAACAAATTAATACATATGGCAAATCTTTCAATACAACCTAATGGTTTTGATCATTTAACCAATCCGTATTGCTAGGTCCGTTGTCCTGGAAAAGTTTTCTTCTCATCACATCCCTTTGTCTTAGCTTCAAATAGGCCTTTGTTTCAGGAGACATATGGCTTGTATCCATGGCCATGATTTTCATCTCTCTATCCTCCACATCTTTTTCTTGTGCCTGTTGTTGTTGAATTGCAAATGCTTCCTATCGTGCCATGTCCGCTTCTTCTCTTTTCAAGTCTCTCTCAATTCTTAGTGCGGTGTTCTTAGCTATTTGCTCCAAAAATTGTACACATTCATTGTTCAAAGTGCTCCCTTTCTTGGCTTTTGCAGCTTTTCTCCCAATAGGTCTCGACGGACGCGGGAGTGGTGACTCCGTTTCCATTGAGGAGTCCAATGGCGAATCGGTTGATGGCGAATTGTGGAGCGGCGTCTCATTCAACACAACCGCTGGACCTGTGGGAATAATTTTGAATCTCGAACAATCCTTCACAACTTCCTAACATTCGTGATGCAAGAAAGTTTTTTTGCCTTGGCCCATGGCACCGAACCAAACTTGTGCTTGTATGATCTATTAAAAATAAATAATTGGAAGTGCAAGAAAAAAAAAGATTATGCAAGAAAACATAAACAATTTTGAAATGCAAGACAAAAATTGATTATGCAAAAAAATATAGACAAATTGGAAATGCAAAAAAAATAAAAATAAAGATTATGCAAGAAAAAGAAAAAGAAAAAGAATATGCAATAAAAAAAAAGTTACACTAAATTGATTAAAATGGCAATTATAAATATTTTACCTCATCGGATAGATTTTGACCGCTTCGAATGTTCTCCCTTGCTTTTGTCAACGCATTTCTCCATTTCCCTAACTCTTTATTCATAATTTTCCATCTACTAGACAACACCATTTCGGTCTGGATGGAACCCAATTTTTGACAAAATTCTCCATGAATTTTGCTCCACATATGAGAGAACTTCATCTCATTGCCCGTGACAGGGCAATGATTAACGTTCACCCAAGACTGACACAATGCAATATCTTCCTGAGTTGTCCACACACCTCCGGCTTCAATAGAAGATGCCATTTGTGTTTTGATAAAAATGGAAAGTAGTAGAAAAATGTGAGTGGAAAGTAAAAAATATTGGAAGTAGAAGAGTTTGTATGAAGATTTGGTGTGGAAAGTAAAAGATATTGGAAGGAGAAGAAATTGTATGAAGATTTGGTGTGGAAAGTGAATAAAATTGTTAGGTATTTATAAGGAAAAAATCCAGAATTTTTTTAGCCAAAAAAAGTGGACCGTCAGATTTCTGGAAAAAAAAAGATCGGGGCATCTAGGTTGCGACATGTGGCATTTTCCCGTTGAATTCTGTCAGGGATGACGTCGAGTTGACGTCATCGAGCGGAAGTCAAATTTTTTTACCGTTGGCGCATGAGATTCGATTTTTGCTCACTGACGTCAGCGAGCAAGATCTGCCTTCGGGCTTACCCGGGCTGGTGGGACCCAGGGCTTGCCCGGGCTGCATCTTATGCACTGGAGGTCCAAAACCCCAGCAAACGGGCCTCTTGCCCTGGCAAATGGGCCTGCGCTGGACATGCTCTAACAAAACGTAGCTGCTAGGGTTTTTATAAAGCGCCAAAGTTCCCTTCCGCTTTTTGCCTCACTCAGCAGCAGCAGCCCTGCAAATCCTGTTCTAGGGTTTCGCTCTCTTTCTTAAGGTACTCTTCCGCCTCCACTAGAGTTTTCTCTTATGCAACTTCAGCATTTCGGTTTAGCTAAAAGTTTCACTTGTTTTTGTTTTCCTCATTTTGTAAGAAGTATTTGCACAGGAATTGCAGCGAGGACAAGGCTGTAACCATGAGGTAATTGCGCTTTTCCCCTTTCGTTTTGTTCATCAGATCGTTATTGCTTTTGGCTTCTTGCTTGATTTGGATTTTGGAAGCAGTTTTTGGTGTCTCTGAAAGCCCAAAATCTCACATTTTTGCTTTTGTTTTAGTAGATTGCTTAATGCTCCTGCTATATGGGTGCTTATGAACTTGTTTATCTGTTTATATCTGGTGTTGAAAAGTGCTTAGTGGCTAGAAATCGTGATTAGGGATGTAGTCCTCAGAAATGTATAACATAATAGTCTGGGAGGTATATCTGTTGTAGCTTTTTCTGAAAGCCTGGGTGGGTTTTGGTCACTTGGCTTTTTTTTTGGGGGTGGGGGGTTGTTGGGGGCAAAATACAGCGACCTTATTCAATCAATGATGGTATAAATTTCAAGATGATTAAAAAATAATTATACATTTGCTTCTTGTATCAGTTTTTGTTATCAACTATCAAAAGTTTATATTTTTACCATCTTTGTTAACAGTAAGCTCTCAAGTGACGGGCTGAGAGAGGCCATCGCTCAGATTAAGACAAACTCAGAAACGAAAAAGAGAAATTTCACCGAGACAGTTGAGCTTCAAATTGGGTTGAAGAACTATGACCCACAAAAGGATAAGCGTTTCAGTGGCTCTGTCAGGCTTCCACATATTCCTCGTCCTAAGATGAGGGTTTGCATGCTTGGGGATGCTCAGCATGTTGAAGAGGTAAATTGGTTCATTGGGCAAACTATTTATGAGTTTGATATTTGTGTGTTTATGTCGATGCATTTGTTACAAACTAAAAGTAAGTCAAACTTGCTTGTAGATGTATAACATATCTGCTACATTTTACTACAGGCAGAGAAGATGGGTTTGGACTACATGGATGTGGAAAGCTTGAAAAAGCTTAACAAAAACAAGAAACTGGTCAAGAAGCTTGCCAAGAAATACCATGCATTTTTAGCTTCTGAAGCTGTCATTAAGCAAATTCCTCGTCTTCTAGGCCCTGGTCTTAATAAGGCAGGCAAGTAATTTCAGCGCCTGTAACACTTTATAATTAACTGTTAGGTTAAGCTTCAACTTTTGGTTTCTCTAATTTATTCTCAAATGTTGTTTGGTGGCTTAAAACTCGTCAATGTGATCTTGATACTGACTAGAGTATCAACCCTCAAAGTTGTATTAATTGTGGACCATGGGAAAAAAAATTATTTCCTGAGATGACATCCTAACTAATTTTGTCGAGTCTTTCCAAATCTATTCGATCATATCGTGGAACATTTTTCTGAGCAATCTCTGGTAGAATTTAATTCTCAATATTCCTGATTTATAGCTATTCTGCCTCCCATCTTTTGGAGATTTGGTTGATTCGAGAAGCATGTTAGTTTAATAATTAGATAATATGATATAGATTGGTAACCTTTAGTTTTTTTGCCAAAGTGCAGGTAAGTTTCCAACATTGGTGAGTCACCAGGAATCTTTGGAGGCAAAAGTGAATGAAACCAAAGCAATGGTGAAGTTCCAACTTAAGAAGGTTCTTTGCATGGGTGTTGCTGTGGGGAATTTGGCTATGGAGGAGAAGCAGATTTTTCAGAATGTACAACTCAGTGTCAATTTCTTAGTTTCACTATTGAAGAAGAATTGGCAGAATGTAAGTTCATGGCTCCATCCTAGTTAAACCTTTTGGGTACTCAATATATGTATGTTTATATCGTTTTGTCCCATTTACTAATGATACTTATTTTGTTCTTTTGTCTGCATGTGCAAATAGGTGAGGTCCTTGAACCTGAAAAGTACCATGGGGAAAGCAATCCGTATCTACTAAGTTCTTAAGCTCTATCAGAGACTTTTGTAGCGGAGGAAGCATTAGCAGAACTTTAATTAAGACATTTTTTGCAGATGATTTTATGTTCCCTTTTGTTTTTGTTGACTTTGATTTCTTTGTTTAAATTATAATGAGTACTGTATTTTTGGTTTGAACGAATGTTGGAAGATTTTGAAAGAAATTTTCTTCACCCCCGATGCCTGTTTATGATTTGGTTCTTTCAGTTTGGGATGCTGTGGTAGAATTGTGATAAAAGGATTAGTGGGTTTTGAAGCGAAATTCGAAAGTCGCAATTGCAGGATTTTTACTTTTGTTAAATAATCTGCCCTTGGGTTGGAGAAAGTACTTTGCAGGTAATTAATTAGGCTATAGTTGTGATTGCAAAATTGCTACATATGTAGCCTGCAAGTACAGGAAATTTTGTCACTGGTGGTAGTACAAGCGATTGTTATTACATCAACAGAATTATACAATCTATCCAAATAAACCATTATTCTTCTAGTTCACCTCTCAGCTGTCTGGGAAGGGAGTGGATGAAAGCACTTGCAACCTATTGTTTGACCATGAAAGAACTTATAAAACTGTACCCACCTACAGCACTTGGAAGTTGGACTTGTAGTCACCTGAACATGAAACCAGAATTAGATTACTAGTACATAAATTCGAGCAGGAAAAATATGATATTTCAACAACACTTTTTTTTGGTCCTAGAAAACATTTAAATTGATAACAGAACATCATAAAATTACATTGATCGAGTATAGCAAAATAAAATTACATTGATCGAGTATAGCAAAATAGTGATATCCATGTTTCAGACAAGTTTTTGTGCCTCTTGAGGCATCTGGCAGGCACAGTGGAACCGACAATTGCATTGTAATGCTGTACAGAATTTCAACTAAAACCAAAGCACCAAGGCTGTGGATCTTCAACCTTACCAAATTCTAATCTGTAAGTTTCATAATATAGGCCGATGGTGCCAAATAATGGCAAAGCCCATCTACGGCAGATAAGGCACCTTACCCTTCTAAGCCATTACACTGTAATGTTGGAAGCCATTACTCTTCTGTTTTTCTATATCTCCTCTCCACCTCCTCAAACTCAAACATTAAAACAAATAATAAAAGTTCAATAAAATGAAAATGGAAAAAACACCAAATTAAATAAAATTAGATTTTCTTGTTTGGGTTCTTCCACCTTTGCTCAATTCTATATCTCTCTCTGCTCCTCCTTCGATCTCTCTCTCTCTCTCTCTCTCTCTCTAGGATCTCAGAGCTTCCGTTGGACATTGTGAATAAGCTCTGGTCTTCGTTACAGGTTCGTATCACTATTCAATCTTGGTAAGATTGGATTCTATTGGTAGATCTAAAATTGCTTCAATTAGGCTCACGTTTTCTTGTTCACAGTGAGTATTTTCATTTTCTTCTATCACCCACATCCAAATCCAAACCTGAATCTGCAAATCCCAGAAGGCCCCGAAACTCCATAGCAACAGCTCTGTACACTCCGTTGAGTTGGAATTCTCAGGTAATTATACATTACATCTTGCTTCATCAATCAATTGAAATATTTCAGTAATTAATAGTTGAATTGTGTGGTAGGCTGAGTTTCTTAGAGCATTACTTGAATTTATATTCCATAATTATAAACTAACAAAACCCAGAAGTCAGAATTGTTATCAAAGCCATGAGATAATGTTTGATGCAATGAAGATTACAATTGAAAATCACAAGTATCAGTCATGTAAACAGCATCGAGGGAGGGAGATGAGGTTGAAGAAGAAGCTTCATCTACAGCAGAAGTATATAAACAAGAGCTTATAAAAAAGCACGCCCACAAGTCACGTGCTTTACATTCCCCAAGTGGTAAAATAGACCTTTTGTTTATCACCCTCAGCAGCTGTCAGCCACCAAAATCACCCCCACACCCAAGTAACCCAACACCGACAGCCACCACACCAGACCGGTGGTAGCCCCCTTCTCCTCGCCGTCGGCCAACCCCTCCTCCCTCTTCCCACCACCTCCTCCTCTCCCCGATCTCCCCTCAAATTTGTGTTTCATAATTGATTTATGTGTTTCAATGTTGATGATTTTTCAATTGGATTTCTGGTATTCATGCATATCAGTAATCAATTTGATTGAATGAATTGAAATACCTGTCTTTGCGGATCTGAAAACCCCAGAAGGGCCTGAAACTCAATAGCAACTGCTCCATATACACTCCATTGAAGTTCGAATTCTGAGGTAATTCTAAATTACTTCTTGCTTCATCAATCAATTGAAGGATTTGGCTCTTTAATAATTGAATGATGTGATAGGCTGAGTTCTTAGAGCATTACTTTGATTTTATTTTCCATAATCATATACTAACAAAACCCAGAAGTCAGAATTGCAATCCAACCCATGAGATAGTGTTTGATTCAATGAAAATTGGTATTGTCTAATATCTATTATGTTAGGCTTTGGACTTTACATAGAAAGGGAAATTGCTGTGTTCTTGTCAACCAAATACCAAGTTCATTGATGCCAAACAAATACATGGTGTTTTATTTTTTCCTCACATATGACATAATACATATGCATTTGCTTTCTCTTTGTTGAACGTTGATTTAATTAAACCTTTCCAGTTGTTAACAATTGCTCAGACTGCAAAAGATGGAGAGCAGTGAAGAACAGAAGCTCCAAGTTAGAAAACTAGAGCTCTCAGACAAAAGCAAGGGCTTCATAGAACTACTGCAACAGCTGACTGTTTGTGATTCTGTATCCGATAAGGACTTTGAAGATCGATTTAGGGAGCTTAATGCCCGTGCAGAGGACCATCGGGTCCTTGTTATAGAAGATGATCTTTCTGGAAAGATTGTTGCAACTGGGAGTGTGTTCATTGAAAGGAAGTTTATAAGGAACTGTGGCAAAGTTGGGCACATTGAAGACGTGGTGGTTGATGCCAATGCTCGCGGGATGCAGCTAGGGAAGAAAATTATTAATGCCCTCACGGATTATGCTCATTCTCTGGGGTGTTATAAGGTGATTCTTGATTGCAATGTTGAGAATAAAGCATTCTATGAGAAGTGTGGCTACAAGCAGAAAGAAATTCAAATGGTGAAGTATTTCATTTGAGAAACATTACATTTTCTTTTAAGTTTGCTTTGGGATTATACTTAGATCTTCTTTGGGGTGGGGAGGGGGGGAACACCAGTTCTTTAATTGGTTCATGGTTGCAAGGCAAAGACCTACATGGGATGATTTATGACTTGTGATATTGTTTCATGCATTGAGGCTGGCTCCTGTGGCAATTTTTGCTGGTTTATTACTTTCGATTGGCGTTTTTCAGATTTAGTCATATTGACATATAACTTGACATATGATATTCTCTGTTGTTGAGTTGCAAGATACTCTTCCCAGAATATTATCTATCAGTCACTTGGGTTAGCGTGCTTGTTGTGATCCTTTTATTTTGTTCTTGCTTTTGTCCTGAAGTTCAAGAGGAGTTGGGGAACTCATATGATCAAACCATTTATTTGTTTGAACAAAAACTGGCAGAGCAGTTCTAAAAGCAAGCACCTTGCTGGTGGCCAAGTTTGGACAACTATTTGCAATAATCTTGTTGCCATTCGGTTGGCTATATGTCTGCCAATTGGACTATAAACAAACAACTAATTGCAATTCTCGTGTTGCATTTAGTTTCTGTCTTTTCGTTACTTGCTTTATCAACAACCAATTGCCATTCTTTGTTTTGTATTTCTTTTGTATTCGTCTGCCAATTGCATTATCATCCGCTCCTCACAAGTCACAACCATAAGGATCTATATCAACCGATTACACACGCTCAATAGTAAAAAGTTAACTTTTGTAATTTCCTTTTACTTAAAGAAGAAAGAAAAAATTTGACTAGTAAATTGTAACATTTTCTTTTCCTTGTATAATAAGAATGATTAAACTAAAATGCGAACGTGGTGGAAGCTCACTAGTGTCTTCAGTTATGAGACCGTGGTCGCCCCCACACGGGATAGCTACTCTCCATCTTTACAGTTCAAATCCTCAAAAGTTTTCTCGTTTCGACATTTTAACGAACAGCTTTCCTTCCCTTTGCGTCCCGACATTTTGCTAACCCCTCCATCTGTAACCCTAAACCCTTAAAACCCAAATTTCATTCGACGCTTTCAAATTAAAATTTGGATCTTTATGTAAATAAATATTGCAAATTTTCGCTTTGGAGGTGAGCGTAAAACAAAATAGAAAATTCAAAAATGGCGTCGAGTTTGCACCAATGGGAGTCAGACCCTCTGTTTGCAGCAGCCGAAGTTGTCCAAGATTCTGCTGACAGGTCAATTTCTCATCTCCGCGCTTTTATTTTTTTTTGGGGAAAGCGAATAGAATTTGCCTTGATGTTGGCTTGAGAAGAAAGTAATGAGAAGAGAGCTGGAAAGATTACTTTCTGAAATGTTAGTTTGATGAACTTGGTTTCTGAGCTATGAAAGAATGTTTGATATATGCTTTTTTTTTTCTTTCTTGAAGTTGTTATTTTTTGCCATAATCAATTATCACTTTCTTTTTGTTTGCTTTGGGAATAAATATGTTGCCTTTCACAAATGGACTGCATTTTATTTTTTTTCTTCAATGCTTTGTTTTCATTTTCAAAATAATGGGATTTCAGATTGATGCAGAGGACTTTGGACGTTTGATAGTTTTGTATTTGCAGAAGGAACTTTTCCCTTTGACTACTTTATGCTAATTTCTCGATTTAACAAATCCAATATGTATAATTTTTTGTTTCATTGATATATTCAACGTATTTGATCTGGTTTTCTGTCTTTTTATTATATGGAACTGCTTATGAATTGTGCACTTCCTGAAACCAAAGCTTGTACTTTTTTTGTGGTTCGAATTTTAGGATGGAATCCGTTTTCCGCCTTCTGCTGCATGAGCTCAGTCTTGTTCAAGGTGACTGTCCAGACCTAAAGTTACTTGTGTCGATAGATTGTCATAAACGTGATCTCGCAACAACACTTGAAACAGCAAAGTGGCAGGTGGTAGTTTATACCAGTGTCAACTTTTTTCTTCTTCATTTTCTTTGTTTTCTGTTAGTTAGGTTTTAGTGATTCTCTCCTGCCAGTTGGAAGATTTTGAAAGAGCAGTCAGCTTTTCAGCTACGGCAGGCAAGCCCCAACCACAGGAGGATGTAATTTCAAGGCACAATCAGTTTATCAGAGCCATTAGAGAACAAATACTTTATGTGGACAAGAACTTGGAGGGAACATCAATTGGAGATCCCATGAGAAATACAGAGTGTGTCAACTTGAATGAACAAGATAGAGATGGGTTGGCATTGTTTCTTTCTGGGGGAAATGACACAGACCACTCTGGTTGTTATGATGTGGAGGACAACAGTATCTTGGAAAGATTTCTTGATCCAATTACATCTAGTGCTAAAGACAGTACTTCTGGGATTGTTGAGAACAAAAGCCGAGGAATTGAGAACTTGAATATGAATGGAGTAGTGCCTTTGGACCGTGCTATTGACTCGAGGAAGGAGAACAACTTGACGAAAGTTGGTTCTTATAACAGATTTGGTGAAGGTACAAGGTTGAGTTCTGAATTAACAGATTATTTTCCAGAGACATCTGGTGACAGATATGGAGGTGATGGGAGTCGGGATTTGGAGGCTAATGAAGCCAAACCTGAAAGCTTCTTTTGTGAGAACAAGTTGAGAAGGTTCTGCAGCATAACAAACGTTCTAGGGTTCTTGAATAACATAAGGACTGTTTATGGGAATAGGGTCACTAGGAATTATACAAAGAGATTTAAAGATGGAGAAGAACAAAGTCATTCCCCATCATGTGCTGCTGATGTTTCTCATGCTGCACAGGTAATTAGACTGCTTTTACTGATAATAAATGCTTATAAGTTATAATTGTTTTGTAGCAAATAAGTAAGAGTAGTCACCATAGTCCAAGCTGAGAAAATGGAATTTCAGCACTTTGGTCCCAATATAGAAAGATTATGTATTCTCTTTGTCGTTTGCAATTCTAGAAGAAATTTTGTGCCATCAGAGAAGCAAAGTACCTTTCTGAAAGATTTTCTGGAGAGCCTTAAATTTGGAGTTTCTCCAAATGGACCCTTAACGCAATGAATCTTGTGAACATGTGCCATACTCATCAAATTTTAAGCAATTGAAAATGGAATTTTAGGTTGGAGTACAAACTATGATACAATTTTCTTCTACGTTATTAGAGTTTAGTAAATCTTCCTACATGCAAATTTACAATACAATCCTTGAGGAATTATTGTTAGTGTTGGTGGAGTAAGGAAGATCTTCTGTCCATATGTACCACTTATTTGCACTGATCAATACTTGAAAAAAGTGTGCCCCTCCCCAAAACCACCAAAAAGAAAGAAAACACAGTGCAATTACTAATATGTTTGGGCTTACATCAAAAAGTGTCTTGGCACTCTGAAATTGGGAACTTTTGTACTAATTACTACTCTTTTAGTTACTCTTAAATCTGTGATTCGAGCATCAAGTTTTCTTTCTCGGATAATTATGAAGATTCTTGAAGTTTCCAATGCTATGAAGTACTGCATGTTCTTATTCTTCTTTGTTAAATTAAGAAAAAAGGGAATACTTGTAAGTTCTTTTTAATTTTCAGTGTTCCAAAAAAGAGAATGTTGTGTGATTATTTCTTCATGGAAAACTTGATGTGGAATATTAAGTTTCAGCCTAGATGCTTATGGGTTTGATTGTCTTTGACAGGGGCAGCGTCAGGGAACACGGTTAGCATTTGGATATAGAAATTTTAGAGAATTATGTGTTGGGGTTCGGTCAAAAGTTATGTACTTACAGTCCTGGCTTGGTGTATTTAGGGCAAGATATCAAAGATCACCTTATGACATCCAAGTTCAGTGGCATTCTGTTCAATTGGTATTGATAGTGGTGCTTACACTCATTATTCTAGGTGACGACATATTCCTTATTATTTTTCTGTAGTCCTTGTTGCTTTTTTATTCACTACTTTTACTTATCAATTCTAAATCTAATTGAATGAATACCTTTTCTTTTTTGTTGAAATAAAATTACTTGGTTGTCAACCCAAAGAGGAAAGTAGAACTAATCCATTATCATGCTATTTGATGTATGATCACTGGAGTATCTGTTCTACCCAAGATGACATAATACTGACTTTTCCTTGTACATAGGAGATCCATATATGGTAGAAAGTGATAGTTTTTGCTCTAAGTAGCATGTTAGGACTTGCATTACACATGCATAAGTACAGTGTTCATTTTGTTTGTTTACGGCTGAAATTACATAAAAAATTTCTAATGTTGTGTAGGAATCCACTATGCAAAAGGTAAACTCAACTGTGAAATAAATTTTTGTATAAATTTGTATTTTTAATTTTTTAATATGTTCATTGTGCAGGTATACTGGTGTCCTGGCTTGCTTAGGGACATTCATTCTTTTGGGTACATCTTACAATCTGTGTGTGCAAGGGTTTTCTCAAGACTTTTTAACCGTGGGAATGACCTGCTTTGTCATTATCTGACCCGATTGTTATGGTTGGGTGCAAACACCTCTGGGCATCGGGTCATTATTTGAGTGTGAATATCTTTGACATTAAGATGTATTGTCTCTCTGATTGACGATACTGCTAGTAGTGGATATGACTGTTATGTCAAGAATACTTTGGCCCTTGTTTATATTCTTCTAGCAGTTTGTAAATCTGTCTTTTACTCTGAGTGATGATTTTGTTTTTTGGTCTGTAACTCCGAGTAGCTAGTACTGGTGCAATACAGATTTGGGACCCTTTGAACTGGCTCTGTTGATTGAAAAACAGGGTCACCGTTGATCCATTGCTGTCAATGTCATCATGACCAAATTTTATGCTATGCATGGCATGAGGATGCAGGGAAGAATGAATGAAATGGAATTGTCTGGCAGAATTGTATGATACGGAAAGTGCAGACCCTCGCACTTGTCGGGGCTACTGGGTTGAAACCGCTGTAATCGATAGCCTTGAATATGGTAGTCATGCATTCATAACAAATTCTTTGAATTACTCATTGTACGTAACATTTCTTCAGCAAATAAGCCAAAACAAAGGATCAATGATTATCATTGATATAACCAATTGGAAATTTGGATACAGTTGAATAAACTTATACCTCAATCCCCAATATGATAGACAAAGCAATAGCTTATTCTCCTTGAAGCCCTCTTGGACAGGAGGGGTTAGTATTTGATAGGAACTATTTTAGTTATAACCAGCAATAAGTGTGACCAATCTTTGCTTTTCAGTTCTAAGCAGTCTAAATTTTTCTTAATTGAAGCAGAGAAACAATTGCAGACCCCAATTGTTATGACATAGCATTTGGAAATGCCCAACAAAAATCACCTATTAACGTTCTACTATGATAGTGTATTAGGGTGTATAGGGCTATTTTTGGTAGTTAAATAGGGTGTACTTAGATTATAAGGTGTACTCGGTTAATTTTAGGGTTCGTTTAACACCACTCTTTGGCTTATTATTGATTGTTGTATTTGGTATTTCAGGGTTCAGAGTGCAGTTATGGCAATTGTAGCACATCTATCATTTTTATTTTTCCATAATTGATAAAAAGTTTTTTTTTGTTTTTTCACTTGAAGGCTCATGGAGAAGAAGACTTGTGCACGGTAGTTATTGCAACAAACTTATGATTTTATTTTATCTTATTGTTATTGATTGTTGTATTTGTTGTTTCAGTGAATTCTTTTCAGATTACAATTCTGGAGATTGCATCGCAACAACCGTTTCGGTTTTCCATATTACTGATAAAATGTTATCTTTTTTACTTGAAAGGGTAATGGATAAGAAGAAATATGTACAACAGTTAATGCAAGCACCAAGTCGACAATAACATTTTTGACTATATACATGCGTATTTGATTTGAGATACAAATTTATGGTGGTTAGCATCGATTGAAAAAATATACGAATAAATGCAAAAAAATTGATTTTACATCTTTAAATTTACATTCATCCCGTCATTAGAGCAAAAAACACATTTGCATCCCCCTATTGTGAACTTTGGGCTGACATAATATGGTCCCTCTCCCCCGGAGATTGAATTCTTCATCTTTCATTCATGTACAGCAATTTTTTTAGGCATAATAATATTACCCAACTTCAAAATATGTGTATATATATTTATCTGAATCAAATAGTAGGTAATATTCGTTCTCATATAGTAATGCGCATTTTAAAACAAAAGACAACAAATTGAAAAAGAAGTGAATTTGTTATCAAAGTTGCAAAAACTGAAAAGCTAGCTCATATAGAAATAAAGGGTTCATAGATATATCTATGAGCAATTGTGATAGAAAACAAAGTTCCCAGAGTAATAGTAAATTTAAATTCCAACAAGGACTAAAAGGAAATTAATTAATACATTCCACAAAGTGATCATCAATACTTGATGAGTAGTACATTTGATTGCATTTGGAAGAACATATATAATGCCGACGGTTGATGCCTGAGTCCTGAATGCAAAGTATTCATCACTTTGTGAATCACCTGTTTCAAAGTCAAAAGTTAAGCAAAACTTTATTGAAATTACCTCAAGCAAAACAACTATGGGTAAAAACAAGAAATCATAAGTCACAATATGGAATAATCCAAGGAGACTAGAAGTGCACACTCCAATCACAACACATAAGGATTAATGTAAATTTGACAAATCAGAGGGCCATATGGAGAACAAGTTTGAAACCAACCTGGTCACAATCAAGGTCATACATTTATGAGCTCAAGTGTGTGTCTGTGTACTAGTCTAGTAGTACTTAGCAACAAAACTAATATATATTAATAAATAGAAACGAGTCAGACAGACAGATTATTGAAATATGTATATATATAGGGATCAAGGAAAGGAAAGAAGTTGAGCAGCTTACTCAATTAAATTAGCGCACAAAGCAACCAAGCAGTTTTCCATCGAAGGTGCGACCAGATTCTGAAGCCCAATCGAAAGGAAAGACGCAAGAACCCAAGGTTTTGGCTGAGAAGGATCTTGTTGAACCATCATTATTCTCGGAAATGGAAAATTCGAATGTCACGACAACGAGATTCATCTTCTCCGTCGTAGGAATAGGATGATCATCATCAGCTTCCAAGCCTGGGATGAAACTGGCAATAACAAAGCAGACTTTTCGACCTCCTAGATGGACGAATCTAAACGTGTCATGTGATCTACCAAGTAATGCATGGAACTCTGTCAGCAGATGTAGAGGTTGGATGCGATGATAATAACAATAGCCATTTTCATCATCGTGGAACATGGCGTAGGCTACTACATCATAACCATGTCCATATCCTGGGATGCGTTCATAGCCAAACATTATCTTATTACATTTAAGGTCACTACCTTCCTCCTCCAAGTCCACCACTAAAGCAAGGCCTAGGAAGGGAAAAGGCTCAGCAGAGCACACCCACCATTGGCGGGGATTCGGGGCGGCGACGTCGAAGCAAAAAGCTGGAGTTATTGGTGTGGAGACCATGATCTTGGTGCCCACAATCGCGTAAGAGAAGTAACGAAATGCACGAGGACAAGGCCGTATATATGGAGGGTCCGGCAGAGTGGTCCAAGTCCCCGAGTTGAACTCCTCAAAAACCGGACTTCTAGAGAAACATCGCGGACCACCAGAGAGAACATAGAGCTTCCCACCAACCTCAACCACCAATGGTTCAGGTTTCCCTTGATGAGGTTCACCATAGCAGCAGTCCCCCTTGATGATCCCCCAAATTCTCCTTCATCACTAGTAGTGTGACTGTGACCGTGATTGTAAACTACTTTCTCCTTTCTTTTCCCATCATCATCTGTCTCAAACATATAAATTTGTTTGCTCCCATATGATCCGTATCGAAGCCCCGTCTTCTGCTTCGGGTCCCGCGGTTCCAGGCCGCCGGCAAGAACAATATGGGAGCCCAATAAACCGCAACCCATCAAGTAAGGAACATCCTTGCCCTCCACAGAAGCCAATTTTCGCAGCAAGTCTATCTTGGATTTGGATTTGAATGTGGATAATAAATCGCTCAATCTGATGGCGCGGATATCGTAATGAGCATGACCGGTTTTGGACTCGTAGGTACATATATATAGAGACCTACTATTGGTTTCAGTGTCATCCGCCACCAGCCCCTCCGGAATTCCCATCATGCGTAGCCTCCTCGCTTTTTTTTTTTTTTTTTTTTTTTTTTTTTTTTTTTTTTTTTTGGAGCTCTCGGATCTCTCTTATCTCTATTTCTTTCTGATTTCTTATGTTTGATTTTTGTTCATTTGTGTTGCACCGCTACCGCTTTTATATAAAACATAATGAATGTATTTGTTGGTGTGTGTTAACTATAGGAGATTTATTTCCTAATTCTTGTACAATTGTAGACTTTGTTTTCTGTTCTACATATGCGTTAACCCTACTTTATATATATATATATATATATATATATTAGGGTTAAGGTTATGCGCAGTTTAAAGACAGATGCCATTGAATTAGATAGGGGACAGAAGATCTGGACTCAGAAAGGAGAGACTTGCAGAGAAAGGAAGAATAACAAATAAGAGGAAGAAATGCATAAAGTTTGGCGTTTCTTTAGGAAATAATTTTATTTTTAATTGACATTTTTTTTAGGAAATATTTGGGGTTGGTTTTAGGAAGTGTTAAGTTATTCAAAACAAGAAAGGACGTCAGTACTGGTAGGAAAACTTGGTTTAGATAAACGGAATCTATTAAAATTCAGCAACTTGAATTTATATAAAGTAGGGTTAACGCATAGTAGAAAAGGAAACGAAAGTCAAATAGGAAACAAAGTCTACAATTGTACAAGATTTAGGAAATAAATCTCCTATAATTAACACACGCCAACAAATACATTCATTATGTTTTACATAAAAGCGTAGCGGTGCAGCACATAAGCAAATCAAACAGAAGAAATAGGAAAACCAAGAGCTAATAGAATAGATCAGTGAGCTCCAAAAAGAAAATAAAAAATGGAGAGGAGGCTACGCGTGATGGGAATTCCGGAGGGGGCGGTGGCGGGTGATACTGATACCAACAGTAAGTCTCTATATATATGTACCTACAAGTGCAATAGCAGGAGTTTTCATGCTCGTTACGATATCTCCGCCATCGGATTGAGCGATTTATCATCCATACTCAAATCCAAATCCCAATTAAAGATTGACAAATTAGAGTTGCTGCGAAAACTGGCTTCTGTGGAGGGCAAGGATGTTCCCTACGATATGGGTTGCTGTTTGTTCCGCTCCCAAATTCTTCTTGCCGGCGGCCGGAAACCGGAGGACCCGGAGCAGGACGATACGTCTCTATACGAACTAGATGCGGGCACACAAATTTATCTGTTTGAGGCAGATGACAATGAGAAAACAAAGGCCAAAGTTTACAATCACGGCAACCGTTTTGGATCTTTTCCTCCTCCTCACAGTCACAGTCATAGTCACGGTGGGGGGACTTGGAGGAGGATGATAATCGTAATAAGATAGTGTTTGGCTATGAACACATCCCTGGACATGGCTATGATGTAGTAGCCTACACCATGTTCAACGATGATGAAAATGGTTATTGTTATTGTCATCGCATCACCCCTCTACATCTGCTGACAGAGTTCAGTGAATTAGTTTTTGGAACAGATGCCACGTTTAGTTTTGTCCATCTAGGAGGTGGAAAAGTCTGCTTTGTTATTGCCTATTCCATGGCAAGCTTGGAAGGTGATGATGATTATCCTATTCTTGGGGAGGAGGAAGTGGATCTTATTGTCGTGACATTCGAATTTTCCATTTCCAAGAAGGATGGTAATTCTACAAGATTCTTCTCAACCAAAACTTTGGGTTCGTGTATCTTTCCTTTCGATTTTGCTTCAGAATCTGGTAGCGTCTTCGAGGCCAAACTGCTCGGTTGCTTTGTGCGCTAATTAAGTAAGCTTCTCCTGCTGCTATGCAATGCAACTTCTTTCCTTTCCTTGATCGCTATATATTCCGTATGATAAATTTGTTTCTCAGTGACCAAATTAAAATTTCATGTAAAATCTAATCACCTACCCTTATTGTTGCTAAGTACTACTAGACTAGTACACAGACACACACTCAACGCATAAACGTATGAGCTTTTGATTGTGGCCAGGTTGCTTTGAAACTTATTCTCCATATGTCCCTCTTGTTTTAATCTTACAGTTGTTTTAGTTGAGGTATTTGAATAAAGTTTTGCTTAACCTTTATTACTACTCTTTTAGTTACTCTTAAATCTGTGATTCGAGCATCAAGTTTTCTTTCTTGGCTAATTATGAAGATTCTTGAAGTGTCCAATGCTATGTACTGCATGTTCATATTCTTCTTTGGTAAATTAGCTGAGACTTGAGATTAAAAAAAAAAAGAAAAAAAAGAAAAAGGGTATACTTGCAAGTTCTTTTTAATTTTCAGTGTTCCAAAAAGGAGAATGTTGTGTGATTATTTCATCATGGAAAACTTGATTTGGAATATTAAGTTTCAGCCTAGATGCTCATGGCTTTGCTTGTCTTTGACAGGGGCAGCATCAGGGAACATGGTTAAAAGTTATGTACTTACAGTCCTGGATTGGTGTATTTAGGGCAGGATATCAAAGATCACCTTATGACATCCAAGTTCAGTGGCATTCTGTTCAATTGGTATTGATAGTGGTACTTACACTCATTATTCTAGGTGACGTCATATTCCTTATTATTTTTCTGTAGTATTCACTACATTTAGCTATCAATTCTAAATCTAATTGAATGAATACCAATTTTTTTTTTGTTGAAATAAAAGTACGTAACATTTCTTCAGCGAATAAGCCAAAACAAAGGATCAATGATTATCATTGATAATAACCAATTGGAAATTTGGATACAGTTGAATAAACTTATATCTCAATCCCCAATATGATAGACAAAGCAATATCTTAACTCCTTGAAGCCCTTTCGGACAGGAGGGGTTAGTATTTGATAGGAACTATTTTAGTTATAACCAGCAATAAGAGTGACCAATCTTTGCTTTTCAGTTCTAACTAAGCAGTCTAAATTTTTCTTAATTGAAGCAGAGACAATTACAGACCCCAATTGTTATGACAGAATTTGGAAATGCCCAACACCTATTAACGTTCTACTATGATGCACTTGTTTCTAACAATCGATATAGGATTCCCGTTGCACTCCTTTTTTGGCCTCCCAGGTGAAGATCTTCACTGCCACAGCAAACCACTCGTGTCCAAGATTCAACAAATTGCAGATCAAGGGGATCCTAAAACATATATATGAGCCCTGTGATTCTTAAATTCTTTCATGTGTAAAATAATGTTGTTGTCCACCTGAAATCTATATTACAAGGTATCATTCCCTGCTGCACCCCACAAAAACTTCAGAATGTACACTTCAAACAAATGCAGGTACCATCACTAGCGCATCAACTACTTGCACCAAAAGTTGTGAAACTCTAATATTCGTCAAAGTCAACTAGTACCGCTAGTACCTGAAAAAATACATACAATTTTAATGGGTAATCAGTAAGTGAAAGGCACTACCGGGGATTCATTAGTCGTTATCCTGGGCCTGTTAATTACTTGTTTGGACACACTGATTCAATTTTAACAGGTACACATGCATGCAAGCAAAACATCAAAATGCATGGGTAAAAGTCAAATATGATGAAACCTAGAACTTCTGCATACTTGATCAAGGAGACTCCTTAAAGACTATCTGCGATTGATATTTAGGGTACTCATACAAAACTCTCTTTTTTTTTTTCGTCCAGACCTACACCAGCAGTTGTGATGCTTAGAAAGCAAATAGTACATTGATCCGAGGCAAGAAATGGATAACCTTACCAAGTAACAGTAGCCTCTTCTCAATCTGATTTCTCTATTTCTCGAAATCTCTTATCCCATTCTTGGGCCTCGTAGTCTTGCTCAATCAGATCCCTGTCCGTACTATAGACAATTCTATCCTGCCCAATGAATGTTCTTTGGGCCATGTCCCGAGCACTGAGGAGCTGAATAACATCATACAGTAAAGCAATAAGTAACTATTTTTCTATAATTGAAGGAACAAAGTTAATCAAGTTTCCGTTCTTTATTCAGTTGTATTTACGTCAACAAGTACAGGATTTCACATGACAAATCAAATGTCAAGTCACCCACCATATGATCCTATAGTGCAGAAGCGTACCTTGTGCCCTAAGACAACTTCATGTGAGCAGTCAAGTGAATAAAACTAGATGAATGTTGTTTGAACTTCACTTATTACAACAGTTAACAAATGCAGGATTGTCAGATTAGCATGTTTTACTTTAATTATTCGGTCAAGAAGATTAGAATGTATTAATGGCAAAATAAAGGGCTAAATAACAAACATAATCATTGAGAATTTGTTTTCCTCAAGCAAGCATAACCCTTATTTTGAGAGAGAGAGAGAGAGAGAGAGAGGGCTTGATCAGCAATAGCTAATATTTCTTTTTATTGCTCAGACACATCTCCCCAACAAGCTAGGTGTGATAAAGCACACATGTGAATTTTGAGATAGCAAACTAATCAACTGCAAAAGGGAGACAAAATTCTAGAGAAGCACCAATACAAACCTTTCGTCTTAGTGAAAGATCTGGCAATTCAAGGGCTTGAGCACACTGCTGTCTTGCTTGATTTCTTTTCTCTATGTCAGCATTTGTCTTAAGCACGATGAACCACCGGAACAAAGGAATTGCAAAGAACGAACCAGCATAAATCTGCAAAATAATTGCAGGAAAGATAAATCTAACCCCATACTATATTATAATTACATATATGGATGTGTATGTATATATCATTGACAGGATGAAGGTCAGTGTTCTAAAGCACTTAAAGATCAGTTGACCAGTAAACATCGTTAACTACAACATGTATAACAGGAGAAAGTTCAAATTTCTCAGCACTAAAAGATGAACTAAACAATAGAGAATGAGAATCAATTTCTGTACAAAGCAATTGCAAAAAGGCACATATGCTTAGTTCCAATTTTTCAACCTCCGATCACCAGCACATCGACGAAGCCACTTGCTGGTTACTGTTACTAAAAGGCTACCCCAAGAAATCAGATTTTTAAAGGTGCAGTGAGATCACATGAAAAATAGCTGCCAAAAAATAAATTAGAAGATAACCACAATGCCACTAACCAAGTAGACAAAGTACGTGAAAGTAACCAGTCAAGCAAATTCCTAATGTCAATATCAGAATTCAGGCTTTTTATGACTTTTCCATTATAAACAATAAAAGCAAAACATAAACGAACACTTCCACAATAACACCAGAAGTCATGAGCAAAACTCTCACTTGTAATATTGATTAAATAAGAACTACTTAACAAATATATATATATAGTCTGGATCACAGGTAGGGAATTTTTATTTAATTGAAAGCAAATCATACCTGAAGTAGTGGAAATATGCCAGTAATAAACTTAATAAAACCAACTGGTGCAATTGAAGTATCCCTTCAAATAAGAATGGAAGCGGGACACATCAGATCAATATAGAGTAATTCCAACTGAGCAATAACAAAGTTCAACTCAAACATACTTTAAGATGGCTCCAAGAAAGATAACCCCAAATAAATTAAGTCCACCAAGTCCAGCGACCATTGCTCTCTCAGTAATGCTAGTGTTGCTGCAAAGAGAAAACTTAACTGTTTCAATTTAGTTTCCAGATGAATTCACAACATAATTGGGAAAATCAAATAGAATAATAAAGGACCTGAATTGCCATTTCTTCTCCTTGAAAAATTTATCAACTCCTCCAACAAAATCAGCCCATCTTCTCCCCACATATTCCTTCCTTCCACTCCTTGGAGTAGAAGCTGTGCGCTGTAGAGATGGAAATTGGTACAGAATGTTTCCCTGCATAATAAGCAATTTTTTTTTTGGTGAATAACTACTTATATATCTTTTCATTTACATAAGAAAAGTAAACAATTAAAAAAATTAATGGATGGCAAGCATGATGGATTTAAAATCCAGAAGCATATAGTCAATTTCATACAGCAAACACTTAAAATTAATGATTTCACAATTTGCAATGATGTACTAGTTCAAAGGAAAAGGAAAGTGATTTATTAAACAGTTCTTAAAGTATGTATATAGAGAAAGACCAAGAAACTGAAGTCATTGCTTTAAACCAAAACGTTAAACATACCTCTTCATCTATTACAGGCTGACCCTCATACCGTAAAAGAACAGGTAAGATGTATGTTTCATCATTCTGAAATTAACAGAGGAAAAAAAGGTCAAGCATCCGAATAAGGAACAAAAAGGAAACATGCTGAATATAGTAAAAGAAACTGAAATTTTCAAGTCCGTCAAGAGTTTGAACTGATTGAAATCCTCAATCTGAAGCCAAACAACAAAAATATACAACTGGTGAACTCAATTTATGGTTGGAAGTTTTTTCTTTTTTAAATAAAGAAAGTAAAGAGCACAGCTATCTAACATTTTTTAGTATGAAGCTTTGAAGCACCATGTACAAGAACAATTTCAGTTTGATCACATGAGGAACTTTTCCAATGTTCTACTGTCTACTGTGTTCAATTAACTAACCAATGGATACAACTGCTTATTCTTGACCATCAAACAAATAATCCAATCTCAGCTGGAGCTAGTACGAATTCTCCAAATACGAGAGCAGAGCTTGATTACATTATGAATTGGGAATTCCACATGAACTTCTACAACAACAAAATATTTACCAGAGTTCCCCCGGAAGTTTCTACATCAAGATATGGAGCAAGCTCTTCAGCTGCAACAACTCCACCATTAGAGGCTATGTATTGCCCAATCTGCAAGTACAGTTCATGGAACAATTGCCATTACATTTTTATACAGATCTGCCATTATTTCTAATGACAATCAAAATAACAGTTCCATCATAACAACAGATTATAGAATTTTAGGAATAAGATAAAGAGTCCCACAACTAAGGAAGTCTTCTATATAATTTCTGAATGTTTCAGCATAATTTTTTATTATTTAAATATTGATGAATGACACAAGGACATATTTTATTCATATGTTTCCTCTCTCGTATTTAACTAACTATATACAAAAGATATTATGATTAAAGTATCATTTCGATATAATGATAATGCTTTAAATGATGATAAATTGTAAAAAATACAAGAGACCTCAACAAAGTTGTAAACTGATGCAGACTCTTTCCAAGTATTCCATCAAGGAATTGCATAAGAATTTACAAGAAGACACCATAACTTATTTCAAATTCCAGTATAAAAAGGTCTTCACAAGATTTTTAAGGGGCAATATGTACATGTAGCTTGAGAGGAAGGGGAGAGAATTATATATACCCCTAATTAATAGTTTAAACTCTAACAAGGGAGAAATGAACTTGAACTAAAAGGTATACGAACACAACCAATAAACTGAAACAAATTGTTGAAAGCAACGAACCACTGAACTCAGTGCTCGATTATTACCAACTTCCATCTCTCTTCTTCGATTCCTTGGTTTGGATCACCATCGCCAAATACAAATGAGAAAATCTAAAAGAAAACATTTATAAAGTCAATACTTTCAGTTTAAACAAAACTAGGAAAGAGCCAATAAAAATAAAGAATGATTCAGACCAACACATACAGATTCAACGAATTTCATCTTATTATCATCTGTTTGTGGTCGTCGCCTCCTATAGTAATATGGATCCCAGTACCTTAATGAAATAAATAGTAAGGGAAGTGTTAGCAAAAGTCTCTTCCAAGTTTCAACGAATAAAATAACTAAACTTGAAACCCTTCCATATTGTTATGAAAAGCATACTTAACATGCAAGTATAGAATTCATTACCAAAAGAGGTCAGTGGGGCTGAAGTAAAAATTGAACCCCGAATCATACGACCTTCCTCCCCGTCTTCCGCGATTGTCATCTTCACTGTAACCGAAACACTAGTGTCAATCATCCTTCCCACAATATAAACGTATTTATCAATAAAAACAATAACGGCACCCTAAAAATTTACCTTCTACCAGAAGACAGAGCAACAACAATTGCAGTATAAACAAGAACAATGGAAGCAATTAGGGCAGTTCCAAATGAAACCCTTGCTACATACTCGGCCCCGGCCTGTCAAAGGGCATGGTATTAGTGCCAATTGCCAAACATTAGTTACAAAACAAACTTCAACAAAAAATCAAATTCCACAAATAATCACTACCTTTGCCTTCTCAAGCAGAGGCTCAACTTTCATTCTAAACGATTTGCCTACAAGCTTTGCTCGATAATCCTTGGGGAAAACATAGAGTACATCACCTTCATCCGAGACCTGTTGAGACCATCTTGAAAACAACAATTGCACTCACCCACTAACACAATTTGTAAAAGTAACTAAACAAAGCTACAGACCCCATTCACTTTCTTCACAAACACAACCTCCCAACAACTATCACATACATATATGTGTACAAGTACATATATTTTTTAAAATAAGTACCTCCAAGAAGCCTTCTGTGTCAGCAGCGAGAGCTTGCAAAGCATTCTGAGCTTCATTGAGCTTCAGCCCAGCCCTACCGGCCACGTCACCAATCGTCACTCTTCCTCCACAAGCGTCCACAGCTTCCATTGCTCGCTTTCTCACATCTGAAGGCAACTTATCGCTCTCGACAGCACCGCCGGGCCTAATTGCAGTGGTGGCGTCAAGGCTTGCCTTCACAGCCGGCACAAAAACCCTAGATTCTCGAAACTTCGCGCCAAAGCCCGGGAAAATGGGCGTTTGGATAAGACGAAAGGTTTTGGGACGGTTGGGGAAAAGTGAGGCTTTGAACACGAGGCGAGAACGCGGCTTCGGTGGAAGTGTGAAGCAGGTGGCTATTGACGCCATTGATTGATTTCTGTTGAAAAGTTGCAATTTTTGGTAGGGTGGTTTTCTAAGTTCTGGCCATGGAACGCACTTTCTCTGCTGAGTGGCTCAGAATTGGAGCTTCGGATTTTCTTTTCTGGTTTCCCTGTAGAAGCTATTGGACTAGGAGGAGATGATGCAGGTGAAATGACTATCCTGCCCTCGTCAGATATTAAGGGATAATATCGTTTGGAAAATTGAAAATTTGTTGGTGGTGGAAATGTCAATAACAAAATTATCAGAAGTACCAAAAAAAAAAAAAAATTTCACTTTTTTTTATATATTACATCATAAAATCACATTTTTTAATATTCTTTTTGCTAATCACAAGGTAATCCAATGCTCACCATCCATCTCAACATTTAACACGTGTCCATAACAATGGTTACACAAATCACACTAAAAAATTAACTATGATTATCCCTATAAACATGTGTCAAGTATTAAAAAGAATGATGAGCATGTACTTTAGGTTAAAGTGGTGAGCAAAAATATTTCCTTTCACACTGTCAGATGATTGAGAAATAATCAAGCTCATTAAACAGTCAATCAAGTTACTCAAAACATACCACCTTTGAAGTTCACTTGGAATCTGTTTACTTTCTTTGTTTCCTTCATATTCAAATGTCTGTTTATTTCTTCATTCGATATCTATTTAAATCCTTAAATTTTGAAATCACTCCATCCAAATAGATCTTAACGTTCTGTCTTGATTTTTCGTGAAATAAAATAAAAAAAGCATTTTGTTTTGATATCAACAAATAACTTTCTTTGCCTTAAGGTATTTTTTAAAATAAATAAAAAATAAACCAGAGTTAGATTATCTGAATTTATAGTTCTATTTCTAATATTGAGAAGAAAAAAAAACATTATACCAAAGCAATAACTGACCTAAGCTGCACACGCACCGCCAAAAACGTAGTAGCTAGTAATCAATTGTTTCATAGCTATTTTTATTAAGCAAATCATATAAATAATACGTTATATCTTGTCATAATGTACATTGAAAAGTTGGTACTCATAATCGCTTCTGGATTTAAACGATACCAGCCATAGCCCTGAATATGAAACTTTAAGGGGGCACAAACTGGTCCTGTGCAAAATCTCTACCTCCTATGAACAACATATTAAAGTGTCAAATATCGAAATCTTCCTGCTGTGCCGTCCTTCACTGAATTTCTCATGATCATAACCACTCTTGCTGTATTCTGCTGTATTCATGAATGCAACTACAAACTACATCCAGTGCCTCCAAATCCCGAAATTCTGGTTCCGTACCTTCCAAGAAACCAATCTTTTTATCTAGGAGATTATAATGTGTGAAAGTATACACGTAATGCTGAGGATGTAGCCAAAACTCACCCAAATGGAAGTGAACACAGCAAAGAATCACCACATTGAAAGCTCTACTGTGGAAGCTCCACTATAGATTCACATCATGCTGCATTCCTAAAGCTCCAGTAATATGCTTCGTTTTTAACTCATTGTCGTTGATGGATCATCTCCCAAACCCATCGTCGTAACGAAGACAACCTGCTATAGAATCAAAAGGGCTTGTAGACATTTTACTTATCTTCTCTTTCTATTTTTGTTATCTATATAGTGTCACGTCTCCAGCTTTCAACTGCTGATACAGACCAATATCTTGCCCTCTTGCAATCAAAATCTTCAAAGAAAACTAATAACTCAGGAAAATACTAGAGTTTAAGCCAAAGTATTCCCCAATTAAAAATTGTTAACTGGGTGCTGAACAGATTTTTTGACATTAGTAAGCCCATCAATCAGCCAGCCTGTTATATGTACCAAGGTCAGGTATAAACCCCTTATCCAGCATCTCATCCACCAGCAGTTTCTGCTCCTTCCTTTTGCCTTCTCTTGAATACCCAGATACCAAAATGCTATAAGCCGTGCTGTCTAGGTCCAAGCCTTTGCTCGAAGACAACAGCTTAAGACTATCTGCCTCCACTGTTCTCCTCAGATTACAGAGATCTTGAAGAAGACAATTAAATGTCACAATATCCGGAACTATACCTTCTTCAAGCATCCTTTTCATCAATCCAAAAGCTTCATCAATTCTTGCTGACCTCCTCAAACCCTCAATCAAAGTGGTACAAGCAATCAAGCTCGGAACATTTCCTTTCCTCCATAGCTCATCCACAACCTCCAATGCTCTACCCGAATTTCCTTTCTTACAGAGCACCTCAATAAGACCAAGATAATCATACCATTTAGGCAACACTCCTTTTCTTGAAAAATCTATCAACAACTCACACGCCTCTGAAACCCGACCTTCTCTACAAAGGCCATCAACCAAAATCTCACAAGTCACACTCGAAAACTTGCACCCGAACTCAATCATCTCATAAGCCATCCCAATCCCATCCTCAAACTTCCTCTCCCTAAAGAAACCTTTAATCAAAGTATTAAAACTCACCACATTGGGGCTACACCCCTTCTCTCTCATATCCTTAAACAACTCCAAGGCTAACCCAAATTGTGAATTACGACAGTAACTACTAATCAAAATATTGAAAGTAAACACATCAGCCTTAACTCTATCCTTCATCATCTTATCATACAACCCCAAAGCCTTATCATGCTGACCACATTTCACAAATCCATGAATCAAAATGTTATAGACCACAACACTAGGCCTCCCATCAATCAATTTCCGCATAGAATCAAACGCATTCACAGCATCAACCAATCTCCCAACTCTACAATAAGCATTAATGGCAAATTGGAAAATGGGTTCTGTTCTGGGGCAAGAGAAAATACCATCCGAGCAAGGACAAGGGTTGGAGACCATGAAGCTGAGGAGAGAACCCAATTCGACGAAGCGGTCAGTGATTGCGAGCGTGCGGGCCATCCATTCGAATGTGGAATGGTCGTGGCGAAAGGAGTCGATGGAGGAGGCCCAGTTGAAGACATGGAAGTCGAAGTGGGCGAAGGTGGGGTGGTGGTGGAGCTTGGATTTGAGGAAATGGAGGAGGGTTTGGGATGTGAGAGGTGGGTTTTTTATATGGGTTTTGAGGAAGTTGAGGAGGTGGGTGTGGTTAGAAGTTGGGGAGAGAGTGAGGGTTGGGTGAGGGGTTGATGGGGTTTTGGGTGCTCTTGGAAGTGTTGGGTTTGGGATTGGAGAGAGCGCTGGTTTTGGGTTTTTTGGGGTTTGCTCCAGTAGTGGTATGGTTACTGGTCTTCTCATCTTATTCATCACCAAACGTTTCACTGAAACTCAAGCTCCACAACAATGGCTGTGACGCTTGTGTCTCTGCAAAACGGTGCGTTTCATTCACCCGACAAATGAGAAAGAAAGAAAGGTGCTTTGACATAAATGCCCCGCCTTTATATAGTACAAAGCAAACCCCGTTCTTGGTCGAATACTCGAAAGGAAGCTGAACTACTGAAGGGAAAAATCCCGACTTGGGTGCCGAAGCAGAATGAGAGCTGAGAGCTTCAATGCCGCTTTCTCCTCTGGTGTCCGTACAATTCAAAGGCCTCTGAGCTCATCAATTTTCGGCGTAACGAAGCCTAAACTTATCGCTGCTGCGCCTTCTAAAAGCTCCAGTAATTTTTGCTTCCACTCATCTTCTACTTTGGTCTTATCCTTTGTATACGTTAATATATCACACAATTTATCTTCTTTTTTTGGGTGTAGGATTTACTCGAATTTCAATACGCTGCGCGGTTCATTTTCGACCTTGCATTGATATACACAAGGTTTTGCAACTTGAATTTATCAAATTTCATGCTTTAAGTCGTTTGGGTATTTGCTATAATTGGCTTATATGTGTGTGTACTTAGCCCAGTTGTGTTTTTGTGTTATGTTGATTTGGTTTTAGGGGAAAGTGAAACAAATTGTCGGGTCTACCCTTTCGGATTTGAAGGAGGATGGGTCTGCTCTTGTTATCAATTTTGTGTCAGATAAGTCAGCGGCGGAGTATGCAAAGATGTATAAGGAAGACGGCCTTACAGGTGGTCATGTGATCATGCTTGGAGCTGACCCTTTGAGCAGAGCTGCAGCCATCGAAGCTCTGCATGCCTATCCTGGTGGGTCTTTGGTTGCCTTCTTGTTCTTGTAGATTTTGTTGCTTTGTTCGAATTTTTCATTTGATTTTGGATTCATATGATTGGAAGTAGTCTTCTATTAATTATCCCCTTAATAATTTATGCAAAGTGCTTCTTTGGATTGTTCTCTCAGTTTCAATAAAATGCAACTGGCTTTGGTGCAAATACAGTTTAAGTTTACTAAGTGGCTGAAAATGAGTGTGGATTGGATTAAAAGAAAATGAAACTTAGCATCAGTAGGTTTGGAAGGACTGACATCAAATAAATGCTAACTTCTGTAAAAATATAAGCTTCCCAGTATTATTGCATGAAATAAGATTGTCAGGCAAGTTGAGTGCCTTGGGGGTGTGTTATTTCACTTTAATCTCTGTAGTTGATGATATCTTTAAAACTTACAGATTTTCCTCTGATGAACTTGCTGCGAGGACTGGTATAATCTAGGTGGTTTGCAAGTTGGAGGTGGGATCAATTCAGATAATTCTTTGCGTTACATAGAAGAAGGGGCTAGCCATGTCATTGTCACCTCAGTAAGTTTCTACCTTTTGTTCTTTCCTTTTACATCTATATATTGATAAAGAGGACTCATTTAGATCAAATCATTTCATGAAAGCATTTCTTTACACCTGTCATGGTTTTGTTGCAGTATGTATTCAACAATGGGAAAATGGACCTTGAAAGGCTGAAAGACCTTGTTTCTGTTGTTGGAAAAGAGAGGCTTGTTTTAGACCTTAGCTGCAGAAAGAGGGTAGGAAGCCAGCCAAAAATTAAATCTTCTTTGTTCTAATTTATGTTTTATTTTCAGGGCCAAGCAGACTTATTTACTTACTTGATTCTTGAGCAATTTTTATATAGCTTCTTTGTGATCTGTGATATGAATAGACTAACAATTTTCTGAGACAATTGCATATATTAAGAATTAGAACTATCAGTATCTAATCATTATTAAAGTGATTTTGTTGCTCTTAATTTTCTCCTTGAGCATTTTCAACTACCTCACTTCCTGGGCTTTTACGTGTAGGCCTTAATGTGCATTTACTTTAATCTGCAGGAAGGCAAATATGCAATTGTTACAGATAGATGGCAGAAGTTCAGTGACGTGTATCTTGATGAGGAAATATTGGACTTTCTTGCCAACTATGCAGACGAATTTCTAGTTCATGGTGTTGATGTTGAAGGGAAAAAGTATGTCATATGGTGCCATGTTTATTTCATTACTACTACAACAGATACATGTGTATGGCTAAGTCCAACAGGATTAATGCCTTAAAGAGATTTTGACTGTTAGTTAATGGAAATTTCATAATGGACTAAAACCTTTTCTCCTTGACTGAGACTTCTGTTCGGGGTTTCCTATATGTGCTCCTCACTATGGCTCTTTCCACATTGAGAGTGTAATTTTTTCCCTGAATTTCCATGAATTCCATGTATCATGTTCCTGGGTTGAGCTTCTGCTATAAATTCATTTAAACTTTACTACTGGCCCTAAATCTTTTGGAAAGGCTATACCGATAATATATTTGCCAATTCCAGATGGTGTACTACTTTGTTTGGTTTAGCTCAGTCCTGCCAGACTAAAACTTTTAAAATTTAAAAGTGCATATTGGCAAATATGATCTCATTTTTGTTTATTGCAGGCTGGGCATTGATGAAGAGCTTGTGGCATTGCTTGGAAAGCATTCACCGGTTGGTAAATTAGTAATAGAATGGCACATTTATGACTTTGCTACCTGCTCATGTTTTTAAAATTCCCTAGGTTGTTGGCTTGCTGGAAATGCTCCCTCATCTGTCATTTCACCAAGCATTCCTCTAGCTTGACAAAATTTCTTTAACCTATTGTCTGCATATCTGATTAGATAATCATTGATGGCTTTTTTGCTAAACTGATCACAGTAGAAATGAGTTGAAATCATCTGTGTTTTTTAACCTCACATAGATGCCCTTGGAAAGACGTAGGACGGAGCCATGATGCTGTCATCTAAATCATTTGTATGATAAGTGAATGCTGATTAAAATGGGAGAAGTGCATATCACCCGACTGCACCATTGATACAAAGCTCTCAAACATGAAACTTTATTATTTCTCATCATACATATGTTCACGTCACTGATAGACTATGGTTTTGGGTGCCAGATTCCTGTAACTTATGCTGGTGGTGTCACTGGAATGGGTGATTTAGAGAGGATAAAAGTGGCGGGGCTGGGACATGTGGATGTTACTGTTGGAAGCGCTTTGGATGTCTTTGGGGGCAACTTGTCATACAAACATGTCGTTGCTTGGCATGCCCAGCAGGAAGCCTTGACTGTTTAGTGCATTTCTATGATCTTTTGGTTTGTGTACACCATTTTGATATCTAGGTTGTTGTGGCTTTTTATATTTTGGAAATCCGTAGTAGAGTTCAGTTGTGTAACTTAGAATAAAATGCTACGTTGTACCTTATGAATAGAAGCTATTTACTTTTGTGGCCACTGAAATGAAAACTTGCAACAGCCTAATATGGTGAAATTGAGTTACGAATCAAGATTCTACTTCTTTTGTTTTTACCTGTCCCTCTCTACTTCTAGTTGGTGGTTCTTTTATTTTCTCCATCTCCACCCTCTTGAGTTATCAGAGATATTATCTGGTTTGGCAAGGCAATATTTTCAATAGGTGTTTGGTTTACCTTTGCAGCTTTGCTAAACCAAGTTTGGCACTACAAACATCCCTGAAGGGATAGAGACCAGACTGTCATAGGCATGGCCACTCGAGCTCTGATTTGCGTCCTCAACTTTCCTTGAAAATAAATGAAAAGAAAAACAGAAGTTGTGCACTACGGAAATAATTTGAGTTTTTCTATTTAAACCCCCCACACTACCGAAGTTCACCACACCTTCTAATTCAAATTTTTCTCAATTTCTAAGAAAATCCCACTGTCTTTCCAAATTTCCCCTAAATACACACCAAACTTAAAAAATAAATTTAAAAACTTATCAACCTCACATCCCGCACTCTATTATCTTGCCCCTCACCACTCTAAGTTAACCTCAATCTCATAATTACAACAAGTCTTTAATCACAGCATCCTCAATAATTTTGGGAGGAGTCCCAAACCAAGAAATAATCTCACATTGCATACCTCAATTGACAACCTACAAACCACTATTTGCATACCGTATTTAGGGCTTGTGAAGAAAATATGAGAGTGTAATAGGAGTTTGTATTTTTCTAAAACTTAATATGAAGAGTGGTGGGGTGTGTGTATAGATGTACTAGAGTCAAGTATTAAGTTAGATGACCTCTTTTGTCTTTTTACACAATAATAAAACTTAAGAGCTTAAATATTTAAGTATTAAGGTGAACAAAGAAAAGTGTGGGGTTTAAATAGAAAAACTCAATAATTTTTGCAAATGTGCAGTATTAGAAATGCATTGTTGGAGAGAAGTGCACGTATATTATGTGGGTAAAATGGGTTCTTTTCTGAACAAAAGAAGCAAAAGAACAAGGAAAACCTTACCCAAAATAAAAATGAAGAACAGAAAGAAACGAGCGTTTGCAAATGAGGGAGTGATATGATTGCCAAGTATTTAGGAATTATTGCAGGAAGTGAGTATTGATCGAGCCTTACACCACACTCAACATATATTTCAAAAACAAGAAATAAAAAGTGGTGATTGTACATATTCAGAATATATATCCACCAACTACTCAAGAAAAACCTTAGTGCAGTGAAACACTGAAGAAAAACCAGGATTTGATTTCCTCTTGAAAATGATAATGGCAGTGAAGGGTTTTCCAAAATTAATTCAAAAAGAAATTCAAAGGAGGGTCATACCTGCAAAAAACAGTGTATATTGAGGGGTGAATGTGGTATTTGACAAATAAAGGCGTCTATTTCCCGGGAAAATCGTAACCACCAACTCTACGAGTCTCTCAAACTCTCACCTCCTCTCACTCTCTCTGCAACAGAAATTCAAAAACCCCAAATTGGAAGGCAACAATGTTGTTCATTCAAACAGTCCCATCCAAAACCCTAACCTGCACATCCCTCTCAGGAAGAAACCCCAACAGTAACAGACTCATCTCCATCTCCATGGCCACGGGCCGAGCCACCACTGCCGTGCCCTCTCCGCCGCAGCGAAGAAGAACCATGTCCGCTCTCGAAGCCCGAATCTCCCTCGTCGCCGCTCTCGCTTCTCAAGCCTCATCTGTCTCCCAGCGACGTAAATGTTCAAACCCCTCCCGCACACTACAAACTTTCCTTAATTTACACGCTTAGTCCCCCGGTACCAATTTGTTTTCAACATTTGGCCCTTTAAATCTTGCAGTTTTACTCGAATTGGCCACGGAGACTGCCAAATACGTCTTCCCCAAAAATTTCGAGGCTCGTACTCTCGAAGAAGCCCTCATGTCAGGTATTGTTTTAAGTGATAGAGCTAGCTGGTTATTTGTTTTTTTTTTATGTGCATTTTTTGAAACTAATTTCTCTGTGTATATATTTGGTGTAGTTCCGGACCTCGAAACGGTGAAGTTCAAAGTTCTGAGTAGGAGAGACCAGTATGAAATTAGAGAAGTAGAGGTATTGTTAACGGTCTCCTTTTTTGTTTTCATAGCTCTGCCACGTTAGGCTTTGTGATTCTTCATTTCAATTGTGGGGTTCTTAACGGTTTTTTTTGGTGTCTCTACTTTCAGAGCACTTCACTATGACTGATCGGGGTTGTTTTTTTTTTTGGGCGTAAAATCAGCCTTACTTTATAGCGGAGACTACAATGCCTGGAAAGACTGGTTTTGATTTCAATGGTGCATCTCAATCCTTCAATGTCTTGGCTGAGTACCTGTTTGGTAAGGTACTTTGAAATATCTTCCCTTTGTTGGGTTTTTTTTTTATGTTTTGTCCAAATGAAATCATTTAAAAAAAATATTTTAATGAATTATATAATTCCATTTTGCAATACATCTAACCCTGTTTGGTTAACTTACCTTGTTCTTCTGTTTGTTAAGAATACGACAAAGGAAAAAATGGAGATGACCACACCAGTTTTTACACGTAAAGCTCAATCTGATGGGGTGAAAATGGAAATGACAACTCCAGTGATAACAACGAGGGTAATTTTCTGCATGCATCTTATGTTAATGTTATCTGTAATTTTTTGCATGATAAAATTTGGAATGATACTCTCATCTTTCAAATGCACTTTTGATGGCTTCTCTAAAATATGTAGATTACTTCATTTTGGTCTGGCACCATATCTGTCTTGATCAAACTAAGATGTAATGGCTGAAGTTCTTTTGAGATGACATGTTCTTTCAAGTGAAATTCCAAATGCTCTTAATTGTTTGTGCGATACTATTGTAAGAAACTCACGACACCGAGTATTAGTTCATGAATAATGTAGTTGGCCATGGCTGTCTCATTTCTTTAGTCCATTTGGGTGTTGAATCTTTATTCTTTAATATATGTTTTTTTTGTACAGTGCAATTAGCCAATGTAGGGTTGCTGTTTGGATTACTTTTTGTTGTCTTTCCCAAAGTTTTATATTTTCTCTCTCCTTTTATCACAATCTACTTTCACTTTAATTGTATCTAGCTGGAAGATCAAGATAAGTGGCAGATGTCCTTTGTCATTCCCTCAAAGTACGGTGCCAATTCACCATTGCCTAAAGATCCATCTGTAAGGATCACAGAGGTTCCTAGGAAAATAGTTGCAGCTGTTGCCTTTTCAGGTTTGTCCTCTCCTTATTCTATTGTCTATATAGATATTTTGAGAATTTGGGTTATTATGTTGGAAGTATGCATGACTGTATCGTATCAGTAACTTGAGCATAATCATATCTATTTGACGTTGTGTGCTATTGTAGTTTAAATTAGATAAATATCATTTTAATTGCAGGAAACGTGAGAGTACTTTATGATTTGTTTAGTCAAGAGTTGTCGAAAGCATCATGACATAGTTTATGTTCTCAATGTCAAATCAGGGTTTGTTACTGACGACGAAGTTAAGCGACGGGAGTCCAAGTTAAGGGAAGCTTTGAAAAAAGATGGACAGTTCCAAGTGAAGGAGGGAACTTCAGTTGAAGTTGCACAGGTATGATCTTCACTGCATTATTAATAACAAAATGTTAGAATAATCTAATTTCAAGGTACTTTATTTGCACACAGTCTATAAGATTTCATTTACCTTACCTTTTTCCTGTTCTAATATGAATGCAGTATAATCCACCATTTACACTTCCATTTCAACGGCGTAATGAGATCAGTCTGGAAGTCGAAAGTAAAGAGCAATAGTTTTCAGAAATTTACAATCTTTTGGTCTATTGACTATACACGATTTCTCCTGTAAAGAAACTAAGTCAGCAGTTGGATATCTGCCCAATCAAATATCATATGTAATGTCATACGGTATGTAAATATAGAATATGAACTACAAAAAGTTTGTGGCGTATGTTTCAACTACAGACACATGATTGGGATGAACAGTTCCTCAGTTGTATATTGTTTACTAGCATGATAGCATCACATGTTCTTGAGTTATACACTCTGTAAAATTACCATATTTTGTTAGAGGGAACTTGTAAATTATCTCCCCAGTGCTTTCCTTTTCATTGTCATCTTCCTTAAGTTGTGCCTACGCGTGCATATAGTTAGCGATTTAGCAGTATATATAAATTGCTTGTTGATAGGAAATTCTGCTTATTGACTTGATAAACTTATTGATACATAAAAAGCTGAGAGTAGTATAACTGAAATTTTAAATGCATGTCACTGTATATTGCTTGCGTGACACGTGTCTACCAATATGCAAAAGTTAGGTATTCCAAGTGTACCTAGTGCTTTATATTGGAAGCCAAAATGACTAATGGTACCCTAGTCAATCAAAAAGCTTCATAGTGGACATAATTTACATGGTGGAGTTTGAATGTATTATCACCCACTGAGATCCAAAAGGGATCTGAGATGGCCTCCTGATTGTTCTCCAGAGAGAAATACATGTCCTAGCAAGACGAAACAGAGTAACTATAATCCAAACTTGATATGCCAATATCGTATCTGTGTGCTATAAAGAATTTAAAATACTCATGATTTTTCCAGGACCTTTTCTTTCTATATCTGCTTTCCTATCAACCAGGAGGAGCCTAAGTTTGTTTTGTGAGAAGCTGATAGGACAATAAATGGTAGACAGAGACTGTTTCAGAGGAGATGAAAGTACTAGCATAAGTTTTTTGCATCATTTTTAACGTTATTGGACCAACCAATTCTTCTTATGTAGTGTCGTTCTACTTTGTAATTTGAATGTATTATGGCAGGTGATACTAAGTACTTAATGCAGTCGAACCATTGCACCTTATGTCATTTTGTCTTTCCTTTACCTTATGTCAGTCGAACCATTGCACCTACTACTTGTTTGGAGTTATACTACAGACTTTCCTGTAAGAAGGATGCAATAAGGACTTTGTACTGTGTGTCTGTTTGGGTACAAATTCACTGAATCTACGTAGGATTTTCGGGTGTGAGATATTGTTAGGTTCTAGTACCAATTTTCAGATATGGGATGATGTCTTGCTGTTCCATATCATATGGAGCTTCTTTGCTGATGTTTTGTGCTGGAATGCTAGGATAATGTACCAGGGGAGTATTTTATTGGGTTGGGATTTAAATCTGTGGAATTTTTGTTTTCTTTCCCTTTTTTTAAACATTCCTAATAGGAGAAGCAGTGTGAATGAACGGTATAGTCCTCCTCAGCAGCAGTAACAGAGCTCTATAATGCCACTGGAACAACCATGGTTGGTATATGAAATACACCGAAAGGTATGGTACCTAAGCTTTTCTTCCATGAGACACACACACACACACACAAACACATGCAATTTTACTAGAGCAAGTTGACCTATTCCATCATTCCATTATGGGAAGTTGCACCAGGCTTTCATAATGGGAGCACTAGCACCACCACCACAAACTGTAATAATTATGGATATATAGAAATGAAAATCACAAATATTCATTAATTATTATCTACAGTTGGGTAAAGAAATTAGCAAAAGCAATGCCATCAATACATATATGCTTTATTCTTCTTCTTTTCTATCTTTTTATGATTTGGCAGGTGAGGCTGGAGGCTGGAGGCTCGAGTAGCCAACTCATACAGTCATATGTAGTGCCACATCACCCTCTCGTCAGCCGTGCTCCGTGATATTTCTCCATGATATGGCAAACTGCTAACACGCTTTTGATATTTGTTATCACATGGAAATTTCTTCCCTGCTTTAGTGGCAGTTGGCACAAAATTGTATGAAATTACTTGGAAATTCAGCTGTATAGCTTGAATAGTACCTCTGTTGTTAGGTCATGTTCATTTCTCAATTGCATGTTTTTCCCCTTGTTTTGGTTCTTGGTTATGACTTATTATGTACTTGAGGGATATGCATGGGATTAAGATTTCGAATGACATGCAGATTCTTTAATTGTGGTGCAATATACTAAACAGAGGACATATTTTTAAGCATTTGTATGTGATAAGGAAGAAAAAAAAAGCTAAACTGTATTTTCCAATGTCTTTCAAGGACTTTGTTCAACTATATGTATGTTAGACTAGAGAAAACTGTTTTTTGACCCCTTTTCCTTTTGTTTGATAGGAGAGATTACTAGATTAGTATACAATTTTACATAATAAGGATCCTCTTGCTATTGCTAGTTTACTTCAGGTATGCTTTCTAGAACAGGTTTCCACCCTTCACAGTTACCATCATCATTGAAGCTGTTAGTCTTATCTATGCTTCTGTCACTCTGAAGCTGAGAAACCAAGTCATCGACTGAAACTCCTCCCTTTCTCAACATCTCCTGCAATTCTTGCTTACTTATAACTATCTTGATCCTTACAACTTTGGTTTCTTGTTCAGCTTCGACTTCAGGATTCGCAAACCTCACCTTCTTCTGGGAAGCCTTTTTAGGTGGCAACGGAAGAGGTACAAGATAATAGAGGCGGCCACCAAGCAGTTTGGTGTCTGGCCGGAGATGCTGGTAGACCGGAGCCGTCTCAGATATTGCATGGCCAGAAAATTCTGACAAAACCTGGTAAACTTTCATGTCTGCTCTGTACTCTAGGATTTTCCCATCAGGTCTCATAATCTTTGTTATATTTTCCTGCATAACCAAGCAATTTCCCATGGTTCTGTTTATCACAACTTGGAAACAAAACTTTGGTTTGAAAGTGGGGTGTTATGAGTGAGGGGTGTTGGGAATAAAGATGGGTTGTATTTAAAGGAGATGGTTACAATCTTCCCCCTCATATTGCTCCAATATTACAGATATGCCTTGTTTCTCTCTGGACCCCACCTTGCTGAATATTTTATATATTTTTGTTAGCAAGCTAGAATCAGAGTTCATGTAATCATAGCTGTTCGATACACACTTGAGTTGGGTGGATGAAACGGTTGGTGAGTAAGAAAAAGTAGTAAGCAATTACTACAGAACAAATCAAAGATTATGGTAGCCTACAATAGGAATATTACTAAGCAAATTTGCAATGATTAAAGGACAAATATGTTTTGGCCTGTCTCTTTGCTGTTGTATGAGTCGACTCACCGAGTCATAAGACTGAGTCAAATCACTGTTGTGCTCCTTGCATTTTTTTCAGGAGTGGATTATTACCAGACCTTTTTATACAGTAAAGATCAGCTAAGATCCAGTAGGGCCACTATAAAGGATCTGAGTGGCTGACTACTGTGCCTCATATATTTGTTCTTTCATTGACTATCTTTTTGGCAACATTGTTATTTGCTTTTGCTGTTTCCAGCAGTTACCTCGCAACTTGCCTTATTCAGGTCGGTAAAGGCGGTAAGGCATAAAATTACAGAAACCGATTTCCTCTTTCCTGGTGTCTGGTTGAATATGCCAAATTAAAGGCATCTTTTATATGTTCAAATTTCAAATGAGTCTAAACCAGAAAAGAGTAAAATGAACAATTTTGTCCATACATGAACCCATAAAATCTTATACTTGAACGCAACTAACTCAATGTACCAAACCCCTCTTGAACTCTAGATTTTGTGGTGGCAAATTATGAGTTAGGAGATTTTTTGTAACATCCCACATCGACCAACGGAGAGGGGGTGATGTGCCTTATATGTACATGCTCGTCTTCATCTAGCACGAGGCCTTTTGGGAGCTCACTGGCTTCGGAGTCATAGGAACTCCTAAGTTAAGCAAATTGGAGGCTAGAGCAATCCCAGGATGAGTGACCCACTAGAAAGTTGCTCGTGAATTCTCATAAACAAAACCGTGAGGGCAGAGAGGGGGGCCCAAAGCGGACAATATCGTGCTACGGCGGAGCCGATCCCTGGATGTGACATGTTTTTGTATTGATATTTTGTTTATGGCCAACACGACATCGTTTGATGTTTATGGTTGAATTAGAAAGATAATCAAATAGAGGCCATGGATGAATTTCTTACAAAAAGACTCTGATTACAATTTGTTATGCATGCTATCTTTCCCTAGAAAACTAGGTTAAGATACTTGTCTTCTTACGTAGAAACTAGCATTTTTTCTTACAAACAAATCACAGTTTAACACGGGTACAAAAACTATTCTTTTTGTGTTTTTTTTTTTGGGTGCAGGAAAGAGAAGCCAAGCAGTGTTCCCATGATAAGACAAGGTTGGATGGCAAGGCTGCTGATGAGCTTATTAGGTTTTTTTTTTTCACACAAAGGTGTCCCTATCAAGACCAATACGCGTCAGTTAGGCATTGCTCTGCCGTCCACGGCTCACACTCGTCCATTTGAGGCGCACTCAGAGTCTCTCAGTGAGGTTAAGCCAATTTGCTGCATTTTTTTTTCTGGTAGTATATAGTCTGAAGCTTTTGACCACTCGAGCCCAAAATCAATATGGTAAAATGCAAAATGGTATGATTGTGATTTAGAGCAAGAATTTGGTCAATTTGAAAGAGATGTAATTTGAATCCTTGATGAGCTATGAAAAGGATTGAGAGCAAGAGGCATGGATCATGGTGATCAAACGAGTAAAATGATTTTTTTTTAAAATTTTTTTTTATTAAGAGTAGAAAGTGGGTTTAGTGCTCAATGATGTTGTCAATACGCATGCTTGATATATGAATTTTGGCTTTTCTTTTTACTAGTGGAGGTAGAAGTTTATCCCCTTTTACTTGGAAATTCCAAGCAAGAAAAGCATCAAAGCACAATGCAAAGCACAAGAGACAATGACTTGACTTCTGTAACTTCATAACTGGGGCAAAAATAGATAATATACCCACACCCTTGTCTATCAATTTTAAAAATAAAAATAAAAACTTTTCTTTAGATATATTTTTGCAAAAAAAAAAAAAAAAAAGAAGAGAGATGTGTTGCACTGTAAGATTTCGAAAGAAAAAACCATGTAAACATGATAGTATTTAGGCCCCGTTTGGGATTGTTTTTTTCCTTCAAAAACCTGTTTTACTTTAAAGTTAAGCAATTTAAGGTGTTTGGTAAAAATAAAATATCCCGATTATTTTAAAAGCAGTGGCCTTTTGACAGCAACTTTTAAAAATAAGCTCTGGGTTGTTTTTCAAAGCTGCTTTCAAAAGAAGTAGAGATGAACCTTTAATAAAAAAAATTTAATTCCCAAAATACCATCATTTATTTTAAAAAATGACATCATCTCCACTTCCACATCCAACTCCACCATTTGCACCACCACATTCACTACCTCCACAACCACCGCCACCGCCACCACTACCACTGCCACCATATCCTTCTCCTCCTCATCTACCGCCACTACCACCACAACCACCACCTCCTCCACCACCACCTACTCCAAAACCTCCACATCCACCACCACCACCACCACCTCCTCCACAACCGCCATCCCTACCACCACCAACTCCATCTTCATCACCACCACCACCACCTCCACTCCATCATTACCACTACCACCACATGATTAGTACATAACACTTTTGACATCATGTCTACTTTGGTCATTATTCATAGTTACAACAATTTTATATAAAATTTACTAAACGGTTTTGACACTGCTTTTTATATAACAGCACTTTAAAAATATTATTTACCAAACATAGAGTTGCTTTACTTTACAGCTAATTATTTTCAAAGCACATCAGAAGCAACTTTTTTTAAAAGTGACAGCAATCTCAAACTAAGTTTTACTTGTGTCATTGATTTATTCAAAATACATATTTTAGGAATCTTAGATTTCATACCGTGTTTAAAACATTTGTGAATAATTTAAGGGTTAGTGCGTTATATTATATTAGATTCCAAATTAATCTGTTCTACTTTTAATTATGTCTTGCAATATGATCACTTCACAGTTGACCCAGTCAAGCCTTAATGTTCATAGTGGCATGATGCGTGCCACTATGATCTTGTTACAAGCATTTGGATTATGTAATTTTTTTTTTTAGTTGAACGACTTATTTGGATGATGTATTTGAGAAAAAAATATTGAAAATGAGGACATATGAAAGAAAATGGCTTAAAGTCTTGTGATTTGCATGCTTATCATTTTTTTTCTTTAGTTAACTTATTAAGCATCATCAGATTTAATTATAGAAATGTTAATTTTTCTTTTAATAGTTAATGCACTAATCTACATGATCAAAGATGGGGATGGTGGTAGCTTAGTCGCAACATGATGATGAGGATGGTAATGGTGCATGGTGACGATGGGGTTCTCGCTTAGTGACAAACGTTGATAGGGAGTGGGGCGGTGCAGAGGCGGTGGAAGCCGGTGACAAGGCTATGATAACTGCGGGGCTCGATGATGGTGGTGGAAGTAACGACTATAATAAACTTATTAAGGCATTATTTGGGTCTAAACTCCATTTTTTAAAAATCCCTTGATGAACTTATAAATTGCACCTTAAATTTGGAAAGAAAAAAAAAATTTGAAGTTGAATTTTGCTTTGAAGAGAGCAATTTTCTGGGTTCCAATAATATAAACTCTCTTTAACAAATTAAATTCAGTGTAATTTAGTCATCACGTCATTAAGTTTTCTGCTTGAGCTTAGAGATGATCATAAACTTTTTATTATATTACAAGAGAGGGAAAGGAATTCATAACCTGAATAATATTCAACAATTAAGTATTGTTTATTTGAAGATAAAGATTGCTTACTAGACCAACCAATACAATATAGTGAAAGTGCCATTTCGGTATACAAGAAAGGCTTAATTATCGATGTGCCCTCTATGCGTCACCGAAAATCCCACTTTGTCTCTTAAATGGAAAATTTATCCCAAACACTGATGTTTGGAGATGTATATTTATATACAATTGGCAAACTGGCTCTTCCACATACAGGAAGGAAGACAATAACGTATATTTTTATTTCCCAACTGAAAATAAAACCCATATCAATATGAAGGGCAAGATACGAAATCTCTGTCCTTTTCACTCGATGCTTGGAAGTTTGAAACTTGAAGTTGAAGAGATTCTAGAATGGCATGCAAGCAAATATTACAAAACAGCTTGCTCATGAGCTTTTATTTATTTATTTTTTTGCCCTTTTGATTCTCGTAAGGGTTAATGTCAGCATGATGAATGCATTTTCTGTTTCTTCTAAAAACTAAGCACTTTCTGTTATTCTGCATTAAAAAAGACCAATGCTTCTCTATAGATTTTCCAAGAAACGTGTTTAAAGGTGCAAGCTTTTTTTTAGTATGTATTGTGCATGCTTCTGTTCCACGAAATTTGTAGTTGTTCATTCAAATTTTTCTATGCTTGCAACATATATTGACTCTCAAGGCATAATTTTTTGGTGAACAAGGAATTTGATATCTGATGGAAAAAAAAGAAAAAGAAAGTGATTGTCTTTTTCTTGAACCCAAAGGTGGAAAAGCAACTCTACTTTATGATCAGAACTGAGACGACAGTAGTATTCCTTTCTCATTCTCATCTGATAAATAGTCTTAAAGGCACTTCTGCTTTTGGACAAATTGAACTGCCTAAGGCTCTTAATCACCTCCAAGTTGCAACCATTCCTTCTCCCTCTCCTTTTGGTACTTTGTGGCTTCTAGATTGGGTCAAGGAGGGGACCACGGTCGGCTGACATGGCAGCCCAGATCATGACACTTGCCTCTCAGTGGTTGGACGGTGGAATTCCATTATCTGGCTTGCTATTTTCTCCACCTGATCAGTCTAAAATGAAGTGTCTCAGTACTCACGAATTAGACTACTAATGAGACTTAATCTGTGGTCTTGGCCAATGCCAAGTGTCACCTGTACATGATGGTTATTGTGATGTGGAGGACCTCTCATGAGTCATAACATTTCTGTTGAGTTCATGAAATGGGCATCAGTTTTTCTTTTTCCCCTTGATATGACAAGTGCAACCACTGCTGCTTGTTGATTGATGCTTAATTTTGCAAGCTGATACAACTTTTTCCAAACGTTCAGTAGTATTCTAATTCGATTCAACCAATGCCGAAATCGAAAGATACAAAGATGGTCAGGAAATGGAACCAGAAAAACTTCTCTTGCATATATATTTCTTCCATGTAAATATTTTCATCTTCATGCAAGATCAACTTTCATACCAATCATTCTGTCAGCAATATACAGATACCAAACTTCAGCAGTGAGGCAGTACATCAGAAAAGGATAAATGATCTCAATCCGAGTTGGTTTGTTGTTTGTTAATAGTTCATTCATTCAGAAATGTGTCTTTTCTATCTCTCTACGCCTAACACATTCATCTTATTATTGTGGCCGATATTAACCCCTAAACCTAAATACTTTTGTAGATTTTCCATATATGAACACAGCTGTATACATCATTTATGAACCACATTTTCCATCTCAATATGAAACTAATATCTTCCCAGCACTAACTGTATCCCCTCTTAGTATTTGAGTATGAACCTCATAGTGAACTATAAATTTTCTTTTCCGAACTCGCATACACATATATGTATGTATGTACGTATGTATGTAAGTGTGTATGTGTGTATGTATGTACATACACGACGCTTTCTGCTTGTATGACAATATGATGAGAAATCCTACAAGCTTTTCAAGTCTCATAAGAGTGGTTTTTGAGCTAAAGCATCACATGGTACATATATGGGACATACAGAAAACAGTGGAATTTTTTATCAGTCTTGTTTCGTGTTATCTGTATCTATCCAGAAAGCTAAAAAAGCAAGCAGGCCACCCTTCATAGAAATAATAAAGATATGGTGGCAACCAAGAAGTCAGCCGCCCCATATATAATGGCTGCTGGCCTTGTTATCACAGAAGTACTTGCTGTGAAGCAAGGGAGAAGTGCATGACCATTGCACAAGAGTTTGAAATTTGAGTGCCTCCAAATAGGGGCTATCTCCCTATCTCCCAATGAGAAGAGTTGACATTAGAGAGATCCTTTTAAGTTTCCACATAATTTGTTGGAAGCCCATTCTCGACATGCCAAAAAGACAGGACTCTTTCTTAAAGCCAAAAGCTACCAGACAAACTTTTTTTCTTTTTTTCTTTTTGGGGCCTAATAAAGCACCTATAATTTCAATTTCTCTCAAAATGAAGACAATAATCATAAAATAAAAGAGTGGTAGGGTACATTGCTTTCTTCCAAGTCTGGTCCAGTAACAAAAGGACCAAAGGCTGGTCCACTAGAAGAGGAGAATTCGAACCTCAAATGGGGTTGCTAAACAACACAATATACTCTCTTCTTTCTTTTTCTTCTGACAATTGGATTGAAATATACCTGCCTACATTGTTTGTAGCTGTGTTGAAAAGTTATAGTTTCACAAGTCTCATTGAGTTCAAGATATTTCATTGTGAATTGGCATGATTCACATGTGCAGTATGGTTTTTGGGTTGCATTGTTGCTAGAAAACCAAAAGCAGAGGATCCTCCTAACCAATCACATGTTTAGGAAAACTATCCATCCCCAAAACCCACCAATCAGATATTTAAACATAAAAACAAAAATCAATGCCCCAATCCCAGTTCCCAGTCAATCGCAATAGAGGGCTATCTCCCAAACCAATAATTTAAAGTATCTGTCTGTCTCTCTAGTGTCCACCAAATAAATTGATTCACAGTCATACACAAGATACATAATATACATATTCATATCTCCAAATCCAAAATCCCCTAAACGATGGCCAAAGCTCTAAACCTAATACCCACTTCAACTTTCCCGCCATTTTCATGCCCCACAAGACCCAAAAGGAAATTCTCAATTAGAGCCACAACAGAGTCCTCTGAGACCCCAGTAAGTTCAGCTTCTGTTCAAACCAAACCAGAACCTTCATCTCCACCATTGACATTCGCTCCTCCGCCCAATTTCAAGCCGCCGGAGCCGAAGCGGTTCGGCGTCCGGCCGGATAAAGTTTTCGACATCTTGGGGGCTTCTCTTGCCTTGCTTTTTCGGTTGGGGACTGGAGTTTTCGTTTCTGGGTATTCAAGCGTTCTCTGATTTTTCTTTTTCTTTTTCAGCTCATTCTCATACATTAGATTTCTTCAGTGAGCCAAAGATTATTGCTTTATTTGCATCTGGGTTTGTCTACTAGAACTCTATAATGCATAATTGAACAGTGAGACCAGACCACAAAGGTGAAAGCTTCTATTAGATATGTTTTCTTTTTTCGGGGTTTTAATAAAAAAGAAAAAGGCTTTAGACATGAATTCAATAAGCTATAGTAAATATTCTGACTTCTTTTTTTCTTTGGTTGTACAATGGCAGGTATTCTTTCTCTTTCGTTTCCAAAGATGAAATTCCCGCAGACCAGTATGCTCTTGATTTTAATGGTACATGTTAATTTGATATAATTGCTTCTATGACATTGTTGATGAAGTTGTTGTGAAATGGCTAAACAGAAGAAGAAAAGTTAACTATTTTGAAGTTATATGGATAATTTTTCCCATGTTGGTTCATCATGATTTTTCCCAATAATGAAAGTTTGTTTATTTCTTTGGCATCAAACATTTTGTTATCATTATGAATATGGAATTTTGGTTTATTTTAATTCATTCTTTCTGAACCATAACTAAAATATCTGGTAGTTTTCAGTACAGCATCTGAGTATAAGAGGTTTCAAGATTTTATTTTATTTTGTCTTTCCCATTTTTATATAACAGATTCTAAGGTGAAAGAGACTTCAAAAATAGGCCCCCGGCCGCCGAAGCCTATTGAGATATATGAGTTTGAAGGGTACTTTATTTTTCATTCCATAGTATTGTTTCTGTATTTTAAAATTTTGTAGTGGCAATCTCTAATTCGCCCCTGAGTTTTACCATACAACTCTAAAACTGACTGCATGTAATTTTTTTCTCTCCACACATTTGATTACCACGGATAATGCACAGCTGTCCATTCTGCCGGAAGGTAACTTCATCCCTGAAGAAGTCTTATTTAATTCTGAAGAATTTCCATATAATATATATTGTGTGTATACAATGCAAGGTTGCTATTTATTTTTGCCATATTATTCTTCTATGGAGATAAGCAATGGATCCAATGTCCCATTGGAGACTTTTTCACAAACCATGCACATGACTACATTACTAGACTGTCTCACAGTTCTGGCGAACCATCATTCTTTGATGGGTATCGTGCTGAAATCTGTGGTAACAAATGTGGTTGGTGTTTAAATTGATTTTAGGCATTTAGTTTTAGCATATTGATATTGATTAGTGTTATTTAAGATCAGGCTGGTGATCTTCTATTTCATTTAATAGATAAACAATTTTTTAGCTTCACAGCTCTCCAATCAATTAAGGGTTAGATTGTCAAGATTCTGGTTAAATGTTTATGCTTAAGGTCCATAGGAATACTGTCTCCTAAGTCCATCACATGTGTTTGTGACTTGATTATTATGGTAGTAGTATATTGCTGAATATAGGTGTTGTGATCTCTTTATTTTGTGGATTGACATTTGGGTATGTATAGGTTAGGGAAATTGTTGCAGTGTTGGACCTTGATGTTCTATTTTATCCTTGCCCAAAAAATGGTCCAAACTTTCGTCGCAAGGTTGCTGAGATGGGCGGAAAACAGCAGTTCCCTTACATGGTTAGACACTAATACTTTTGAAAATTTTATTTATTTATTATTCTTCTGTTTATCCTCACAGCCAAGGGGTGTTTATCCTTGAGAGAGAAAACTTTAAATAATCCTCAATTGAAGAATTTATAATTAGAAGCAACAGAGTGTATTTATATATTTCTTAGAAGCTCCAGGGTATTAGCAATAAGATGGGTCAAGCTGTCTTTCAAAATGCCTATACATGTTATCTCTCCATTTCACCTTTAAAATTATTGATTGTTTCCATAATGTCATTATGAATTTATAGTCATTCCTTGAGTAAAATTTCAGATATGTTGGATGGTTTAGTACTGGGTTGAGGACTTTTTGTGTCAGAAGCTCATAGGTAAATTTCCAAGAGAAGGGACTTTGCATATAATTAAAATAAGAAACCCAATAGATTATAATTGCTAAATATAAACATACAGAAACTTTTCAAATATAGTTAAATGATTCCATGAACAAAAGCACATTTGAAAAACACTAAGCTAACGCTTAACTTTTTTCTTAAAAAGATGATAAGAATTTTTCACATTTTACTTAATAAATGTTAGTATCTGTCATAGTTTTTATTTTTCAACATCATTTTTTAGTTCTGTTCTATGTTAGTTGTAACATATGCCTTCATTTCAGCTTGTTATTTATTATATCAGAATGGCTCTGAGTGGCAGCTACTCCAACTTTTGTGTTTGGTTGCAGGTGGATCCAAACACTGGAGTTTCAATGTATGAATCGGATGACATAATCAAGTACTTGGTTGGAAAGTATGGTGTGTGCGGTCACATTAATCTTGCTACAATCACTTCATTTCATGATGTTTATTGTGTACTTTCATTTTTACAGTATGTGTAGATATGATAGCGAATATATACATAATGCAACTACATTATAATTTTTAGATTTACATATTTATACATTAAGTTTATGGTAACCATTTGGCAAGAAAGCAGTATTACTAGGCTTTACAAATTATGCTTCTATTTGGTGATGCACTTTTTCCTTTGTTTCTTTGCTGACAGGAGCTACTTTTTCTTGAATTAAGGACTTCTAGTAATTATATCATTTTTTGGTCTCTTATGCATTTCATGCCAACTATTTTACACCAAATTCTGTTTAAAATTTCTCACACCCCCCCTAAATGTTTGTGCAGGTGATGGAAATGTTCCTATTGCATTGTCACTTGGTTTATTGACGGTTAGCATTTGACTCTTCTATTAGCAGTTTCTCTCAATCTATAGGAAGTATATTGTTAAGAATTTATTTAAATCTATAAATTCTTGATTGCAGACTTTGACTGCAGGCCTTGCTATGATTGGTCGTTCAGGAAAGGTTAGATGGTTTTGTTAAAGTCAGTATATTGTTTTGGGGTTGGGGGTGGTGTTTTCCTGGAATATTCCTACTTCATTAATTGCATGATGCATTCAACACTAAAATTTGTTCACATTGAATGTCCATGTTATGTTATCAAGAATTTGCTTTTATATGCAAATTGTTTTGTAACTTCATTGATCAGTCTCGTTTTCTTTAATTCTATTCAGGGTTCTAGCTATTCTCCATCAAGACTACCACCCAAACCACTTGTAGTATGGGCATATGAGGTTAGAATATCATGCTTTTACTTGAAATCAGAATTTTCGGGTGAGGTCCCTCATTAAGATACAAGATAGATAAGCCTTGATATGTTCCATATATATGGATGATAGTTCTGCTACCAAGTTTACATGTGAATTTTGGTTTCTTTTATTGATACATGTGCATATACATCTCAGTGTATTGCATGCACACAAGCACATGTATGATCCCGAGTTTTAGTTTGGAATTGTTGTCTCTTTCAGGGATCTCCTTTTTGCAAAATTGTACGTGAAGTACTTGTAGAGTTAGAACTGCCTCACATATATCGCAGGTAAAGTATGAGTAACAATAATTTTGGTTAGGTCTTGCATTATAATTTATAATCAACTTTCATTTTGTCACCATATTAACAACGTTTTATTTGTACATACACAATGCTTTTTCTATGGTAATGTAAGTGAGCATTCCCAAGAAGCAAATTAGGTGGACATAAGAATGATGATCTGGCCCCTGATACATGTAATTGTACAGTATCTTTGTCAGGGTTGTGCATTGGGATAAAGTGATTTATTGTTGCATTTTATTTTCGGTGTATGCTTTAAGCCCTCATGCATTACGTGGTGTTATTGTTGCAATGTGTGTGCACTCGTGTATATAATTCATATGTATGCTAACATGTATCTATCTATATATTTGAGTATCATTGTCCAATTTTTTCTTTTTTTCTGAAATTTCATTGCTAGTTTCTTTTACTTCCACTTTCACATTTCTATTAGGGCTCTCATAATGCGTCTATGTTGTTTCTGAACTTTGGTATAAAGGAATTTTTTTTTCCTTTTGTGTTTATTCTGATGCAAAGTAACCCATGATCATTTCCGAGAGCTTTTTGTTTAGCCTTCCTATCAATATTCTCTCTTTCTGTTTTTATGTGTACAATTTATTACTGAGGCTTATTCTGTTCTCAATACTCTTTTCAGCTGTGCCCGTGGCAGTCCAAAACGACAGATTCTGTTTGATAAAACTGGACGCTTTCAGGTACTGTCAATTTTCTACTGTGAATTGCCGAAACCTTATTTTTTATCATATGAGAATGAAATTCCTTTTGACATGCGTGAATTAGTAAGATGACATTAGCAATCTTACAATAATGGTTGGCAGGCTCCTTATTTAGAAGATCCAAATACCGGGGTGGAGATGTTTGAAAGTGCAGAAATTGCAGAATATCTGAAAGCAACATATGCGCTATAATAAGCAAAGCTTTCCACAGGCATGTGGACTTTTTTTTTATTCTTATGATTTTGTTTTGTATATTTCTCACATTTTCTGTTAAATGAAAGTGTATAAGTCATCGTCTTATTCCCATACAAAAATACTTGAACAGCTTTTTAGATGTATAAAATTTTTTTTGTTCTTTCTAGTGGAAGGAATTGTTTTAGTTTGGTGCTATGTGTTAAAATAGTGTGTTGCATGACATGATTTAGTAATATTGTTAGATACTTGCGTAGAGATGCATGTATGCTTGAGATACTTGCGTAGTGATATTGTAACCTTCTGTCGGTGTTAGCTGGGAGTTGCATTTCTTACAGTTTACAGGCTCATCTTAGGTGGACTAGAAACATTACCCAACAAGATCGAATGAAGAAAAATGTTACACAACCAAGAAAGAAAATTTGTGTTGCTGTTGATTTCCTAAAGAAATTGTTAAATCTAGATCTCTTAAGTACTGATGCCCTCCTAGAGAAAATGTTTCTGCTATAACTTCTGCATCTCTTCCATCTAATTTGTCAAAACTCTGTACTGTCAGTATACAATGTAATTAGTTTTGAAGGTTGTCTATGAAAAAAAGTAGTGCTGAAAAGGAAGTGTGGTATGTGATCTCACATTGTGGGGACTGAAAGTATATGGTGCATATCCAAGTGGAGCCTTTTACTTTGGGTGGAGAATCTCTATCTCTGGTTTGAAGCTGAGAAAAAAAGAGTTGTCAACGGATAACTTCTAATCTGGCCATACTTTTGTGGCAACTGGGGGTATGTTTGTTAGCAGGGCATCTACTACCAGATGTCCCCCAGCTTTCATAAAGAGGATGTGTTCAAGCTTCATGGACATGCTTTTTATGCCCTTCACTTCCTGCTTACTCTGACTTCCAATTTGTAGGTCCAGTCCAGTCTAATCATGCATATGGGAATGTTCAAAGGCCAATTATGTGTTGCTTTGTTATCATGCGGTCTTATTGGTTCCCATCTTCATGATATTAATTTTGTTTCATAAAAAAAATTGATCATATACACTAAAAACCAACACTGGACTAAATTCAATGGTCGTTTAACTATTTTAGTGTCACATGTCTAAGTATCCCTATATATTGGTTAATTAAGGTATTAGTCTCACTATCAAATACGGGAAAGAAATCTTTCACTTACTATCCTTTAGGAAAAGAAATGGAAAATAATTTCCTATCAAATTCTTTTTGCGAACTGAACGGGACCTTAGGTGTAGACTCTCTAATTGTAGGTTTGTTTAAATCATGTTTATGTGTCGCAGCCATGTAAAGATTCCACTAGCGTAGCATTATCGGCAAATGGTTCCAACTTTCTAGGTTGACACAATCACACATAGATTGGTTTTGAATCCTACAATATTCTCCAAAGATTTTTTTAAAAAGAGAAACAGATGAGGGAATATTGAAAGTGCATATGTAATAGGATTGGAATGTCTATGTTCATGTGACATTTAGATAAAGCTTAGTGGCCTGTTTGGACAACACAGCAGAATACTCCAGAACAAAGGTAGAGAGGGAGGGCCTATTATTTAACTTTCGAACAATGGGACCAGAAACCCATTAACAGTGCAACAAGTGGGTATAGTTTGGGATTGGTGATTGTTGGGGGACCCCATCAGCATTTAGAAGCCAAACCGTGTGTAACAGGGGAAGGTAGTATTTGTCCTGAAGAATAAAGCTGAGGAAGGTATTCTGAAAATAACTGTTTTGGGGAGAGAATATATATACATCCTTGGTGTTGCCCACACCATTTTTTCTCTTTTAAATTCTAAGCTTTCTAGGCTTATGTGGGTTAATCTGTCATGGAAACAATGAATTGGTCATCCTTGGTGCCTTTCTTTAGTGGGTAGTGGGGTAGGTCGAAAGTTAAGGTTGGCATTTGAATAAGACTAAAAACACCCAAGCTGAATTGGTCTTCTCGATGCATGTATTCCTCATACAAGTTAAGTAGAATATCGATCATGTGCATTTAATGGGAATGTCTAGAAACTAAAATAAGGAGAGAACCCTGCTAGGGATTTGCGAGATTTAATCCCGATCCTTAATATATGTAGATCACACAATACATCAATTGTTAAATTCAATACCCTACATGTAGAGCGCACAATACATTAATTATTAAGTTCAATACCCTACATAAACCGGATTCTAACATTTTTTTATTGCGGAGCAATGGCATTGATCTTTTAATTTTCCTTGTTTGCTTCACATAATGCCTACTTGGGTAAAACTTGAGTTGCGTGCCACTTGGTGAAGTGTGGATATATGATTATAAAATGATAAAAAATAAGAGAAAAAAACTTGAGTTGTGGTGGTGCTCCGGCCATTAAGTTTGTGTGTTTGGTTATATGTGTTGGTTGGCCCACAAATGTGACATGGAACCAGTGTTTCATTTATTAGCTGTGAATCATGGCCACATTCTGTGTCCTCTTCTGCTCGCTATCTTGAAGCTTTTCCATGGAAAAGCCTTCACATTGTGTGTTTCAGGTTTACCTTGTTTTTTCTTTCTACTTATTTTTTTCGCAAAGGAACCTTCCAGCATAAATTTTACAGCGTTTTCTTTCTAGAAGATTATATTTTATTTGTGAAGAACCTTATTTAAAAGGCTTTATTTAGGCCTGCAAATGTGTTGCTCATGGAGGCTTGCCTCGGGTTTTCTTTGTAACAATAAAACAAACGTAGTCTTGACGCTTCAGAACCATGGTAAGATTTTGAATCTTGTCATCTCGTCTCCAAAATTTGAAAAAAATGAACGAATCATAGTCATGCATTTGAATTTAGACTCTTGTTTAGATACGAATGATGCTAAAATCAGTCGCTTATACGTATGTAGTCAAATTCTGATTACTGATGCATTATAAACTTCATATGCAACAATATTCAATAGCCGCCCGCACAACTTATATAATCTTTTAATAGAATCTGAGGTGCAAAATTGAATTTTAATTTTGGACATTCAACTTTTTATATTCATAGATTATGAACATATGCATAAGTACATTAACATAACCACAAACCAATGGTGTTAAACTTGACCATCTCTCCATCATTTTAGTAATTTCCGGGTTGGCATAAAAACTTATTATAAGAATAATCAAATTAACTTTTTTGCCTGACGGAATGAATTGGTACACAAACAAAATGAGTGGTCGAAACTTCTTTTTTTTTTTTTTTTATTATTTTTCAAATTTTCAGTGCACCCGCACCAGGCATCAACTTTATAAACCCAAAAAAACATACAAGACATCAACCTTGACGTGGCCATGAATTTTGCACAGTTTCTAAATTTTAACCCATGAATGAAGGTGAATCATGAAATAGGCCCCAACCAAAAACATGTTTTGTTCAATCATCTCCACTACGTGATGTTAAATTAGAATGTTTTTGCCCTATAAAACTTGTATTGAAGAATGGAATGTTTCGCATCTTAAACTTTGCTTTACAAGAAGAAAATATTTTTATTTTTGTTAATACACAAGTGATATAAAGAGAGGAGAGAAACATAGGACCTCGAATGCAGGGTTTTTTTAGTTGTTATTCAACCCTAAAAGGGTTACTTTTACAACTTCTCATATATCCAAGGGCTTTATAGCAAAACACAAAAAAAGACAAATCCAAAGTTCTCTAATTAAGGATATAATTAGTTATTAATCACAAAAAATCCAAACAACAGCAGAAAGGAATAGGAGGCAGCAGCAACAAGTGTATAAATAGGTAAAGACATCAAAGCTAAGGTGCTCCAAGAGTCTCGAGAAATAACGTCTAATTAGCAGAGAGTTAGCCTAAAGTTAGCAGCCAAGGTGTGCGTATATTCAAGGTACGTATAGCAAAACCACAAGTTGAAATTCAATCACTGATCAAATCCATAGAAGAAAATTACAGTTGGATATAAAAACTACTAAAATATTTCTGTTTGATTTGCATGTCAGGGTAGACAAAGCAATAGCAATAATGGCCCTTAGAATTTGCTTCTTGTTCCTTGTGATAGCTTTGCCGCTTGCAGTTAGCACTTCAACTTCTGTCCAAAACGGTATGATATCTCTCTCATTCCCTCTAACTTCTTGGGCATTTAGATTATGTTTACTAACTCCCCTATTTGTGAACTTGAATGTTCTCTCTCTCTCTCTCTCTCTCTCTTCTAGTTCGGTTTCTGCTATCGATAATGGTAGATTTTTCCTTCTTTATTCAACAACTGTCGCACATGAGATTTGAACTTACGACCTCTTCCAACTGTAATCGTTTACAAAGTGATAGAACAAACAAAGGAGCTAAGCTCTTTTTTTTAAAGATGGATGCATATTCTTGCCATAGGTTTTCTCTATATACTACATGGTAATTATGTATGCTATCTTACCAGCATTGCCGTGAAAACCAGAAGCACCAATTGAACTCTTTTTTTCTTCTTTTTCTTAATTGCTGAATTAAGCATAGTTCTTGTCATATTATTTAATAATTTTTGTTTTTGTGTTGTTTGTGTGTTTGAAATTTATCTATCCGCAGGCCTGAGTTCACTTTCATTTAGCTACTCTGGCGCAACTGGCCCAGATAAATGGGGAAGCTTGAGCCCAAATTTCTCAGCATGCTCAAATGGGAAGATACAATCTCCTGTGGACATCGTGAAGGGCATACTTACCCCTAGCAAGAGATTAAAGCCATTAACCAGAGTCTACAGTGCTTCAAATGCCACTTTGTTTAACAACGGCTTTAACATTGGGGTTTGTTCTTCAACTTCTTCCACACAGACACTACGCATCTTTTCACGTTCTTCTTTTGGTGACACAGATTGTTTGTTTGGTGAGAACTTATTTTAATTTTACTTTTTGTTGAGATGGCTTGACACAGAAAGGGCTCATCAAATAAGTCCAATTGGTAAAAGTTAGATGGAAAGTGCCTTCAAATTTTAAAAGGGAATTGCATTCTTTTTTCGAAACTATTTATGTCCTTTATGTGAAAGTATGAATTTTTACTTTTCTATCAATTACAGTTTGTGTATATAAATTATTTTGTTTGTACGTTTGATGCATTATTTTGATGTATGTGTTAAATTGTGATTTCCAGAAAAGAATAGCGTTTTTATTTTTCCTCAATTCTTTGCTCATAAGGGGTTGCAATCTGGGTGGCAGAATGAAATGTTTGGTTGGTTGGTCATGTAAATAAAGTGCCATGGCACAAGATCAACTTAGGTGTGCATGGGTTTTCTCTATGCAGGTGCATTTCGAAGGACATGTGGGGACATTGGATCTGGATGGTAAGAACTATGACTTGAAGCAGATGCACTGGCACTCTCCCTCTGAGCACCGCCTTAATGGAGTCCAGTATGTGCTCTGTCCCATTCTCTCTGTCAAATATCATCTCTTCTATTTTATCCAAAATGAGTGGGATACAATTATTTCTACCCATCAATTGAAAATGTGTTGTACCATCTCTCTAATAATGTTCGAACACACATGCGTGAGTCCCGCTTTAATGGAATCTGTCCGTATTAGAAAGATGGTACAATATATTTTCTTGAGTTATACGAGAAAATTCAAAAGAATATACCAAATAAATGTCAATGATCATTTAATATAGTAGCACTAAAAAACGTACCAAAATAAGTGCTTGGTTGGCTGAGAAATTTTGAGCCTAAATTAAGGTTGTGTTGCAAAGTCTGGAGGGTATATATGAAGGCAGCCCAGTAATTAAAGGTCATATGTGACACAATCCTTATAATTTGAGGGGAGACTTTAGCCAGGCCTTGGAAAAACAAAGTAGTCTTTAAAACTTACAAGAAAAGCAGCAAAAAGCTTATAGGCATTTCCTTAACTGCTACAGATTTCCAGCTGAGCTTCATCTACTTCACCAGGCATCTGACCAGAGCATGTCCGTTGTGTCAGTTCTCTTCCAATTCGGCAAGGATGATATAATCATCTCTAAGGTAGAGTTCTTCTCAACATGTAGTTATCTATTGTTCTTAAAGAAATTAAGTGATATTTGTTGGCGACAATGATTAAAATATCGGCCGTGCAGATAATATCGAGCTTCCAATTGACAGATATTTCGGGGATATATCATTATCGTTTTAGGTATCGGAAAAAAATCAACAAAAATGACATATATAGGCATTGAAACACATAATTTTAGTGTAAAACTTTCATAGATGTTATGTACATTATTAATGAATGTATTGAACAAATAAAACTCAAAATTCACTGATAATAAGATATACATATGATTAAATACAAGTGGTATGTAATGCGCGTTAATGAAAAGTTCGAAAATAGAATGTTAATTAGAATGAATAAACCATGCATAAATCCATAGTTTATTTAAACATTGGATTACAATTTAGATAAGTGTCCATCTACATAAATGAATAGCTCCTATGAGGTTCAAATAATGACGAACAACAATTTAGATTCATACAATAGTCATACCAAGTCATTTAACCGTAGCAGTTTGTAAGCCATGTTTGAATATGGTGCACATAGGTCTCTCTTGAGCTCCCTATTGTCCTCCCATATATGGGATAGTTAGGATTAACCAATTAGTAGGTTCATAATCTATTTTATCATCTTGAGCTCCATAACTAGTTCCACTATAATCAGACATGACCTAACCATAGCCATCATAAGATTCATTTGAATTAGTACTAGGTCTAGTTCCTATTCTCATAGATCCAAAACTGATTGCCATGTCCTTTTCAGATGGATTGGAGGTATGTGGGCAGTGGATTGTGCATAGATTCTTCATATTAATAAATTATAGGGTTATGGGCAAGGATTAGCTATTTTTGGGTTTCAATTTGCTTCAATTGCCTTCAAAACTTCTGAATTTTTTTTGGGTTCTGTTATGGGTATAGGGAAATATCGGGGATATCACACTAATCAGGGATATATTGTCGATAAAGGGGAAGATATGGCCTTATCCCCCAGTATCGGTGTCGACAGCTGAAAATACCGATATATTGGCAGATATATCGGTATATCGGCCGATATTTCAATCATTAGTTGGCGAAATAAAATGGAATGAAATGAAATGAAAATTGAAATCAAAGTTTTAAGTGATAATTAGTATTCAGGTCCTGATCCGAATTTTGGAATCCAAAACTTGCAGCGTGTTGCTCAGCACTAGGACCTTCAGGATTTAGGGTTTAGAGTTTAGAATTCGAGCTTCGGACTCTGAATTGAAGTTCATGACTTGGTTCGAACTTCGAGTGCACAACTCAAAGTTTGGGCTCTAGCAAGGACTTGGAAGAGGTCATATATACAAATGGAAAATGAATTTTTCTTCCTTCTACTTGGGGAGAATGAGATTGCTTGTTCCCAAACTATTTATGCCGATCAAAGTCACCAAACAAAGAAATTGTCAAGCCATGTGAGGTTATGTTGATCCCATTACAAATTCATTCCAAAAAATCAAAACATTACATCAACAGGTTCGAGAAGGATTCTTGGGTTTAAGGATAGTAGAGAGAGATTTGATAATATTTATCACTACAATTGGCTAATGCAGATTAAGGACAAGCTGACTGAGCTGGCCAAGGAGACGTGTAAAAAGGAAGAAGATGCTCAAATTCCCCTCGGAACCGTAGATATCAACGAGTTCCAGAAGAAGAGCCGGAAATATTTCAGATATGTTGGTTCTCTCACCGTTCCTCCATGCACCGAGAATGTCGTATGGAACATTCTTGGAAAGGTTGTACTCGTGTGTGCGCACATATATACATATATACATATATATACATACATATATACTTATTTATTGATACGCATCCCTAATTTGACTTATTCATTCATGTAGGTAAGGACCATTTCCAAGGATCAGTTAAATGCTCTAAAAGCACCATTGGATTCAGCTTGCAAGAACAACTCAAGACCACTGCAGCCTCCTAATGGACGCAAAGTCGAGCTCTACGATGAGCTTAGGGACCAGTAAAATAGTCAACCTAGTTGACATTTACATCAGTGTGGTCAATTGTCATCAGCGTGAGTTGTAGTAAAAGCGAGTCTTCATAGGTGTCACTGTTTTTGGGCTCGAATTTAAGTGATTTATTCACAATCAAGATAAAACTAAGTAGAGGTCCGAATCGACTGATGTTGAATTGTTAAAAGATGAGTTGTAGTTAGGAGAAGTGCGTAATCTAGAAAAGATTTCATTTTGTGTATTTTCTTTCAAAGTTGATTATATATGATTAATATATATGTGAATATGAAGGAATCCAGCTGAGCAGCTCATATCGATGCATTAAGTTCTTCATGAAACGTATGTCATAGGTATGCATTATTGGGTCAACGACTACTATCTCTTTCAATTTGATTACATGACAAGATTAGTGATTTAAACCACTATAATTGGGTGGCTCATCTAGCTAACCACAACGACTTGCTTCATTCTTCTCCGAAATACGCGCCTTGAATTAATCACATAATTAATCAACTCGATTAGTAGATCATCCATATATTTATCACTAAACGTGCTTCAAGAAAAAGAAAAAAAAAAAGCAGAGGAAAAGAGTTGTGAATAAACTGGCACTATATTGGATAAACATCGTTGTTGTTGATGATGTTACAAAACCAAATTCTTGTCCTATATAAAAGCAAGTGTTTTATTCCATTTAGAAGGTTGCGAAAACAATTGGGTCATAAAGCACTTTTTCTTGTTTTAATAAAATATTAATCAAATGAAAAAGGAAACAAGTACAAGAATTTTCTTTTTGTTCTTTGGTAAGTAGAAGATTCAAGATATCATTTGGGTCATATCCAGGAGAAAACTTGGTTGCAATAGGGATAATCATGTTTTGCTATTCCTGGTCAATAACACTATACAATGTAGAAAAATTATTACGTATGTCATAATATTATTAGTCGGAAATAGCCAAACAATATTATCCCCATTTTATACAAGTGTTTCTCCAAAACCAGGCCCAAATCAAGGCCAAGAAACCAAGAGAGAGAGGACGTGTTAAGGATGATGAAAAAATGTGCGTGAATAGGTGAATTTTTAATGTTTTGAGATCAACTTTTTCCAAGAACATATATTTTAATATTTTACACTAATAGAAGAGTAATATAAGGAGAGTAATTTATGGCTATAGGCAGGCAAGGTGGACATTTTCAATGAGAGTGATGATCTAGTCAATATTCGAAATCATTTACATCATAGATACAACCTTGTAGAGTCAACAACGCTTAAGTCTTCGTACTTGACCAGACTCCAAAGCCAAAAACGAAGACTGATGATGCACATATCCAACTCTTTTTTTTTCCCCTCAAGTTCATCATAATACTAACTTTCATTGTCATATGGTAGGAGTAGCTATATCAGTAAAAATGCAAAAATAAATAAGGTTGTCATACTTATTAACCAAACAACTTTAACGTCCCCTGTGTAATACCCTATATTTCTCATCATGTGATGAGAGATGCAGAAAACTGAAGATAAGGAGTAAAATTATCATGCCAAAGAAATTAAAACGTATTGTATCCGCTACTAAACATTTATCCACTTGTATTAGCGTAATGTCTAAGCAAGTGTTCGACGAAATGTCTAGGCAAGTGGTTTTGGATGTCATGTTATTTGATAATGAAATTGCATTGATATAATTGCTGATTTTATGGTATTTGTAGGTTCCACATTTTCCCCTTTTAATAGGGGACCTTCCCCTACCATTAGATTGACCCTCCATCCATTGGTATTTCTAATGTGGTAGGCGAAAACTCCTTCCGTCCACTAAAAGCCCTCAAATCACATGTGGTCAATGCATGACTACACACACACACACATGTTTTGATTTTTCCAGTTTCATAATCTATAAAAATAATAAATTATTTAATCACAATCGTTGGCGGTGGCGGAAGTATTGGTTGGCTTCTGTGGAATATAGACCGTCTAACTCACCAAATATTTTTTATTATTTTAAATCTGGGTAAATATTTTGTATTAGTTTTCTGATAATTTTATAAATAAAAAAGTAAATATTTTGTAACCCACAAATCCAAATCCATCTCAGTTCTCATCTCTGACCTATCGCATATCATTCACAAATCTAAGCTGAACTTGTTTCTGGTTTTCTCCAAAACATTATTATCAAAAATTACAAGCAGATTTACAACTTCTCACTCCAAAAAACATATCTATTTACACAACCTCATCCTCTAATGAACTGGAGAATAAAAATGAAACGGAAAAAAGCAAAGTATAAAAAAAAACGAAAAACGTAGAAAACGGTAGGCAAATTATATCTTTTACCTCTAACCCCGGTGGAGGGAAACCGTTATTCAACGCCCCACGTCATCCAACGACAATTTAAACAGGGCGTAGGCGGTCCCACATAGACTACCATTCACGACCTTAACAACCCCATTGCTTCCTTTGCTTACTGGCTGTGGGCCCATTGCTCGCCGTCGGATCAAGAAACCTAGATTCCGAACGTGACCAGATTACGCCACGTCGATACCGGCTTCGCCCACCCACGACCCGGACCTCCGACCCGAAACGAAGCGCTTCATGCCGCCCAAACCGGGTGGTTCGCTCTCCACGCTTTGTCTCGGAAGCGAGTCGATGGACAGCGTGTCGAAATCGTAAGCCGCCGACCGGTCACGCGCTCTCCCTGACATCACGCTGCTGTGTCTCGGAGGCGAGTCCGCCGCCGCGTAGGGCGACTTGGCCGACTTGTCTCTGTGGCCGTGCCGAAACATCGCCCGAAAACTCGCGAAGAAGCCGGTTTTTCGTCTCTCCACCGGCTTGATAGCCTTCTCCATAGTAGACTCGGCCGACGACCTCTGCCGATTCCGAAACCGGCGCTTCCGATCCCTCTTTGATCTCACCCTTCCCATACACGAGACCTTCGGAGACGACGGTTCGATCATCGGAGCGTCCGATTTCCCGACCGATCCGGAGCGTTTGGGAAACAATCTAGTGTTTCCTGCCTTGCAATTCCTCCGATTCTTAGTGTCGACGTAGTTGTGCTTCTGCGGCTTCGGTAGGCCGATAATCGCAGCCTTGGACTTCAAGTTCAGTGAAAACCTCTGAGAGTTGGAATTGGAGTGATTCGCATTCGGATTCAAGTTATTGGAGTTGGAGTTTCCTTTCGTGGAGTCTTTGCGCTCGTAGAAGGCGTTACGATCGAACCAATCGTACTCGGCGTCTTTCGAGAGCCAGAAGGATTCCGGAGGGAAATCCGGCGGCACCGCCTGTTCGTCGGCGTCGTCCTCCTCGGGCGGGTCTTGGACTCCGGTGATGGCGTCGGCCTGCGTCTCACAGGCAATTTTTCGATCCATTGAGCCGCCCGCACACGCCGATACTAGGGTTTCCAAATCGACTTGTGGCATAGCGTGGAAAAATTAAGCAGAAATGAAGCAAATTAAGAGAGAGAGAGAGAGAGAGAGAGAGAGAGAGAGAGAGAGAGAGAAGGCTGAGGAGGAAGTTGGGGAACGAGGAGGAGGGTTTTATAAGAGAGGGAGAAATAAGATTTTATTTCTTTATTTACTTGATTTTATTTTATTTTTGGTTGGGAGAGTGGCTTTCGTTTCAACTTGTTGACTCGTGCGTTTTGGAAACAATCGGTTTTTTTTTCTATAGAGAGAGAGAAAGAGAGAGAGAGGAAAAAGGGCAAAAGTGGGAAGGAAAAAAATATGTTTCTTCCGTCAAAAGAATACGAAAGCAGATGGTACAAAACGCTGATTTGCTTTACGCACTCGCTGATTGTCGCTTTCTTGATTCTTTTCTTTTCTTTCTTTCTAATTAATTGTTGTTTTCCTTTTGTTAGTTTTGGCTCGGCTTTTACGATGGCTTGGCTCTTAAAAAACGAAGCTTATTTTAGAGATGTAGAATCAAATTAACCTTTTCTTTTTCTTTGTTTAGTTCTTGTGTAATTGTTGATTGGAAAAATAAACAAACCCTGAAGTTCGTTTGCCCACATGAAAAGGTTAACATTCATCAAAACCGAAAACATAAAGCATACCCCTACTCTAAAGTGCGTAAATTATTGGATTTACATCTAATAATATGTCTGAAGTTAATTGTGTATCCAATTTAACTAAATTGTCTTCTTTTAGAACTCGGTTGAGAGTGATTCTTCAAAGGCCAAAAAGCACTACTATGGAGAATCACTTAAAGTGATTATATGGAGAAGCATATGGAAGGTAGTTCTCTCCAAAAGTGATTTTGGCCTATCTAGAATCACTCATAAACGAACTCTTAGTCTAACTTTAAGCGCATCCAACTTATAATTGTTGACAAACTAGATTTTAGCTCGTGGTATTTCTCTTTCTCATTATTGGAAAAAGTTTCATGTTTAAATCTGTTTTCCTCCTATGAATTAAAAAATATATATAATAAGGGTCTTGTACCCCAAAAAAAATTACAGATTTTGGATTAATGTGAAAAGTATACCGAATTAGTCCATTCAAATTAAAATTAATTGTCAATCATTCATCACTATTTAGTCAAAACAATAATAATTCATATTTATTGTAGTTTAATCGCTCTAAGTAATTTAGGGGTTGAATTGGGAATTAGTGACCAAATTGAAAGTTCGTTTGACCTTAATTTTGATAAGCCATCTTATATTGATAAATTTTATGAGAGAATCGGGTGGTTGGAGCTGTGTATGGTGGTGGCAGGAGCTGTGCGAGAGAAAAAGAGAAAATGGCATGAGAGAGAGAGAGAGAGAGAGAGAGAGGTTTCTCGGGTAAAAATTAGATTTATGATTACCTCATATGTGTTATGTAGTCATGTATTTATAGTACTCTTTGTCAGCTAGGGTTTGAAGAATAATATTTATTTAATTAGGATTACTATTACCTAAAAAGAGGAGATTGGAATTAATAATTGAATAATACTACTCTTACTACATTTGTATACCACATTCACATACCACCTTATGTGGCAGATGAGGTGGACAACCATATCAATTAAATTTATTTAACATTTTATTTTATTTTATGATTTATTAACACTTTAAAAAATGTTAATTAACATTTCTTTATTAAAATACACTTCATTAATTTAATTGATGTGGCATATGATATGGGCATGCCACATTATGTGGCATAGAAATGCGGGAAAAAATGTGGTAAGTGTAGCATTACTTTTGGTGGAAATCTCATCCTTGATTTGGGGAGATATTCATATCTTAAATCAATTATAATTCTCCTAATTAAATAACCTAAGAAATTTTCATTTTTCATGTGTCACCCGCTCATTGGTCGCTTAAATATATGCTCCCACACACGTGTTATAATATGAGTGGACAACAGAGTTTATTACCCCCTTTTTAGAGAATAGTATCAATAAATATTCATTTATATTATAACACGTTTACAAAATGTACCACATAACCGTACTTCTATAATATTTCATAATCACTCAATGAATTAGTAACAAGACGTGACGATGTGACCATCACATCGAAGAATTACTCCTTTTATCTTCCTTATATTTCTACTCAAGCATTGGCCAACAGTTTGTTTCTATTAATTATCCATTTGTTATAAGTTCATGAGATATGTACTTGTTACGTGTGCGTTTTTAATTTGTCTCTTTTTTACTTTACGTGTGTTTTTCTCCAAATGACAACATATTACTTTGTGTGATTTGAGTGAGTGAGAACTTTACAGACGACATATCTATCATTTCTACTAAAACTTTTCCATTGGTTTGCGATCCTGTCTTATTTTTCTAATTATTTGTAATTTATATTCAAATCTTTGGATCCGAAATTCAAATCGAAATCGAAATCCTTCAAGGCCAAACGTAACCCCAGCCTACCTATATATACGACCACACCACACTAGCTAGGTTGGCCACTATCTGACATATATTATATAAAGTTTAATTGGTAAACTATAAATATAAATGAATTTGTTCAAACAAGTTTCTTTCATTGGACCATGACCCTAGCTACCATGAATAAAAATCAGAGTCCAAATGTTTGAAAAATGGATCCTCTTTTATCTTGGGTGGACTTTATGAGAACTACAAGAATTTCTTTTAAATAATTTGACCTTCTCATCATTCAAATGAGAAGAAAAGTAAATGTAATCATATTGCTTTTTCTTGTTACATTGGAGGAAAGAAATCTCATTGAATTCGATCCTGAGTGTCATAGGGGGAGGGGGAATTCACTACCACTGTGGTGGGAACCCATTGGCCAATCACATTGCTTTCGAAGACTTAATAGGCCACAAAAATGAGAAAATATAAAAGACCAACCACATTGTGGTTTGTAGAAGATGCACACTCACTAGGAAATCTAACACATGGTGCCAAAAAAATCATAGGTGAGTTTTTTTTTCCGTCAAAATTTGGGAGGGGGAGGAGATGTGTCATTGAAGTTCAAACACGAAATCACTAATCTGTAGACAAATATTTTTATCACGGAGCTATGCATCGTTGGCAAATCATAGGTAAGTTAGGAAGAGAAATTTCTCTACCCACCCAGCCCCAAATGCCCGAATGTCCCAATCAGTCGATGGCCAAATCTAACAAGAAATAGTGAGAAATTGAATAAAAAGGATAATAATATCTCATGGCAACTTGCTGCATTAATATTTTATTTAACTTCTCTAATGATCCAAGTCAGGTGTGCCATCTTGTCCCCATGCCTAGCTCCCATAGATTGAGATGCTTAGAATATGTGCCACCGCCATATGTACATGAATAATGACAGTTTGATTACTTGAAGATTACATTAATTAATGATGGCTTTAACAAAAACTGTTGATCGTTCCTTGCATTTCTGCAGGAGCACAAATAATATACCCCCCCGTACAATAAATTTCAAATGTAGGTGGCCGTTGTTTATGAATGCATTATTCTCACAATTAGTATAATAGTATAGAAACTTTTGTACCACTTTAGCTCAAGGAAAAGGAATTTAGCAAAACGAAAAAGAAGAAAATTAATTTTGTTGGTTGAGAGTAATGTATGAAAAATGTACGAAACGAGTATCACGATTTAGCTAGTCAAATTATCTAAAAAGAAAACAAAATTAGTTTTCATTGATTCTTGAATATTTGACTATTTACAGATAAATTACATTTTGACGCGTATATGTAGATTGTTTTTTTTTGTTTTTAATAATTGACTTTAGTATATGTTTCGGCTTTTGATTGATAGGTAAGGAAAAATGACTCTTAACAACACAACAATTCATGGAACACACAAAATATAATAGTTGAGGATCATTTAAAGTAATTGATAAAGAAAAAGAAAAGAAACGAAGAAACTAGCACAATTTTAGGATACATATCAATGATATGAGACAACCCATGCCATAACATCATGAGCTAATGAAATCACTTTAAAATATTGAGGCAGTTGGTGGTTGGTCGATTCATGACCTCGAGTTGTGGCTATAGGAAGATAATGGCATGCTTCGATGCCCTAAAATCAGGGGAAACAAAATTATTATTAGCAATTAACTTGCATGAGCAGCCATGCATAATTGCATGTGATGGGTTTCCATGTCTCCTATTGGTTGACATTATGTAGCTTGCCATGTCTCATATGATCAATAGTCACATCACATATGCGAGTCCATGCATGCATGTCCCCCCAACTCCTCTCACACTGATTTCCATTTGCCACCAAATGCAAAAGTTTCATGTGGATTCAAAAAAGTGGTTATCGCCGTAACTTACTAACCGAGTAACGCTAGAGCGCTTATATATACATACAATATAATAGTAAAGAGCAAATAGGGATGGGTGGGAAGGGGATTTCAATCCCATCTCCATCCTAGATCGAGAAATATTAACCTTTCTCATCTTCAATTTTCTCCTCCTTCCCGTATACTCGTTTTATTCTGAATTTAAGACAATAAGTAGTTATTATCCAATTAAGTAAAGCATAAAGTTTTGAAGTAAAGGGTTTTGAAAGTTTTGATATGCCAATTGCTTGAACGGATATAGATGCAAGAGAATGTTAGTGATTTCCAGCAATGCTTAACAACCATGGAGTACCCTTTTCCAACTACCCACTTTCTTAAGTAATAATTATATCCAGGCTTACGACAGAGAGGTTTGCGATGCTATATACATATATATATATATACCTACCGTATATCACGGGGCTACCTTCTCTCAACCATTTCAACCAATATTTCATAATCTTCCATGATTACTTAAACCCTAATGGCTTTTGGTAACATCATCTTCTGTGTATTCTTCTTCTAGAAAAATAAGAGTGTAAAGCAAGTTGGTCCTCTCTACCAGCGTTAACTAACATAAATATTTTTCATTTAGTCAATATATTCTTGCTAATTACTTTCTAGTAGATTAATGATGCATGCCTCCAACTTGATTAGTCCGAGCTTGGATGGATCCGTTGTTTATATTTTTACTTTTGATGGTGTGTTATATGGTTAGAATTTAGAATTTCATCATTTTATAGTATTTATAGATTTTGACATTTCGGCATATGGAGGAAGTGCACTTGGAAATCATACGACATATTTTCATGGGTATATACAACGCATAAATGGAAATTTTATGCGAGTTCAGTGCAAAGTGAAGAACAAATCCACTCTAATCAATTTGGCTAAAGTTCGTCTATGCAAAACCTTAACTACTTCAAGTAAAGTATGTGGACAATGATTAATTTATTTGGTACATCCCTATATTCTAATGGATGATTGCCTGGGATTTATTGAAAGTTTGATTGCATGGCGAGCCGAACTAAATCAAGCTGATGGAGCCATAGAACATATAAAACAAAGAGAAACAAAAGTTGGAGGGGCCCTGTGTGGTGTGGGGTATGCTTTAGAGATACTGTTGTGAGTCCGAGAGAAGAAGTCATAGGTTAGATAATAAAGAGGACGACATTGCATATTTTGCATATGGACGGTCTAAATGTGGGTTGCTTTCCTTTGGTAGCCCCAATCAAATAATCCAAGCAAAGACGCCGCCAAACATGAACTTCGTGTTGATACGTGAGCCATGATCATCAACCTTCATCTTTGATTAGCTTCTAGAAGATGAAGCTTTCTAGCACTCCACTAAAATATATTTGCTTTCTTTTTCATTTTTTTCCCACTGTACTCTCTGTACTTACCGAAAAACAAAACAGTAAAGAAATAGTTATACTTTATAATCCCTTTTAGAAACAGCAAATATGGAGAACTCGAATCTACGACTTGAGGGAGTAAATACTCCAAACTACTATATTAGTGGGTTATTTATAATTGATATAGACTGTTTGAATACGATTCAAGGAATAATAAAATGGAGAGTGATCTCGTTACCAAAAAAGAAAAAAAAACAAAATGAAAGGAGAATAGGTGAATTTTGTTTGTTCATTTGGTCAAACCCTAGGGAAAGTAACTCAAAAATTATGAGCCCTAGAAAGTACATATCAAATGTTGACTCTAGAAATCAAATTGTGAGCCTAATTTCTCTTTACCATAACAAAACAAAAAAACTAGCTAGAGAGTCAAAAGTAATGCGCTGCTACTATACATTTTGAAGGGCAGTGGTTAATTATACAATCGCATCAAGCTTTAAGTTATACAGCATAAAAAGGTTTCTAGATGATTGAAGAAGAGTTTCATATGAGTTTTCTTAAAGGAGGAGGCATGGCTGGCGAATCTTGGGAATAATTAACAATGAAGCTGGACCTGTTGGCCCTATCTTTTCCTTTATGATGTCAATCCATGATTTTAACTTAAAAGCTAAAACATAAAACTGTAACAAAACAAAACCAAAAACTAATAATTAATTTTTATTATTATAAAAAAATACTAAATAACTAAAAGAAATGAATGATAGCATCATTACAGATGATAGAAACGAACAAAGAAAAGGGACAAAATAATTTGCATCCTGGAGTGCTTCCATTTAATCATGTTTCAAAACTCGAAAATCATCCATGATATATTGATTTTGTACTGAATTTGTCAGTAATTTCATTTTCAAGGTACATATATCAAACAATTCGTGATAATTCAAGTGATTATCTATTTTGTGTTCTTTAACATGACTATTTTCTTATTGTTAAGAGTATATAATGTTAGTCTTATAACATCTTAGTAGACAAGTCTTCCACCTCTTTAACAAGCTCTGTATATCACTCTATCTCAATGAGGCTCAAGAGCTTTTGTGATTCGATGCTTGACAAAGGCAGGGACCTATTCTATTTATAATGAGCTTTCGTTGGTGTAATTTTAATAGGATACTCCCATTACAATCCTATTAGAATTCAACTTAATCACCAAGATGTTCATGTTGTTAAACATTGGGGAGGTAGTGGTTTGAAGTAAAATTGGACATGTCTAAAGCTTATGATAGAGTGGAAGTGGGGTTTCCTTGAAGCTATGCTTTGGAGGTTGGGCTTTAATGATTGGTGGGTGGAGCTTATCATGGATTGTGTGTCTACTGTTACCTATTCTATCCAGGTTCGGGGGACGGCGAATGGCATTATTGTACCGACAAGAGGGCTTAGGCAAGGCGACCCCCTATCACGTTATCTGTTTTTAATATGTGCGGAAGGACTATCTACCTTGTTATCATGTGCTCTTAGAACGAAACAAATCAAGGGAATTTCAATGGCTAGTGGAGCCCCCACTATTTCTCATCTTTTTTTTGCTGATGATAGTTTGCTTTTTTGTGATTCCCACTTATCTGATTGTACAAATTTGCTTCGTATTCTCAGATTGTACGAAAGGGCCTCAAGCCAAAAAATTAATTTTGACAAGTCTGCGGCATTTTTCAATCCCAAGACAGATTCTATAATGAAGTAATTGATTTCAGAGATGCTTGGAGTGTGGATTGTAGCTTGTTATGAACGATACCTCGATTTTTCCACATTAGCTACTCGAAATAGATCCCAAATGTTCAAAAATGTTCGGGAGCTCTCATGGCGCAAGCTAGGAACATGAAAGGAAGTATGAATCAAGGCAGTTAGGCAAGCTCTTCCTACGTATACAATGAGAGTTTTTCAATTGCCACAAACCTTGTGCAAAGAATTATCGATTATGATAGCTCAATTTTGGTAGGGGAAATCTAATTAGCAAGGCATACATTGGATGGGGTGGCGAAAGCTGCGCCAAGGGGGTCTTGGCTTAAAGAATTTTGAAGCTTTCAATAAAGCTTTGGTAGCGAAATAAGTGTGGCGTATTTTGGAGAAACCCAACTCTCTGGTGACAAAGATTCTGAAGGCTCAATATTTTCCACATGAAGACTTCATGAGGGCCCCACTAGGTCATTCTCCATCTTTGATTTGGCGATCCATTTTGTGGGGATAGGAGGTTATTGAGGAAGGGCTGGTTTGGCGAGTTAGGAACGAAAAATAAATCAAGATTTTTCATGACAAGTAGATTCCTAAACCGCATACTTTTAAACCGTTATGGAATGCAAGATTGGATTGGAATGCTAAGGTGGCTAATTTAATAATTGATTTTGGAGCTTGGAATTTGGCTTTGTTAACAAACCACTTTTGTGGGGAGGATAAAGCGGCAATAGCTAGCATAGCCCTAGGGTCAGCAGCACAATTGGGTGACAACCAATACTGGTACTTGGAAAAAACTGGTAAGTACTCAGTTAAAACTAGCTATCGGGTGGCTTTATCCCAATGTGACGAGAACTTTGATATTGGTGGTTCGGATACTTCGGCTCGGCAATCTTTTTGGAAGCAACTTTGGAAGCTTGAGGTGCTAAGTAAGGTTAAGAATTTGGTGTGGATAGCGTGTTCAAACATCTTGCCCACTGCCATTAATTTGTATAAAAGGAAAGTCATTCAGTCCTAAGTTTGCTTCAGATGTGGCAAATATTATAAGGATGCTTGTCATGCTTTATGGAGTTGTGAGTTTAGCAAGGAGTTTGGAGGTGTATGAGTTTTGTTGGGTGTTTTAAAATTAGTGGAGGCTCTTTTGCAAATTTACTAAATACGGTTATTAGAGCTTGCTCACAGGTCGATTTGGAGAGGTTTGTTTATTTTGTATAGAAGCTATGGTAGACACGTATTGATATGTTGCATAGGAACTCTGTTCCTCGCGTAGAAGATTTAGTGGAGAGAAATATGGAGCTATATGGAAGTTACAAATCATGTTTGGTGTGGCCCAAGCTGTCTGAGGTGTCTCAGCAAATCAAATGGGATCGACCGCATCTGCATACCGTTATTCTTAACTGTGATGGTGCTTTAGACCGAGAAGGAGAAATGAGAGGTTTGGGGGGCTGTTATAGAGATAATGAAGGGAGATTCATATGTGGTTTTGCTACTTTTGGTCCACCCGAGTTGAATGTGTTAGGTAATGAATTGGTGGCAATAAGGGAAAGGTTATTGATGATGGGGTTTAAAAGCTATACCCATTTTGTGCTTGCAACAGATTCCAAAGAAGCAGTGGTGATGCTCAAGGGAGCTTTGGAGTGGTGGAGTAATTTGGGCAATGTGATGGAGGATATTAGAAGATTAATGGTGGATCGTGGGTTGGTTGATGTGGTGTTTCAACCTCGTGCTGGTAATAGGGCAGCACATGCATTGGCCCAGTTTGGATTGAAGAAAGGTTTGCGGTTTTTTTGGGAAGATATTGCCCCCTTTGGCTGGAGCATGTACTAGAGAGCTATATGATGCAAACTTAATATATATATATATACATATATATATATATATATATATATATATATATACAGTCCCCTTCTATTGAGGGATCCCTCAAATAATTTTATTTGAGGGACGCCCTTTAGGGTATCCTACAATTTTTTTCCCAACGATCCAAACCATCTATTTTTTAGGTTTTCATTCATAGATCATCCTTACAAAAAATTAGACAAATCGGAGACTGTGTCGACATCCAATTGTGTCTTACAAAATCAATGAACACGGTGCTTCAAGAAAGTACTAAAATTTCAATAACTTAAATGAGTGGTCAAATGATATCGGATTCAAATAATTTTTTGTAGAGATGATCTTTGAATGAGTATCTACAAAATAGACGGTTTGGATTAGTGAAATACAATCCAGAGTAGGACCTACAAGGGGTGTCCCTCAAATAAGCTTATTTGAGGGATCCCTCAATGGAAGCTCTCTGTATATATATATATATATATATTTCCCTTTGTTGTTTATTTGGAGGTGTTGTGGTACTCGTTTTCCTTGATCAAATTTTCCTCCTTTGGGGTTTTTATATGGCAAAGTTTTAATGAGGCCACTCTTAACCATCTAGTTCATCAATTGATTATATTGTAAGTGTTGATGCAAGTGTAATGAAATTCTTCTCTTTGATTTTTTTTTAATTAAAAAAAATTAATAAGCAAAGTAACCAGATGACTATTGTAGGGGACTTTTTTCTCCAGCAGCTGCAAATGGGCTGGGCTGCTGTAAAAGGGCAGACTGATGAAATTGTCCCCTTTGCTTGAGTTAAAAAATTAGGCCCCAAAATACCTCGAAAAGGCAGTAAAGCCTTAGGAAGTATTTTGGTTATCTTCACCAACCAAAATAATGGCAGCTTACAGGTAATTTCTTCATGCTCAGATAAACTCTCAAGCTCAACGTGAGTGGCATGGGGCATGGGAGCAAAATCAACATGAGTTTAGCACTAAGAGAAAATTTAGGCTTGCTTTGAGGGAAAAGGAAGTGTTAGGGTAAGGAAGGAGAAGTTTTGTAAGAGATTTGGCTAGGAAAGGGAAAATGAATAGCAGAGTTCTTCCGGCAGCTGCCAGAAGAGCAAAACGGAGAAGAAGATGAACAGTGCACGAGATTGCTGGGTTTTTGTAAGTTAGAGAGAAAGCTTGCTCTCTGGGTCTGAGTTGTGGCTAATGGTGAAGTATTTGGTGGTTTGGGTAAGTTTTCAGCAGCTTGACAAAAGCTATGTCAGACTCTAGAATGACATGGCAGAATGGAAAGTGGGAGGAGATGGAGGAATAGGGCACGAAATTGCAGAGATTTCATAGTGAGAGATGAAGCTTGCTCTCTAGATGTGGGTTGCCTCCGTTGGGTAGAAAAGGCCTCAATTTATAGCCGCTAGAAGCTGACATTTTCCAAGAAACCCTAATGGTTTCCATCCCATTTTGTCAAGTCTTTTTCCTCATTTCTCCTCCTCTTCTCTGACTTCCCTATCTTGGCTAAAATTGCCTCTGTCTATTTGCACGAATTCAGGAGATTTGGGAGCTCAACGTCCCCCTTTCCCGCAGCTGTGCAGTGGGAACTTCCATTCTTGACTACTGTTTTTTCTTGTTTCCTTCCCCCTGCTTTGGCTAAATCTGATGAAGGAAAGGAAGCGAAAATATATGCTGGTCCAAGGGGTGCTTCTGACAGCATGCAGGCCAGCATTCCTTGGTTCTTTGGGCGTCTCTGGCTTGGAACTTGCTCCCAGCAGCTTTGCTTAATGAGTCTGCCAACCTCCTTCACGTGTTTTCTATTTTTCAAAAGAGCTGAGGCTTTTGTGGATTATTTTGGGATTTTTATATGGGCCAAGGTGGTTTCCTAAGCAAATGGGCTTTTTGTGAAACATTGGACCTCTTGATTGGGCTTATTTTTTGGTTAGGTTATTTTGCTTGGGCTATTGGGCTACTTTTCTCTCTTGTGCTTACCAACATGTTTGGGCCTAAGAAATGGGCTTGAGTCTCGAGGCACCCAAGCAACCCGAGACTTTCCATTTCTCGGCCCATCAATGGACCTCATATTGATTTATTACCATCCATGCCACAACCCACTCAAGTAAGCCCCAGGCATTCGAGTGGCTTGGGCCCACTTAGGCTTGTAGCGTGGTTGGGTGTGTAATAATGATTTCCTACTTGGCATGGCATGTCGCTTGGCATGGCATATCGCTTGACATGCTTTCAATTATTATGCTTGACGGGATAATTAGCATGGATTTGCAAAGATAATGCATTTTATAATCTTAATCTTGATTCCTAACATGACGAATTATTTATTTGGCATGGCGCATGTGGTGTGACTCGCATATGACGAGCCTTCGCGTACTCAGATATGTGACTTTTCTTAATATAGTAGCGTATTGGACCGAAAACTTATTTGGGCCCAACCGTGGACTTTTTTGGGCCTCAACAACTATGTCCAACTCTTAATTATATTAGGGGCTTCAATGCTTAAATAAGATATCTTAATCACATATGTATAAGCTTCATAATACTTATTCTAATTGATCTTGGTATCTGTCTCAGAGTCCCATCCAAGTTCAATGAGTGTGTGACTTTATAACGCTTACATATAATCCCAAATCAAGAGTTTTAAACCCTCCGTTATGATATATATAAAGCTATGGGCCTCTCTATGTAGTTGGGTTGGATGTTGTAACTTTCTCCTTGTATCATATTCTCATGAATGGTTGAAAATCTGACAAATATTACCAATTCTAAAAGGCTTGTTCTAAGGACCCAAAGTTGAGTTTACAATGCATGCTCTCATTAAAACGCTTATTTTATACGTAGAATTGTAGTGAGGGTCTTATCTATCTTTTAGCCATTGGTTCAAATTTGATAGGACTCGCTCTGGATTCTCTCTCAAGACCCATGACGAACCCTGTGTCTATTCGACATCCCTCTGATGTCAGGCCCACTTTACTAAAATGCCCTTTTTTAAATTCCAAATAAGAATTAAAGACCAAGACTTTTATCGAAATTTCAAGAGTCTCCCCTGTAAGTGAAAATTTTCCCAAATAGATCCACCTGTAAAGTAAGCTTAAACATATAATAACCAACTTACAGCATGCACAAGATAAGGTCACACAATATCAAACAACTCTACAGGCCTATGGCCTTCAATTCAAGCCTACTATGGGCAAAAATGTAACTTCTGAAAATAACATAATTAGTCGGGACAGGGTGTTACAAAATTGGTTAGTCATTGGATCAAATTGATTAGTTGGATCCAACAGTTAAAAGATAGGGCCTCATCTAAAGATCTTAGATAAAGCCCTCACTATAAAATAACTATATTTTATACTTGTAATTGAAAATCTATTGCAACATAAAAATATCAACTAGTAATATTATTTAATTGTAAAATACCTCTTTGAGAGTGAGCTTAACCTCTTCTCTTGACATAATGATTATTAATCTTTGATACATTTTGATGTGTGCCTCACAATATGTAGTTACCTTAATAAATAAAGCATCTTATCCAACATCTTTCAATCTTTAGCATCCAGCTGAGCATAATTTAGGGGACAATTTTAGTGAATTGCTTCTATTAGTGGCTATTAAGAAAAACTCTTCATCATGTCCTTGGAGAAAGAAAAAAAAAGATAGGTGAGTAATCTTTGTACACTTACATATAGAGTTCTTGTATATGTGGGTTAAGTTAGTTGGTCAAAGCAGTGTGCTCGCCTCTTGCATCCTAGTTTGATACATTAAAATAATTAGAATATCCCTTTATGAAAGAAAAAAGTAATAATAACATAGAAAGTTCTTAGCCAAAACATTTAATATATAAAGTTAAAAGAGGAGCTAGCAAAACTCAAAGAAGGGTTGGGCCAAACACAGAATTAAAATAAGTATGAGGCGTCAATTAGCAAATACCCAAAAACGACAAGGACTTCCTACAAAAATACCTCGATCTCATTCGAATTTTCGGACCGTTAAGGCCCGTTGCAGACAAGGTAACCGTTAAGATTCAAAAAAGAAAAAACAAGAAGAAACTCCCACTTCAGTTACCCAATGCCCAATACCCCACACACATCTTTTGCTTCAAATCCAAAACAGAGAGACAGAGACAGGGAAGAAACCAGAGACGAAAACCCCACTCGTCAATGGGCTGCGTTTCATCCAAACTGTTCAAGAAAGATCTCATCAAAGAAGACGTCATAATCAACAATGGCGGCGACTACGTGATCAACCACGTGGTCTCTCTTACTTCAAGCACTTATGGGGTTCTGAATTTGGAAAATGAGCGACCCATCAAAGACTGCGTTGCAGAGAGCAAGAGGGCCATGAAGTCTTCGCCTTCCCGTGAAGATCCAGAGGTTATCAACGCTTGGGAACTTATGGAGGGCCTTGAAGAAGCAATACCCATTTCGAATTCGGCAAAGAAGAGCCCGAAATCGCGTGCTCTGCTTCGTGGGTTTGCTGATTTTGATGCTAGGACTCCGTTTAAGTTGCTGAATCAGATTGGGTCTCCGATGAAATCGAAGAGATTTGGAGGGAAAGAGAACAGAGGGAGAGTGATTCATGGGTTGGGTTATAGCCCGAAACAGGTCCTGAAACCGAACAATGGCGGCGAGAATTCTTGTAAGAAGGCGTTGAATTTGAGTCCGGAAGTAAAAGGGTCTCCTATTTCGGCGATAAGGAGGAGTTTTGGCTGTGATTCGGCGAGGAGGAAGAGTTTTAGTCCCCTGTTTGATCCGGAACTTGTTGCTTCTTACGAAAAGAAATGTCTGAAGAGGAAGAACAGATCAAGAGGATGGTCCCGCCGTCCCCAAAAGCCCGAAAGTTGAGGAATTCTTCCCGGGATTCCGAGTCCATGCTGAGGTTGTTTGAGAAAAAATGCCCACCAGGTGGTGAAAATACTGTTGTTGTTTACACAACAACATTGAGAGGAATTAGGAAGACTTTTGAGGACTGCAACAATGTGAGGTCCATCATTGAGTCACACCTTGTTCATGTTCTCGAGCGCGACATATCGATGGATTCGGGATTCAAGGAGGAGATAAGGGGGCTAATGGGGACCAAGGATGTAAAGGTTCCACTTGTATTTGTCAAAGGGAGGCTGATTGGTGGAGCTGATGAGATTGTGAAGTTGGAAGAGGAAGGGAAGCTTGGAGTTTTGTTTGATGGGATTCCAACGGCACTTGTCGGGTGCCAGGGATGTGCTGGGATGAGGTTTGTGATGTGCATGGAATGCAATGGAAGCTGCAAGGTCTTGGATGAGGGTCAAAAGAAGATGGTGAAATGTGGTGAGTGCAATGAAAATGGTTTAATTCATTGCCCCATTTGTTGCTAATGTAGCTGCATTGACATTTGAAGATCTGAGTATTTATTCTTGGATTCTTGGCTTTGTTTGAGATTTTGGGTTTTATACTAATCTTTGGTTTCTGAAGGCAGAAGCAGAAGACAGATTTTTAATTCAAGAAGCAGCTTTTTTTACTTTGCGAAGTGGGGTTCTAAAGTGGGTTTTAGGCCCCCTTCTGCTGGCCTTGTAATTCTAGATTGCTTTTTCTCATCCTGATTAGTTTTATTTTACACGCATGTTTTTAGAAGTTCAAATTTTGTTATGTAAGTATGTTCGATTTGGATGGATGTGCTTCTTTTTAATTTTGACACACAGAACTTCTATTAGATTGAGGATATTGCAATTGGGTCATGTTCTAATCAAATACATAACTGACCAAACTCAAAGGCTGCTAGCTAATCTATCTGATACAGAATTCCTACCTAAGAATAAACACCTAATCAGAAAATGCTCCTCAATCCAATTACTACTAAACTAAACAAGATTAAGAAGAATTGGACTCCTAACATGCTTGTGCCCGTCACTCCAAGTTATTGCGCCGTAGACAAATCCCAAAGCTTTCTTTGGAACAAAATCAACTCTGTAAGTAGCCTTTGTTGTCACATTACCAAAATCAAGAACAGCAGGCACCACATTCATTTTAATCCCGGGGGATAATCGTAATGAACTCTATACTTTTTACAGTCGTTTTTTTCCATTGACGGTCCATTACTACCAATGCCAATAGTAATAACTTACTTTGATAAAATTGCACCTTTGGTGCAGGTTTGCACCAAGGTTTACCCGATTTTGTAGGATAATTGCAGTTGCGTTCCTGTAGATATCGAACACTTTCGTCAAAACCATATGTAACTTCATCATCATAAATCACATTAAAACGTGCAACAATTATGTGTGTATGTATATATAACTTTTCTCTTTTCTACGGCGATCAAATACACCTTTAGAATCGTTCTTAACCTCTGATTTCATGAAAGATCACGACCTTGTGGTGTGAAGGGTGTAAATCTTACTTTCAAAAATAGAAATAATTGCATTTTTTTTTATGTAAATCAAAACAAACAAACAAAATTAAGTCAGTGATCTAACAAATAACCTTCCAAAAAGTGAGGGGGAAAAAAGCTTAAAATTGACGTGCAATATGTTCTTCGCACTCTTTAGCTTTTCAACTTCTTGTGACGTAAGCAAAGCTGAGAAGCCTCTAAAACTCTTAGTATAATGGTAAACAATTGCCCCTTGAGCTTCCAGAACACTGAAATGGAAAATAAATTCACTTAAATAATACTAATTAGGGTTTGAATATCTATGAATATGAACACTTACCTGCCCACGACTGAGGCAATCAGAAGACAATTGCAGCATTACATTGTCTACATGAGTTTCGACAATTTCGGAATTTGGATATGAGTGAGAACCATGTAGACAATGTAATGCTGCGAAAATGATCACAAATATGTTTTTATAAATTAGTCTCGATACGAATCGACATCAAATTTATCCTTTTCGCTAATTTTTTTTTCCCCAAAATTTTGGTTAATTATAATTATATTAGATAAAAACTCCCGCCAAAAGGGAAAATATGGATTACAACAAACTTTTACAAAAATAAAATAATATATATATTTATAAAAGATTTACCAATCAAAACTCTTCAAAACAAAAGCTTCTCCTTCATGAAGTATTACCGATAAATTAAACTTGCACATGGCCCAACCATCCAACCCGGTCTGGTCTTGTGTTTTCTCTCATAACTAGGATCTGGACTCAGTCTCTTAAGTTGGGCCCAACTTCTCCCAGTCTGACTAGGTCCTTTCTTTTTTTGTGTGCGTATTTTAAACGTGTTTTTTTTTCTCCTTTGTGGAAGCATATGAATAAATATATTAGAGCATTTTCAATCATATTTCTTATTTTTAAGTTAAATTTTAATTAAATATTTAATAGTTATTTTAAGAGCTTTTTATAAACTTTCTACCTAGAGTTATTTTAGGAGTTCTTTCATAAAATTTCTACTCCATCCATGCTTTAAATATGCTCTTAATTTTGTCGATCAAATTGAGAAAAAAAAAATCAATATAATTGGCTCATCGACATGTAACATTCCTAATAAGTTTCTTCACCAAATTATGTGTATATATCTTACTTATTTCGTTACTAAAACAAAAAAATTAAATTTTAGTGAAAAGAAACTTGTAACTCAAGTAATTAAGAATCTTACACTCGAGGTCCAAATTAAATTTTCTCCTTTCGGCTCCCACAATATAAAAAGATTAAAAAAATTAGTTTCACTCGCGTTAGTAAATTCTTGTACGTAGGAGTAGGACTCACAGTCAAACCCACGGAGACAAAATGCACCGCACACAGTAACACGGCATGGGGACGACTCGGTGTTTATATTAAATTTAGTTTCCCTGAAAAAACCTCCGACCATCTTTCTGACGCATAACCAATAGAAAACTGACACGCGACATAAATGAATTCATCTATATAACGATAGTGGTGTTGTCTCTGCTAAATTTGGGAATTCATTGTGAAAGTATGGACCCGGATACAGCTGATCCACCTTGACTGATCAACTCACACGTGTTATATAATTTGCAAGTAGCGACCAGAGTGATATAACCTCCGTCTGTGCTCTCTCAAAGAGTTTCTCTCCTCTCTCTCTCTCTCTGTCTCTCTGTGTAAACGGCAGCTACAATTGGTTCACTATGGCCGGGAGAAAGAGGAAGCTGAAATCGTAAGATTTGATTTCTGTTGCTTACTAAAAACATTTTGTAATTTGCATATTTCAATTTGTTGTTTTTTCAATATGGCTTCAATGAAATGACTCTTAAGGATTTTAGGAATGGGATCAGTTTAGGGTTCATAATTGGATACCCAATGTTTTCAAGTCAGGAATATGCTTTAATTTTTGAGAATTGAAGTCAATTTTGAGATTTTAGATGGGTTTTTGGGGAAGGGTTTTTATCTGTGGCGAAAAAGTGAATTTAGGGTCTTAGAGAAATTGGTTTATCCGAGTTTTATGGTAGAATGTCAATGTGATTTTTGGCTAAGAATTAGTTGGAAGTTTTATAATTTGTGAAGTTATGGGTTAAACCCATTGCTAGATCATGGATTCTTTTTGGTATGAACAACATGTTGAATTGAATGAATTTTGTAGCAACTTCATTGGTTTTGGTTTTTAGTTTCACGTTATGCTCATTTTAACTTCTCATAACTTTTCGGGTCCCAAGGTCAAGGGATTTCTAGTGGTTATTGTATAATTATATTCTCCTTTTCGTATTAGTGTATTATGTCTTAGGTTCGTAAATTGCTTATGTACATGTCTTGCTTAAACAACAGTACCTGTACAGTCTTATGCATCAACAAAAAAAGAGTAGATAGTTGATACTTGACTTGCAATCAGATTGTGCTCTTGTTGATAAATGCATGAAAGGTGAGTTGAAACAATTGCCTTTCATGCATTTTACAACTCATTATGGCATTCTCAGCTCATCTGTGCGTTTCGTTTGATGTTCTACACTTAGAATTTATAGTATTTTATGATGTATAGGTTAGCTGAAACCATCACAAACAGTAAAAGAAGAGTAAGCAAGGAGAAAAGGGAGAAACTGGAGCTACAGACTTGGTCTGACCTTCCTACAGAACTTTTGGAACTCATTGTATCTCGTTTAGCTCTGAAGGATAATATTCGTGTATCTGTTGTATGCAAGAGATGGCACTCAGCTGCCATTTCTGTGCGGGTGGTCAACCAGTCGCCATTGCTTATGTACTTTCCGAAATTTGGTGACCTGTACGAATTCTATGACCCCTCGCAGCGCAAAATCTACTCCTTAGAGTTACCTGAGCTGACTGGGTCTAGGATTTGCTACACCAAAGATGGTTGGCTATTGCTATACAGACCCAGATCGCACCGTGTGTTCTTCTTTAATCCTTTTACTCGCAAGATGATAAAGGTACCAAGATTCGAGTTGACTTATCAGATAGTTGCATTTTCTTGTGCCCCAACTTCCGCCAGCTGCATACTTTTTACGGTAAAACACATCAGTCCCACAATTGTTGCTATTAGCACTTGCCGTCCTGGGGAAAGAGAGTGGACGACTGTTAATGTCCAGAATCGTTTGCCCTTTGTGAGTAGCATTTGGAACAAGCTTGTTTTCTGCAATGGACTCTTTTATTGTCTAAGTCTCACCGGTTGGCTAGGGGTATTCAACCCCCAGGAACGCACTTGGAGTGTTCTTGCTGTTCCTCCACCCAAATGCCCCGAGAACTTTTTTGCCAAAAATTGGTGGAAAGGCAAGTTTATGGCTGAGCATAACGGAGACATATTAGTGATATATACATGTTCTAGTGAAAACCCAATTATATTTAAGCTGGATCAGACGAGGATGGTTTGGGAGGAAATGAAAACCCTTGATGGTGTGACTCTGTTTGCGAGTTTCTTGTCATCTCATTCAAGAACTGACCTCCCCGGAATAATGAGAAACAGTGTCTACTTCTCTAAAGTTCGTTTCTATGGAAGGTGTTGCATATCATACTCTCTTGATGATTGTAGATACCATCCTCGCAAGCAGTGTCATGACTGGGGAGAGCAAGATCCTTTTAAGAACATTTGGATTGAAGCACCTCAAGACTTCTCAACCTTGAATTGGTAGTGAAACAATTCAGTCTGTGGTAGTTTATTGGATTTTGTGCTATAGATGGTTTATGTGTAACAAGTTGCTTATTGGGGTCAATTTTACTCCGTAAAGAACTCATTTAATTCTGAACTCCTGTTTCTTTTTTATATGCAAGTCGTGTAAGTTATAGATGAACTTTTCCAGACATGCACCAACGCTTCATGCTCTGAGTTCTTAAATTTTATCTAATCTCTATGTTTTAACACTTTTTTAGATGCTCAAGATCCATTTCATCAACAACGGATTTAGCTCTTAATTTTGATCTGTTTCGCGCACATTCAGTAAAATCAAGAACAAAGAGACACGCATAGATAGAAGAGTGGAGATCAGGAAGTTTGGGAGGTAAATGATCTAGAATCATCGTTTGCAAGGCTCTCTCTGAATATTAGTTTGAAGCTGTCATCCCATAGTGCACCCTTCTTCTCATAATGCAATTTACAGAAATATTATGGAACATATTTTTCACTTGTGGTGTTTGCTTTTCCATATCCATTGCTGGTATATTGCTGTTTATAGCATTGCCATCATTTTTAACGATAGAAATCTGTTTATGATGTGATTATATTTGTCCGACTGAAACTCAAACAAGATGAAGATAAAAAATTTGTGATGCAGCTCGACTGAACTTGAATCTTAAGACTCTTGATTGACGTGCGATATAATTTAAAAAGCATCAATTTCATAATTTAATTAGACTTAGTTTAGGCAAACTACACGTGAATCGGTCTGAAGCAACTCTTTCTATGACATGACCAGCTACATATGTTTGGTTCTAATGAACTGCACAGCTCCAAATGTATACTCACAGACCCAAAATACTGTTTTCTCCTTTCCCTGTCGAAGCAAGGCAAACCTCACTAATTAATAAGGGTTATAGCGACTGCGGCCACGATTGTTGTCACCACTGCGCCTTCCACCACTTGAGTTGCCACCACCACTTCTTCCACCTCTAGACTGCGGTGGAGGGGTGTGTGGTTGCATTCCGGGTTGTTGCCTGGGGAAAGAAATGCAGAAGTTCAAATTTGGATGCATGGTAAAAATGAAATAGAAACAAATAGTGCAAATGCAAGGGCCTTTGTAAAGAAGATACAACTAACATTTCAAAGGGGGTAAAGATGGTTGTTGATGAACAAATAATTGCTGAAAATTTTCTAATGAGACAATACATGCAACCAATAATTGTGCAACTAACAAATTCCAAAAAGTGATACTTACAGGACATATCCAATCCTTCCATCCGGCAAAAGCATAGGCATCATTGCCATTCCAGCAGGAGTTGGTCCCCTACCATAGATCAGTGGCTACAAGAAATTGGGGCCTATATCACCAAAAGTATCCAGAGAAAACTAAAAGCAGAAAATTTGCTATAAATCAAGTATTTACCCCCCTAAGAAGCATCCTAAATAAGCATTTTCCTTATAGTTTATGTTTTGTCAATATTGTTAAATATATAAAAATACTTTTGATTTGTGATTAACTTTTTAATAATACATGAAAAATGCAGGGTCTTCGTATATTTTGTCATCAGGTTTAAAAGTATGTCCTACACAATAAGTTATTTATTTCTTTGTTTGTTTCATTTAATAAGATGGTTTCCTTGGTGATTCCTTTTTATTTTCCAGATTGCTAATTGGCACACATGCTGTCAAAGGAACCTGGAAATAATTTTCTACTTAAAAGGAAGTGACATTAGGCCCAAAGGCCGTCTAAAACATTCTTTTGGCTGGTAACAGATTCATTTCAGACACAAGTTATGGACTGTGAACTTTAGGTGCTGAGGGGGAAAAATAACATGTTCCGACTATGTATGATTGGGTTGTGTTGGGTTATCAGCAGGTCCTGCATGCTCCCTTTAGAAAAACAACTAAAACCCCCTTAGCGAATACAAGGTTAGTAAGACTAGGGCCGCACCTTGCTAGTTCTAGGTACAAGGGACTCCAACTGGACCCATATTTGTCTATTCAATGCCATGATAAAACTATAATTTAAATCTTACTTGGGCAAACCCTGCACCGCCACCATATCCAGCACTCAATCCACCATATGGACTACTCCCTCCCATGCCATAACTGAGACGTGGTGGGTAGGTTGGAAGTAAGGGTGACTTCTGATGATTTGATGATCCAGAAGACTTCTGATCTGCTTGTGGCTTTGCAAGAGAGCATTCCAAAACTTGACCTATGAAACAGAGGAGATTATGAATTAAGATTTTCTCCTGAAAACTGATTAACTATAGAGGATAGTGGAGAGCTACAAAGAGCATGAGCAAGTTACCATCAATTTCATATTTTTCAGTGTTCTTCAATGCCTTCATTGCACATGCCCTTTCCGCAAAGTGCACAAAACCAAATCTGCTCTTTTCATGTCCTGCTTTAGCAGGTGGGAGAACCACCTTTGTGATCTTTCCATGACGTTCAAACAGCTCCTTTAGACTCTCCTGAGTAATGTCTTTTGGTAAATTCTTGACATACACTGCCTTCACCTGTATCAATCAAAACAAAGATGTCATGACTCGACCAACATCCACAAGTGCATGTAATAATTCAAGGCCAAACAATTTTACGCACATAAGGTTGCACATGAAAGTACAAGGTCTGATGTGGTGGAGATCATGGGATGAAGTACTCAGATACAAAAAAACAAAACAAAACAAAATAAAAAACAAACATTATGAGTACAGCCAACAGATGGGAAAGATAATTCGAAACAGTGATAAAATGCTGTTGGCAACATCCATTACAATCCCCCATCCCTCAGTTAAAAATAAGAAATGAACAATAGAAAAGGAAAAGAGAGCCAAAGCAGAACTATATAATAGCTTATCTGAGTGTAGCAAAAAGCACAAATAACTAACCTGAGAAGCAGCAGAGGATTCTGTATTTTTAGGATCAGCCCAGCTCACAGTAGGAGCATTGGTGTCGAGCTTAAATTTTGGGCTGGACATCTTTTGTCTTGAATATTCTGCACACGCATGATTATAATACTCAATGAAAGCAAATCCACGATTCCGGCTGGAGTTCTGTGGGTCCTGTATCAAGAAGATTCAACCGAAAACAGAACTACATCAAGATACAAGGAAAATCCATCAAGAAAATACCACAATAGTGAATTTGGAAATGATAGGTAACCAAAATGAAAAATAGAACATAAAATACATAAGCTAAATAGAAGATTATAGAATATATCTTTAACCTTCAACAGTTCCACAGAAATGACTCCTGGTCCGATATCTGTTACAGCCTTCTTCATATCCTCCTCTCCCCAATTTCTGGGAACATTTCCAATAAACAACCGATGCTTTGCTTGAGATGTAGAACATTTAATCCTTTTTCCCTGGAAAAAGAGCCAGCAGAGAAGTTAATCTTACAAGAAACTAAAACCTCAGTTTTCATAAAAAGGATTTAAGTAATAGATCTCAAAAGGAAAGGTGCGAATGAAAGTGGATGTGTAAATTAGCAGAACCACAACCCTGAGTTGATAATTAACAGTAGCAATAATTGGGGAAGATAAGTGACCAAAAGTTAGTTGAGCTCACCTTTAACTCAGAATTGTTCAGTTCCTCAATGGCCTTAGAAGCCAACTCCTTGTTTCTGAAGGTGACAAAAGCATAACCTTTGGCCTCACCTGAATCTTTTCCCTTCATTATTCTAACCTGTTGACATATATAGATTAGTCCATCTCCATATCAAAGGTGCAGAGAGAGCTTCAGAATCAACAATATATATTACCTCAGTAACTTCCCCAATAGATTCACAAAATCCCCTCAAATCCTCTTCAGATGCATCATGAGGAATGCCACCAAGATACACCTCTGATCCATGCGGAGGGCGTGCAAGAAGCTCCGCATGCTTCTTTTTTTCTTCTTCCTCCTCTCCTTCAACAACTATCATCACTTCATCACCATCTGAGCTTTTCTGTCCATTAGATTTTGTAGCAGCTCCCTTGTTTTCTCCCTCTTCCTCACCCTCCTCTGGATCTTCTTCTTCCTCTTCTTCCTCTTCCTCTTCCACCTCTTCCACTTCCTCCTCTTCCTCTACTTCTTCATACTCGACCTCTTCTTCTATTGTTTCTTCAGGATCGTTGTCTCCATCAAGGTCCACCCGCTCTTCAGATTCTATAGGTCTTTCAGATGCATCTCCAGAAGCATTCGCCCTTGTTTTCGGCATCTTATATATCTAGAAAAACAAGCTTGCAAGGCAACTGTGAAGAAAGCACAGTAGCCAGAAGCATTCATAGAAGAAAGAATACAGATACGGAAAGGTGGAAACAACATGAGAGGCCAAACGAAGTTGCAGATTAAGAATTTCGAATGAATCTGTGCCATGAGGTATGGATTCAAGGACTTGCAAAGTCAATGATTTTCAATTAAGGGGTCATTTTATTGTAAAAATAGTAACAGAGACAGGCAACAGAAGAATTCTGCATGATTATCAAGAGGGTGATGATGCTCAGCAGGCGAAATAAACAATGAAGCAGTGAATTTCTCGAATATCTAGATATCGACATTCGACAGTAAATGGATGGTGTAATTGTTTAACTATCTATCTGGAGAGTTTCATGCACAAAGAGGAGGAAAAGAAAAGGAAAAAAAACATGAATAAGAAATCAAACAACATATATTTGAAATCATAGAAACGATAACATATTATACATCACATATGAAGCAGTAAATTCATGGTATCCTAACTTATTAATCTTTTCGGACAATCCTTGAATCCTAAGAGGCCGACATATGACTAACTCCCTGTAAACCAACATATAAGTGCCAATGCACGCGTAGAAAAGCATTGAATGGTTGAACTCTACCATCCCTTCCTTCGAAAATTGAAAATGTTTTATATTGAAACTTGAGAAAATGGTAAAACTCAATCCCAGCCAATTAAAAACAACTAAATGCCTCAAACTCTGGACTTTCAAAAGAATACCAGCCAACCACCCCAAAAGTCACCCTATTTCCCCAAACCTTGCCAACCCATCTGACATTTGAATGGTTTTGAGTCGTTCCCTTTCTGGTAAAAATTTTTTCTTTAAGATTCTCTCTGACACAGAAACCAGAACGTTTGCACTTGCACTATTTCCACAGAGAAATAACACTACCCAAGTAAATAAAAACAAAAAAATTTGCAGCTTTGGTGCAAAATCCAAATTTGGAAACGAAAGCAGGAATACGAATATTTCTACGAGAAAAAGCAAAAATCAAATCTTTGAGAACAATAACCCAATTGAAAACAATGTGAAGTTTGATAGAGAGGAAGTACCTAAGTCGAGTGCTGCGAACAATTTCTCAACTAAGGAACAATTTGTTCAATATCGGAACCCTAACTCGGTGCTCGGAGCTGTACTTAGCTCGAACCCAACGAACGAAAAGGAATCGCTTCTTGAGTTTTGAGTGTCGTCTTGCGAATTTGGGACATAGAGAGAGTTCGACATGTCCTTGGGCTTCGTAATCTTTTAATCCTGGGCCGTAATTAGGGGCTTGGCCGAGGACGACTTATGGGCCTACGGGCCATTAGATTTTTTATATATTATAAATTATTTTAATGTACGAGGAGGGGAACCGAAGGATCGAACTTGGATGTAAGGCCATCTTCAGTCATGGGCTATATCCCAAATATAGCCCTAAAATAATGCAAAACCCATCTTTAGCCATGGGCTAAATAAAATTTTGGCCAAAGTTGGAGGACCACATTTGGCCCTTTAACCCTCTAACCGGGCCACATTTAGTCCAGCTTCGGCCTAGGCCAAATTTTTTGTTGGTCCCATGCATGTGCTTTTTAAGAATGTAAATTATCAAATGTGGGTAAGAGCACGAATCATCTCGTGCAAATATATATCCAACATCCAAATAAAAGCGATGACGTCATCGATATATTTTAAAAGCCTTTTAAAATGTTTTCAATTAGTGTTGTTTAAGAAAAATTTATAAAAAATTATTGGTTATGACCATTGGAGGTCAGACTATTGAAACCCAACTTTTTTTTAATTTTTAAATGTGGTCACCTTTTTAAATGTTTTCAATTCGTAAACAAAAATTATAAAAAATTATTGGTCATAACCGTTGGAGGTCAGACCACTGAAAACCATCCCCCCCCCCCCCCCCCCCCTAAATATATTATAAATAAATGTGGTCACCTTTTTAAATGTTTTCAAGTGTTGTTTTATAAAAAAATTATTGGTCATGGAATATTGTCTCTAAATAGTAGTTTAATTAAATTAAACAATACATAATTGTGGAATGCATGAGTGTTGTACCATAGTTTTTCTCAAAATAATAAAATATGAAGGACCATAAAATATAGCCCTACATATCTGGAGATGGAAATATTTAGTCATGCACTATTCTTTAAAAAATTAATATTTTGGAGGGCTAAATATTTAGTCATGGACTACATTTTGCCCTATAACCGGAGATGACCTAAGAAAGACAGGCACACTACTTTGGTCAACTGGCTTAACTCACATTTGCCATTAAATCAACGTATGGTGAACATAATATTTGGCCCAAGGAAACAATGCTTGTAAATATTCACTTATATATTGTATTTTATTTTGTTGAGTGGCCCGATGTGGTATCTTTACATTCTTCGACACGTCCACAAACTACCTTTTCCCACCATTTTGGTATTTAGATTATTGCAATTTAAGGCATGGCGGTAAATGAAGTCGAAGCAATAAGGGTCAAAATATTAAATCAGCTAAACACGAAAAGAAAAAAAATTCGACACAGCAAATCACGTAGATGATAGATAGATTACATGAAGTTAAAGCCTCGAGTAAAAATAGACTGCAGGTTCATTCAAAAAGGGTTAAACATTTGAGACTTGTGCATATGTCAAATAACTAAGATCTTAATCACTTCACTACTAAAATTCGAGAAATTGCCAAAGACAGCATTATAACTACATAACAAGTGTTTAAAATGCAAGCACTTTCTGTTCAAAGCCCCATGAGGATGTAACTTGTAAGCACTTTCGAGTTTGCGCTGCAATCTTGTTGCAACTCAAATGAACAAGTGTTTAAAATCCCCGTTTGCAAGCTGACAGAGCTGATTGTAAGTAGTTGTGTCTGTCAACAGGTTAAGAAAATATGGAAGTATATCAGAACCAGCAAAAGAGTATGTAAAAATTTCCAAACGACCAAACACTAAAAGCACTATCAAATAGAATTTGCCACCAAAAAGTTGAAAGCTAACACACAACAAGATATGTGAAGGGACAAACAGAACATAAGAACCGAAGAAGGGCTAGTTAGATTCTCAATTTCTTAATGATTTTAACTACTACGGAATACAGCTCTTATTGGTTTCTAATTATAGAACACCTGTATTCAATAAAACAGCTTTTGGGACACTAAAGTACTGCAAGCATTACAAAGAAGTTTCATGCAAACAATAAGTTTGAATAACTGGCACACCCTGTGATTTAACGGGAACTCGCTTTCAACAGTTATGTTGATGATGCAGTTTAAGCTTCAGTGTTTCTCTTAAAAATTAAATGGACATTAATGTATCTTGGAGATCCTCAAAGTGTCAATAAACTAAACTGTTTCCTGGCAACTTTTGATACTTCCAGAAAACAATAAACTGAAGTCATTTATATAGATTCAGCTCCTCCCTCCCAATCCAAGCAAAATAACCTTCGAACATTAAAAATTATATAATTACTGTGAAAGACTATTAGGTAGGATTTGCAAAAGGTGGGAGGGAAAGGCATACCAATTGTCTCTCCAAAGTTGTTCCAGATGTCAGCATGGATGGATTTTTCACCATCAGCAATGCCTATGACCTCAACAAATTTTGTAAGAGGAAAGGGTGGGGAGCCCTTTACAACTAGCTGGTTTTCATCAGTAGATTTTCCAATGACAGTTCCACCCTCAGTTCGCACAACCTGAATCAGTGCCCGAACCCGTCTTCCAACATACAATCGCAGAAGCTCTGCATTGACAAAAACTGCAGGATTTGAGGTATCCATATCCTGCAAAACAAACAAAAAAGTTAACTTGCTTAGAAGCTCTTCATAAACTTTTGATTGATAATAAAGCGAAGCTATCAAGCTCAAACTACTTAACTTCTACCCAAAAATAAATAATAATAAAAAACCATGTTGCATACATAATGTAAAATCATCCCCAAATAAAAAAAATCGTATCGGTCCCTAATTACATGATGTAGTGGAGAAAACCAATTACAGAGATACTAGAAAGTAGTTGAAACCATGTTACAAACATCCAGCAAACTAATCAACAGTAAACAATACTGCTACTGCATTGCTTGTACAATTTCAAAAAATTCCTTGACTTTAATAGGCTTTTTGAAATTCTTCTTACCTTGTCTCTCTCATGAGAATGGTTATGGAAATTATTAGGTTTTTGCACATTAAATAATCCTGGGTAAACTCTAATCTAGAGAAGTGGAAAGCATCTAAAATCCTCTCCATGGAAAATTTTCACTGAATTTTGGTAATCAATATGCAATTATTCTAAAAGTAAAACTCAGATCAAGAACATCAACAAACTTCTCAAACAAAATTCATCAAAACATAGAGCAAAATGAGCGCAAGAAGCAAGTACTTGAACTACAATCTGAATCGAACTTAACTTCTAAGCGAAATCCGAACCGAAAATATAAAGGACAACTAAGCGAAAAGGCACATTCAATTTTGACTGAGAAACCAAAATTGCAAATGAAATTATATTTCTCTTTCAGCAGTTTCTCCGTAGCAGCGAAACGATGCGTTTGAAATTTGAGAAAGAAGAAAACAAGGGATTCGAGATCTTACTTGATGATCGGACAGATCGCCGGAGAACTAAGTCGAAAGCAGAAACTTGTTTTCGAATGTTGAGCGAGAGAGAAAGAGCGGGTTCCAATGGCGGCAAAAAATGAAAATTGAGAGGGTTTTCTGTGAGTGCAGGGGTTTTTATTTGAGCGACTATACCGCCAATCACCAGACACGTGGATTTAATTTCTGATAACAAAAATTGCAAAAAGAAACTGAAAGACACAGGCTGCTCACGTGAGGGGCAGAATTTAAGGAGCTGTGAGCAACTATTCATTCACAACCGTAGGATTATGCTGGGCTAAATCCAACGGCTTAAAATATGTGATAAATTAGAAAACCCATTTCAACTTCTTGACCCGTTTGGAGTGGTCAATCAGTTTGGTTTGGTCAGAACCCATGAGCAAATAGTTAGGTTTGATTAAACAGATCAGATATGGGCCGAATTAGCATGTGTCCAACAAGACCACTACAATCAACAAATCTGCGAAATCTGCTATCTCAAATTTTGAGACTGTAAGACCATCTCCAATCATGTTGGGGCTAAACTCAAATTTTCACTCTTCAAAATATAACTATTTATGTATTTTCAGGACTCAAAAAAAAATTTCCTCCAACCTTGCATACTCATAATTTGAGTCCGCAACTTTATTAAATTGTTTAAGAATGATTAACCCCTAATTTTTTTTTTCGTATTAATTTTTCTTGACATTATTTTTGTTTCAATACTCGTGATTTAATTTTCTAAACATTTTAACTTAAAAAAATTAAAATTTCAAAACATAATAGAATTTCACTTAAAAATACAAATAAGTACAACACCATACGTATGCCCGGAATAATTCGAACCATTCATTGAAGCCATTGCCATAATTTTTTTCCATTTTTACTTTTACTTTTACTTCATTGGATTCATTTATCCTCATTCAATAATATTCTAACTTTTGCCCACCTCCACTTGTGTTCTTCAATTATTTTATGAACACTTTCTCATCCTCTATTATCTTGTTTCAATTATGTTTTGAACCATTGCTCAACTTTGTCTATCTCACTTTATTGGATTTCCTTATCTTTCCCTATCTTTTCCTATCTTCATTCAATTATTTTCTGAACAATTTCTCATCTTGTCTTGTTTCAATCATGTTCTGAACCATTGCTAATCTTTGTTCATCTCACTTTATTGGATTCCCTTATCTTTCCCTATCTTTTCCTATCTTCGTTCAATTATTTTCAAACATGTAGGTCATCTCATTCTCTTGTCTATTTAAGAAGTGTTATTCTACTGAATTGACTACACAATCTCCTTCAATTCTCCTTCTTACAATGAATTCACGTGGGAAGGCAATACAAAATTTCTTCAATGATGATTTTGAAGATGATGACCTTCATCAACAGAGGGTTGCAATGGCTGTTCAACACCATATGTTTTTGTTGGAGCAATAGGCTTAACAATCCAAACATGGTGGTTCTGTTGCAGGTCGTGAATACAAGAATCGGAAGAGAGAAAAACATCATAAGAGTCTCATAAAGGACTACTTCTATGAAAGATCACTTTATTCCATAGTGGACTTTCATAGGCGGTTCAGCAGGAGAAGAGAGATTTCTATCGCATCTTGAATGATGTTGTTACACATGAGTCTTGCTTTACCCAGAAGATAGACACTTGTGGACGACAAAGTCTATCCCCAGAGCAGAAGCTAACAACCGTTTTTCGAATGCTCGCATATGGATGCTCGGCAGACTCCACTGACAAGCACTGTAGATTGGGTGAATCTACATCCCTTGAATATTTGTGAAAGTTTTGTTCTGTTATTGAAGCCGTGTATGGTTAGTGGTACCTCTGTTCCCCAAATCCGGCCTACCTTTACAGGCTCTTGCACAAGGCTAGTCGCAGAGGATTCCCAGGCATGTTAGGCAGTCTTGACTGCATGCATGGGAATGGAAGAACTGCCCCACTGCTTGGGCATGTCAGTTTACCGGCTATAAGCATAAGCCAACTGTCATTCTAGAAGCAGTAGCCTCATATGATACTTGGATATGGCATGCCTTTTTTGGAGTTGCCGGATTGAACAATGATATCAACGTTCTAGCTCGTTCCCCGTTGTTCAATGATGTAGTTAATGGAGTGTCTCCCCATATCCAATATGTTGTCAATGAAAATGAATATAATCTAGGTTATTACTTGGCTGATGGTATCTACCCTCGTTGGGCTACATTGGTTAAGACGATTTCCCAACCGGATACTAAAAAAAAAGACTATTTGCCCAAAAACAATAGGCTTATAGGAAGGATGTTGAAAAAGCCTTCGGAATAATTTAGGCTCAACGGGCAATTGTTAGGGGACCTGCACATATGTGGCGCAAAGAACAACTTCATTCAATCATGCAATATGAGGATCTACATGCAGAATGATGATGAAGACAATTGTCCACGAACATCTAGAAGAGCAAGAGCAATACTTGCTTATGAGCTTGAGCCAACTATCACGTACGATATAAACCGAGACAAACAAACCATCTCAGACTACATGGTCCGTCATAATAGAGTTTGTGCTTCACAAGTGCATCACAATCTAAGAAATGATTTGATCAACCACATTTGGAGATGCGAAAGAGAGGGGCAATGAGCTATGTTGTGTGTTTAAATTATGTTGTGTGTTTAAATTATGTAAGTGTGTTTAAATTATGTTGTGTGTTTAAATTATGTAAGTGTGTTTAAATTATGTAAGTGTGTTTAAATTATCTAAGCGTGTTTAAATTATGCTGTGTGTTTAAATTATAAAAATGGTTGTGTGATTTTAATGAATTACATGGTTTATCATTGAATTTTTTAAAAAAACTAATCATAGAAAAATAAACGACAATCATAAAAAAGAAAAGAAAAAGATAAATGATAATTATAAATAAAGATAAACAACAATTACAAATAAAGATAAACGATAATTAAAAATAAAGCTAAACAACAATTAGAAGTAAAGATAAACGACAATTATAAATAAAGATAAACAACAATTACAAATAAACGTAAATTAATAACCACTATGTGGAGGACTTGGATAATAGTCTCCAGAGTTGTCTTCTGGATTGTAGGGGGAACTTGTATTCATCTGGGCCTCAATAATTTCGTCTTGCTTATTCCCCCAATACTTTTTCTTTCTTGGAGTAAATTTGGATAAGTCCATGGACATTATCCTCTGTTCATTGGCCTCCTTATCTTGTTGGATTTGATATGCATGTTGCTCTTGTAGGAGCTCTAACTTTCGCCGCCTATCCTCTTTTGCCTCATTTCCTTGTTGAACCAATTCAGGCAAGAACCTACCACTTTGATTAAGATAACTTTCAACACTTTTCCCTTTCTATTTTTTATCCTTCTGTTTATCTCTTCCCAACGGCCTTGAAGTGGGCATGACCACATCATCTTCATCTTTCTCCAAATTGACTGTATTGCCACTATGAGAAGAATCTTTGAATGTTTGTGTGGGATATTCACATAGGTTGTTCCATTTTGGGCAATCTTTTAAGATTTGTCAAGCATAATACAACTTGAAAAGTCTATTTGGAGGTTTATTATCATTCAATAAAAGTGTTTTTGCATTCATATCCTACACATGAAATAAAATAAAAATCAAGTTAATAATTGAAAACAATTAAAATTATAAATTTAAGTATTGAAAAAAAGCAATAGCTTGCGGTGATCGTACCCCGACTCCGCTCATGTCCGGATCATTTTCCAAAAAAAATTGGTACACACACAACCAAAATGAATCGTTTGATTGATTCGTGCCAATAGCCCCATCTTCAGAGACAAAAACCCACCCTCTACACAATGCCTCATCTTCTTGTGGTTTCCAATTCACACCTCTTTGGGGATTTGAGGCCATTCTCAACAAGAATGAATGTAGAATGAAAAATTATAACAAAGAGAGAAAGGAAAAAAAATGATTTTTTGTGGATTATTTACCAATGAATGGCTATTTATAGAGTTTGGAATAAGTTTTGGGGTTGGATCTAACTTAAATTAATTATAAATATTAATTTGACCATTGGATTTAAATTTGAGCCGTTGGATGTGAAATTTTACCGTTGAGATTGTCTAAAATGAATCAGAATCGTTGATTTTATAGCTGTTGGAATATTTTTTTTTTTAAAACAGCATAACAAAACATTTGAAAAAGTAGTCCTTGCTGCTCAATAAAGGAAAAGAAATCTTCTTTCCCACTCGTCATAGCGGGCCAGCATCATAGCCCATCACGTGGGCTTCTTCTAGCATTCAATAAAAAAATATAAATTAAAGCATATTTGGGCCCCACAAGTTTATCAGTCCAGGCAGAATGCAGACTGGAATTCCAGTCCAGTTTTGAGTCATCTCAAATTTTCACATCCGAAAATACATGGGTTGGAGAAGTTTTTTGGAGGCTAAACTCAAAATTTGAGTTTCCACCCCTTGGGTTGGAGATGGTCCAAGGTTGAAATGAAAAAACTGTTTGAGAGTTTGTGTGTAAATAAATAGTTGTATTTAAGTGGAAAGTTGTTGTTAGATTTTGGCACATTTGCATGGGATCCATT